ACTGTGTCACCGTGACGGGGCTCCCAGAGAACGTGGAGGAGGCCATCGACCACATCCTCAACCTGGAGGAAGAATATGTGAGTTCTGGGGTCATGTGAGGCCACATGTAGGTGTTTTCAGATGCCTGTCAGGTGCAGCAAGCCCCAGCACCTGAAAGCAGCGTAAGCACAGTAGATGCTCACAGGGAATCACTGCTGCCAGCTGACCCCCACCTGTGCCCACAGCTAGCCGACGTGGTGGACAGTGAGGTCCTGCAGGTGTACATGAAGCCCCCAGCCCACGAGGAGTCCAAGGCACCTTCCAAGGGCTTTGTGGTTCGGGATGCTCCCTGGACCGCCAACAGCAGCGATAAGGTCAGACGGTGCTCACCCTCTCTGTGCCCGGGAAGTGGGAACACCTCTGCCCCCCAATGGGTGGTCAGAGGGTGGGTCCATTTTGGAGCTGCCTGATTGAAACTTGCTTAGTAAAGCTGTGCTCTCTCTGTCCCCACAGGCTCCGGATATGAGCAGCTCTGAAGAGTTTCCCAGCTTTGGGGCTCAGGTGGCCCCCAAGACCCTCCCGTGGGGCCCCAAACGATAATGATCAGAAAACAAACTTCTCCAGCCTGCTGACCCAAACCCCACCACACAATGGTTTGTTTCAATCTGATTCAGCAGCTGGACCCTCCATAAATTGTTGACGCTCCCCCTTCCCGAGGTCTCGCAGTGAAGCCGGGCGCCTGGCGCTATGTGCAGCTGGTCCTCGGGCCTGGCCAATGCCCAACACGTGCTCAGGATCTGCCCTTGACACCGGCTATGGGCCGGCTTTCCACGGTTCAAACACTAATAGAGGCAATTGGACATTTCACGACAAGCTTCCTGGTCCACCGGCATGTCAATAAGGCCCTGGCCCCACTAAGAGTGCTGCATAGCTGGGGGCTGAGCCCACTTCCTGTGTCGTGACCTCAGGAAATAAATTTCCTTGACTTTAGAAAAGCCAAACGTTTGCCCTCTTCCTTTCCCAGCTCTTTCTCCCTCTGCCTGTAGTCCAGCCCTCTGTATACTACAGTCTGCCTCCTTCCCACTGCCAAAGCCTGCTCATCCCAGACCACAGGGTGGGAGGAAGGCCCATTGTGCACACTGGAGCCCCTGGACTCGGGGGGACCAGGTTCCGAGTGTCTGTGCCCCTGTACCACTGGCACCGGAAGCCCTGCATCTGGTGAGCAAGGTCTGTAGTGAGGCATCTGTCATCTGAGTTTGGTGTGAGCTTAGAAACACGGGGATGCGGAGAGAGGTGGCCCACAGAGGAGAGGTGGAGACTCACTTCCCCTTCCAGCTGACCTGTCACATTGACTTTGGCTTTCCTGCCCCTCCCCAAATGCCTAGTCCAGTTTCCTTTCTACCTCAGAGCCAGTGTGGTAGTGATCTCATGGTGAGGGTGGTGCCACCCCAGGTGCTCAGCCTCCTAATTCCAACGGCTCTGGTCACGAGTGCCTGAGTCCACTGATGGTCACAGCTCTGGGTCACACCCTCACTTGCAAGTGGCCAGTGGGGAGTGCACACACCACCCTGCAGACTGCCCTCAGACACCTGGATGTGTGTGGTGATCCTGGGAGCTGGCCTCAGAGGCAGCTTCCTAGTCCTCGGGTAGAGAGAAGCTGTCACTCAACCTGGACTGGAGGACCAAGTCCTGCTAAGGGAGTCTGCTTTTCTCAGGTGTGGTGGGTCATACCAGACCAGACAAGGTGCCTGCCCCAGCCAGCATGGTGAAGGTGTGCTCGAGAGAAAAGGTGGCCAAGGCGGTGCTGTGAGAACCACAGATAAGCCCTTGGTTTCCAAGTTGTCTGGTTTCCCATCTCACCTCTATCCTGTAGAGGTGACTGAGCCCCTCTCAAGTTTTCCATCCTGATACTGGAGTTTCTAGAGAAGCCAACTAGTGCCCCTTGCCCAGTCCTTCCCTGGGGAAGGTCACTTCTTCCTGACCATCCCCTACACGAAGTTTTCTATTTGGTTACTTTTCAACTTGGCAATCTTTAGACTGAAATTCTTGAATAGGCTTGATTTGCTTAACACAAGTCTGATATCAACTGTCTTGAGTTCCCGTTAGCTCAGGCAGCCTCAAATGTGCCCATATGTAGAAGTGATAAATTGGGGTAGGAAAGGACATTTGCTTCAGCTGAACAGGCTGGGTGGGTGACCCCAGATGGAGTCAATTGAGAAAGGAAGTGAGAAGGGAAGGTGCTGTCTTGCCTTTCTCCAGGAACATCCCCTACCTCCCTGGTTTCTGGAGTTCCTTCTATCTGCATGAGTTTTGGAGCCCTTCCTGTTGGCCGGTGTACTGCCCTCCCCTCCATATCCCCTGGCATCTGCCCAAACCTCCTTCCTCTTGTTTCTGTGATATCTTAACTCCTTCCCCCAAAGGTGGATTTTTAATTGTCCCAACAGGTGTTTGCACATCTGCACTTATTCCTAAATGTAGGTGCAGCCCCCTCTCCTACACTGCGGGTTCTCACTGCGTGGCTGTTAGTCAGGCTCATGAGGTGACTGTGCCTGGGGTTTCCTGCTGCCTCGTACTGCTGCAGGAGTCCTGGGCGGCGTGGGATGTGAGTGTCCATTTCCTCTTGTTGACTGTCTTCCATATCATATGTGTCCACAGTTACAATCCATCCCTTGGCCTTAACTTTGGAGTTTGGAGATTATATGCAAACATGTAAAGGCTTATGAATATGGATGACACTGGAATTTTATAAATTCTAAAATAAAACCCAAAACCAGATGCAGTGTGCTGAGGCTCGTTTTATCACACCACATATTCTTAGTCCATGGAACACTCGAGTGGTCACGGACATCCATACATAGTTCTCATCTGTGGTACAATTCTCCCAGCTGGCATATAGTTCTAAACACCACATTAACCAACGGCCCTGCAGGGGCCACGGTGGGAGGCCAGCAGTGGTCACAGCTGGGTGGCTGCCTGTCCCTGGGCTCCTGACCTTGCCTCACCTGCTGTGAAGCGGTACCTTGCTACTTCACTCACTCAGGATTCTGCCTGAATGATCAGCAAAATGAGGTGACCCCAGGACTGGCTGCGGTTGGGCAGTGCTGGGGACTTGGCAGAGGAACCACCTGTCTCATGTGGGAGGACAGGCATCGAGGGTCAGAGCTACAGGATGGGCCCGCTACGCACCACCCCTGAAGCTCGGGTCAGACGGGTCCACTGCATTAGAGGCCAAGGTGGTGGCCACTCTGGGTGGAAGGGTCTATGGCCAGGCATCAGGCCAATGATAGGCTGTCTTGATTGACATGCTGACTATAATGTGTGTGTTGAAGAAAACCTGAGTTACAACTCAAGCATTTTATTATGTTCAATAAATTTAAAATTACAGTTTGAGAAAGCAATAAAGCAACCACAGGAAGAAAGTACTTGTGGATGTTGTGAGGACACTGCACAGTGAAACCATGTGGCCTCACCACTGGGTGGCTCTGCTGCTCAAAGGACGGTCCCTTTTCTCAAAGTGGATGAATGAGTGACGCCCAAAAGCAGTGCCAATGGCATCTTTGCTCACCTCCTTGGGAAAGGCTGCCTGCGGTGCAGTGCACACAGTGCTGCCTGAGGCCAGAGCGGTGTATTTTTTTTTTTTTAATTATTGATTTTTACAGAGAGGAAGAGAGAGAGATAGAGCTAGAAACGTCGACCAGCTGCCTCTTGCACACCCCCTACCGGGGATATGCCCACAACCAGGGTACATGCCCTTGACCAGAATCGAACCCGGGACCCTTCAGTCCGCAGATTGACGCTCTACCACTGAGCCAAACCAGTTTCAGCTGAGCAGTGGCTTTTTAATGCCACATTTGCAAGAATGCTATTTAGAGAGGTATCGATCGGCCCTTCTGGGAGGAAGTTTGTACATCCAGAAGTTTACCCTGAGGAAGTCAGTGGTGTGCATAGTATTTCCGGAGATTTATTCCAGCATGAATTATAAGGTACAGGTGGAGAAAACACACACACGCACACACGCAGCAGGGATGCACAGCAAAGGAAAGCATCCCGTGGTGGAGTCACGCATGGGCACAACGGTTACTGAGTTAATGGAAGGGGGTTCACAAGCTGATCAGGACAAGGTCCAACTGTATGGACTATGGTGCTCCCAACTTTGAAGATGATCATGTGTAATCATACAGGAAACTCCAGAGTTTCACGGGTCAGGGAATAAAACAATCTTCCTCCAAACCTTCCCCAGCCTCAGGCTGTAGTCTGGTAGGGAGGTGGGCAGTACAGCTTTTTAGCCTGAGAGTCCACTGACAGTGACTGGGAGTGAAAGAGGGCACCATGTTCAAGAAATGGTGACAGAATCAAGAGCCCTTGGCTAGGAATGAGGAGTGGAGAAAGTGGGTGAGGGGTTGTGACCTGGAACATAGGGTGCTGGGGGGCAGGCAGGACTCTGTAAACAGGTGGGCCTGGAGAGGAGTCATTCCGTCATTCCAAGGACAGCAGGATCAAAACGCTAGAGAGGACACAGGAGCCAGAGTCCACTGCCTGGATTGGCAGATGAGTCATGTGAGGGCTGAAGGGCAAGTAGGAAGTGAGCAGGGAGAGGCAGAGGGGGCCGTGGGTGCAGGGGCCCAGGATGGCACGAAGTGGAGGGTTGAGGCCTGGAAGGGCCACAGTTCTGAATAAAGATGTAGGAGAGTAAGCAGTGTGCTCAGAGGTGGGTGGGGGTGACAGGGAGGGGAGCTAGTCTCAGAGGTGGAGCCATTCTGCCCCTGGGGGAGCATGAGGAGAGGATACTGGCTTGTGGGGCTGGGAGGGAGATGGTGGAAACATGCCCCAGCCCACCAGGTTCCCCTGCTATAGTCGCCTGGCTTTGGGTACTCCAAAGAGGTGGCCAGTGGAGGCTACATCTCCAGGGCATGAGTTCTCTGCACTCCAGGTGGGTCTGATTCCAGGCCCCGCAGCCTCCAACATGATTCCTGTGACCTCAGAGGGAAGGGACTGGCGAGGCCCAGCTGGCTTCTGGTTGCCTAGGCTGTGAGCCCAGACTCTCCTGAGGCTGAGGGCTGGTTGTCCTTGGCTCCATTCGTCCCCAAGAGAGCCTGTGTCCAGGAGGGGTGGTTGAGGAGAGTGTGATTAAACTGACTGCACCCCGGCCTACTTGGCAGCAAGTACCTGGCTGGGGCCACTCCACAATGGGTGCATGAGGGCTGTGGGTGAGGGCTCACCTCGTTCTCAGCCAGCGCCTGCTTGGCCAGGTAGTACTCCCGCTTCACCTTGATCTGCACGGACTCAGGGATGTCAGGTACCAGGAGGTTGAGAACCCAGCCAATGTAGAACACCACATGCTGGCAACAGGGGACAGGACCAGCAGTAAGGGAGGGCACCCTACCCAATGGTAAAACAAGTGCCCAGAGTGGCCTTCATGGGCTCAGGTGTGGACACCTGCTTCCCAGGTGTGGGTAAACTGAAACGCAGCAATGTCATGGCCCCAGAGACCAACCCCTGCTTCTGTGGCCTCGTGGAGCTTCCCTGGGACATTACATGGTGCCTGGAGCATCCTGATGTCCACACAGCCCTGTGACAGGCTAGGCAGGGATTGCTCCCTTTTGCAGATGGGGAAATGATGCAGAGAGGAACTGTGATTCCACCATAGTGACAGAGTAGTAAGACCAGGGCTCTATTCCTTTGGACACACCACCCTAAAACCACATGGTGAGATTAGGCAAAGCAAGAGGGTAGGGGAATCATGCTATGGCCAAGAGTGGGAAGTCAACAGAGGGCCCCAGCTACCTCAAACACAATGACAAAGGCCAGGCGGATAGCCAGAAGGTTCCAGTAAGTCCCGGAATAATGCCCATCGTCTTCCCTGAATGCCCGATACCTGCAGGAAATATGGGACTCAGTGTGGGGACCAGGGCAGATGACTTTTCGGCATCTCCACCTTTGGCCTCCCTGATGCTAAAAGTGTGGGCACACGTACCATGGAGGGTGCCTGAAGAGGGAAATACACTCAAGCAGTGTTCTCTGACATACGTTTAGCTCTTACATGGTCCCAAAAGGAAGGAGGAACTGGGTTATCCCGTTTCCCAACTAGGCTAACCTGGGCCCACTACTGTAGCCACATAAGTTAATACTCCAAATAGATATGATTAACAAATGACTAAAACTGTTTCTGTGTGTTTTTAATAGTAAAATTAAAACTGTATAACAATAAGGTGAACTGATGGGTGCTCAATAGGTTGTGGTAAAGTACATGAAGATCCTTGTCACACACAAGGAAATGAGACAAAAATAAATTCCTTCAGGATTTGTTAGAAAAATGTATAATTAAGATTGTATACTAAAAATTTAAGGGTAGTCCCTAAAATAATAAAAATATACAGAATCAGTTCCAAATGAGTGTAAAGAGGAAAAAAAATACAGAACACTAATTCAACAGGAAGTAGAAGAGGAATAAAAAGCAAAAAGAATAAATGGAGGAAGCCCAGCTGGTATTGCTCAGTGGTTGAGCATTGACCCATACGTCAAGAGATTGCTAGCTTGGTTCCTGCTCAGGGCATATGCCCAGGTTGCAGGCTCAGTCCCCAGCAGGGGGCATGCAGGAGACAGCCAATCAATTATGTTTCTCATCTCTTGTTGAGGTTTCTATGTCTCCCTCTTCCTTCCTCTCTCTCTAACATCAATGAAAACATGTTTTTTTTTAAAAAAGAGAAAAAAAGAAAAATAATAATAAATGGAGAAAGTGTCCACTAAAAAGAGATGAACTTGGCTGGCACCGGTTTGGCTCAGTGGTAGAGCAGTGGCCTGCAGACTGAAGGGTCCTGGGTTCTATTCTGGTCAAGGGCACATGCCAGCGGTGCTGGCTCAACCCCCAGTGGAGAAAGGTACAGGGGGCAGTCAACCAATGATTCTTTCTCATAATTGATGTTTCTATCTCTCTGTCTTCCTCTTCCTTCCTCTCTGAAATTTTTATATATATATATATATATATATATATATATATATATATATATATATATATATATATATATTTTTTTTTTTTTTTTTTTAAGGGAACTATAAGTTGACCCTTGAACAGCACGACGTTCAACTGTAAAGGTCATATACTCAGATTTTCCAAAAATTCAACCCGGGGTTGTTGGAGTGTCCCCTATAACCGCCCCAGACCCCCAGCTCTCTACCCGGGGGGATGAGGAGGATGGGTACTCAGTCTCCACCCTGTGTCCCCGGAGTCCTACAGCCGGTGGCTTGTTTAAGGAGGAAGCGCAGGTCTCGGGGCCCATCTGCTCTCTGGTCGCCCGGTCCTCAGGCTTGGCCTCCAAACCTGGGGACCTCCCCTTCCAGCCAGCCCTCAGCCCTGTGCCGCCCGCCCCTCACCTGGCGGCCTCACCTGCACGTGCGGTTGTGCGCGGCGGTGAAGGCCGGCGGGGCGCGCGCCAGTGTAAAGTTGACGAAGCCGCGCAGGTCACCGGCGCGGGTCCAGCGGTAATAGGTGCGCGGCAGGAACTCGGAGGAGAAGGCCAGCAGCACCGCCTGGGCGCAGGCGGTCAGGTGAACCGAACCCACTCGGCCCGCGGAGCCCCGCCCCATAGAGCCCCGCCCTGTGGAGCCCTGCCCCTCGGAGCCCCCACGGAGCCCCGCCCCCATGGAGCCCCGCCCCGAGAAGCACTGTCCCCGAGGAGCCCCGCCCCTGCAGAGCCCGGCCCTGTGGAGCCCCGCCCCGAGGAGACCTGCTCCCGAGAAGCCCTGCCCCGCGGAGCCCGCCCCCATGGAGCCCCACCCAGATGTAGCCACGCCCCTAGTAGCCCCGCCCCCGGAGTCCCGCCCCTGGAGCCCCGCCCCATGCCTCCCTTACCTCCCCCCACCTAGCGCTCACGTTGCTGATGACCGCCAGGTGCGCGATGCCAGTCAGGATGGGGAACCAGATGCCCACACCCTGCGCGCGCTGGGCCACTGGGCGCCGGCGCTCGCACACGAACTTGCGCGCGTCCAGGCGGATCTCCACCCAGTTGTTGAGCAGCGCGAAGAGCGGCGCCAGCGGGCAGGCGGCCACGAAGATGGTGACGAAGCCGAACTGCAGCACTGTGGGCACAGGTGTCACCGCAGGCCCTGTCCCTGCTCTCCTGCTTCTGCTCTGATTCATTTCCTAGGCTTAGCACCAGGGCCCCTGCTCCCCAAAAGCCTCCCTGACTGCCCCTACTGCTCCACAGAACTGTACGAGGGGCATGGGTCTCCTGGGGCTCTCCCTGAGGTCTGGGATTCTCTCTCCTCCTCGGCTTGGCCTGCCCTGTGGGCTTCTGGCAGGAAATGGAGATTTTAGGCCTGCCTTCTCCATTTACCCATCTCAGGGAGCAGCTGGTTCCTCTGTAAAATACTAAAAAGAGCATTGGTCCTATCGCCTGCTGTCCAGTGGCCTAGGGCTACATAAGTCAATCCCACTCACACATTATCATGAAAAAGCATATGAACTGTCTGCTCCCTCTTACGAGGGACCAATGCAACTACTATCACCCCTTTTGCTTTGGCTGCCAGGGAGTTCAGTGATATGTTGACTCAGATGCAACACTTTCCATTACACGTGGCCATGATCTCAGAGTAAGACCTTGGGCTGCTGGGACAAACATCCTGTCCCCAAAAAGTGCACCACACAGTGCAAGGAATGAGTACAACCATGGCCACCACCTGGCCAGGGCACAGTTGAGGGTCTAGGAAAGAATGTGGACATCAAGAAAAGTTCTGGCCCTAGCTGGTTTGGCCCAGTGGATATAGCGTCAGCCTGTGGACTGGGGGGTCCTGGGTTCGATTCCAACAAGGGCATATTCCTGAATTGCAGGCTCAAGCCCCAGTAAGGGGCATGCAGGAGGCAACCAATCAGTGATTCTCATCATGGATGTTTTTCTCCTTCTCCCTTCCTCTCTGAAATCAATAAAAAATATATATGGTATTAAAAAAAAAAAAAAAAGAAGAAGAAGAAGAAGAAGAAGAAGAAGAAAGAAAAGTTCTGGAATCAATTCCCATATGGGAGATTCCATTGGTCAGGGGACCTGAGGCTTGTCGCCTCCCAGGGGCAGCCTTACTCTCAGGGGCAGTTGTCCCCACCCCTAGTGCCTGGTCTCCTGAGCACCCAGCTTCCTCCCTAGCTCCTACAGGAGGCTCAAGCAGATGCCTATTGGGGTTGGGGGATTAAGGCCACTCCAGAAGAGCCCCATCAACTGCTCCCAGTCTTCTTTGCAAACCTCTGTGCCCAGGGTGCTCTCCCTTCCCATCTTCAGCCTGCCCTTCTTGGATACTCCCCACTGAGATCCCCACAAGTCCTTTCTGGATCCTTTGTAGGCTTGGCTACGCTAGGGACCCTCTGTCCCCACCCACATCATGTTTCAAGGGAGACAGAGGAATGTTGAGGCTGGAGGCCCCCAGGGGCACCTACCCATTTTGAGGTACTCATCAAATAGGCCCTCACAGGGCAGGAGCTCATAGTCTGCCTCCCAGGGCGTCTGGCTGGCAGCGGCTGAAGCCACCACCTTCCTCTTCTTGGAGCGAAGCCGGAACTTCAGCCACCAGCCCTTGAGCTTCCTAGAAGTGGAAACACCCAGGGAAATAGCTTTTGCTCCTCCCGCTGGTTGCTCTGCAGTTTGAAGGCAGCAGGGGGAGGTCTGGACCCTGGGACCAGCACAGCAGGCTGGCCAGGCCTTACCAAACCCTCAAGAGTATCTGCCTCCTGCCGAAACTGGTTTGGCTCAGTGGATAGAGCGTCAGCCTGCGGACTGAAAGGTCCCAGGTTCAGTCTGGTCAAGGGCATATACCTTGGTTGCAAGCACATCCCCAGTGGAGGGTGTGCAAGAGGCAGCTGATCAATGTTTCTCTCTCATCGATGTTTCTAACTCTCTATCCCTCTCTCTTCCTCTCTCTAAAAAATCAATAAAATATATTTTTTTAAAAAAAGAGTATCTGCCTCCTTATGGGGGTAGCCCCTCCCCCAGCTCCCCTGTAATACCCCATTGTTCATGGAAGCTTTGGGGAGGATGGATTCCTCCTGGGGCATGCAAAGAGGTACCAGAGGTACATCAAGGTGGAAGTGAGCAGATGAGGAAATCACTGTGTGAATGGGGGCATGTTTGCTTGTTACTTTGTCATAGGCAGGGGAATAGGTGTATGTGGCTTTGTCAGCACTCATTCGGCCCCTACAGGCACCAACTACACCCCACACCCCAAACTCATGATTTCCTGGAATTCAGCTGATAGAACTGACTGTACCCAAAGAGAGGCATGGGTTGGCCAAGGTCCCATAGCTACAGTTCGAGGGGCTCAGGGGAGTCCATGCTGTCTGAGGGAGATCAGGTATGCAGGAGAGATGGCAAGATGTCCAGGTTGGGTCCAGCCTTGGGCAGTCATTGCAATGGCTCTTGCCTGGGAGGGTGTCCCAATGCTTGGATGGGAGCCACGGTGATGCCAGTGGAGGTGGCATTGGGGAGAAAAGACCCTAGTGGCAGGGAACCTGAGGCTGGGGGCCTCCCCTGGATGCCCCCTCTGGTGCTGCCTTGACAGGGGGTGCTGCAGAGTGTCCTGGCCACAGAGGCTACAGAAGGATGGGCCTCCTCCTTCAAGAAAGCTGGCCAGGACCAAAGAACTCAGTGTGCTGACACAGCAACCACAGGGTGCGGGTGTCACAGAGCCCCTGGGGCAGATGGCAGGGTGGACCCTCCTCTCCCCTGCAGGTGCAATTGCCAGATCCAGGAGGGGCCCCCCTGGCTTCCCTCCACCTCTTTTCCTGGTTGGGACTGGGCTGGGGCTACTGCCCCAGACAGTCCCAGTCCCAGGGCCCCTGGATGCTGCCCAGGGCAAGTGGGGGACTCACGGGATGAGAATCTCCTGCACGTTATTGATGATTTGCTTGCCCACCATGATGACCAGGAGCTCCTGTGCCAGCTCGATGAGACAACCTCCTGCCGCACACTGCACAGCCAAGCTCCAGGTTAGTGCAGGGGAGGAGGTCCCCTCCCCAACCATCCTCCTCTAACCCTGAAAGGTGGCCCTTGCCATGTCCCTCCTCCTCTTCACACATGCCATGGGTTGCACAGACCCACCCCAGACCTCACCCAAGTCCCCACTGTCTCCCCAAGGTCCACCTGCTAGACAGTGCATGCGAATGACCAGGCCCACTGATGCATGGCACCCCAGTTTTCCTTTGGAGACCCCCATGGCGTGAGGCTGATGCTGGCCCTGTGGCTCCAGGGAGGACCCACTATGTAGCCTCAGCAATCCCAGCCAGGGAGAGGCACACTCAGGGCTTGTAGGGGGAGCTCCTGAGACAGCATATCTTGCACAGGGGGAGCAAGCAAGAGGGCATCGGCCTGTGCTGTTGGGATGTTGGCTCCCCTAGGGGTTGGGAGAACCTGACCGAGCACAAAGCCAGTGCTATAATAGGAAAGCAGGGCAGCATTGTTCAGACGCCTACACCCAGCCCCACCTGAGCCCCCGGGGCCTGGCCAGCATCATTATAGGAGCCAACGGAAAGGAACTCTGTTTCTGTGAAGCCAGTGTGAGTTGGGAACTTTCCCCCTGATGACCAAAAGCCCCCTGAGTTGGGGTCCCAGCTGCCCAGTCCCTGAAAAGCCCCTCCCCTATCATGAGAAAATAGAGTATTCCTCGGGGTTGGCCCCTTTGCAGGCAGTGGGTTGGGTCACAGCCCAGACCCCTGGAAAGGAGGGAGCCTTTGGGTCAGAGAGGAGAGGGTCCTCTAGGTGAGGCACTCAGCGGAGCAGCTGGAGCCCCGCCGCCCTGGCTCAGAGACACCTGTCACTGTCCCAGCTCCACCCAGGCGTGCCCTTTGCAAGGGGACCTCAAGGTGCTTTCTTCAGTGTCTCTGAGGGGTGGGCAGGGGCAAGCCCAGGCGCCCACAGTGGGCTCTGCGCCTGTGAGAGTCACCAGCCTGTGTTCCCAGCGGAGCTTTGGGCAGTGAAAGTGTCAGCCTTTCCCCGCTCTGACCTGACCTGTGACTTATGCATCAGGCCAGAGTGGGAAAAGAGTGACACATGAGGACACGACGGTGTTTTGTGGGCGCTGTTCCAGGTGGGAGTCAGAATGCTAGGAGGAGCCTGCTGTGGGGGTCCCGGGGCAGTTGTGACTGTGAGGGGCGGGGGTCAGAAAAAATCCCTGCCAACTAACATTCTGATGGAGGTTAGGGGGCAGGACCTGTGGGTGTAAGTCCCTGCACACTTACCTCCTCGTTGCGAACCCCCAACAAAGTGTGGTAGTTGCCCGGGTACCCCACAAACCTAGAGGAAATGGAGGTCCAGAGGCCACAAGTGAGGAGGTGCCATCAGCTACCCCCCTCAACCTCCCCACTATCTCCCTTGCTGCACACACCAGACCTGCAGGAACCTCCAGGTGAACCTGGAGCCCAGCTTTGCTCTGAGGTCCTGAGCCAGGACAGCTGCTGTCCCCACCAGGCCTCCTGGTCTGTCATGCCCACCCTCCCTGAGCCTCTGGGGCCACATGGGTTGAGGCAGTGCAGGAGCAGGGCCCAGGTGAGGTGAGGCCAGGGGAAGCGGCACTGACCTGCCCTTGAAGAAGGCGATGTAGATGGGCGAGGAATAGAAGTTGACGAACTGGAAGATGAACACCTTGAGGGTGAAGGCGTCCTCGAACTGGGTCTGTGTCCGGTGCATTTCTGGGCAGAGAGGCTGGCTCAGTCCCCCACAGCCCAGCCCTGGAGCCACCTCACCCACGCAGGGAGTGAGGGAAGCCGCATCGGACAGACATTCACTCAAAAAGGGGGCAAAGTGCAGCTTTCCTCAAGTTCTAATTCCCAAACCCTCTAAAAACGCTACGTTGGTAGAGGAAGAGCTGGCAGGTGACCAGACCACAGCAGTGCTGAGGGTGAAATGGCAGGGCACAGAGAGTAGCCAGAGGCCGAGCGGAGTGCCAGTCTGAGGCTGGGGTGACCGTGCCTGGAAAGCCGTTGCTGAGACAGAGGTCGGGCATAAAAGGTGAATTGGAGGGGATACCTGAGGCCGGAAACGGGGTGCACATGGCCCTGCTGTTGCAGGAACACTGTGGGGGCTCCCTGGGACACCTGCCCACCCAAAGCTCCCCCCAGGGGGACACTGAGCTCTCTGTCCCACCCCTGGACCAGGGCTGCTAACAGGCAATGTGTGGAAGGAATGAACTGGTTCACTGGTGTTTGTCTCTAGGAGATGGGAGAGTAAAGAAAGTGGGGGAGAGGTAGGCAGTGGGGCGGGCAGAGGGGAGAAGGAAGGAGGTTACTCTGACAGAGGTAGTTATCTCTCAGACACTGAGAAAGCAGGGCACACAGGGAGGCCTGGCCTGGGCAGCCTGCCCCAGGGGAGCCCCGCTTCGAACGGTCCTGTGTGAGGGGTGGAGGTGGGGTAAGGGCACCCCAGATGCAGGGCAAGGCCTGGGTGCCCCAGAGGACCCTCTTGTCTTCACCCCCAGGCACTGTGCACAGTTGGGGGTGGGTCTCACATCCCATCTGTGCTAATTCAGACTTGAGGACCCTGTGATCTGCAAGGAAGTGTGTTCCGACTCGGGCAGCAGAGCTGGGATGGCCCTGAGTGGGCACTCAGCCTGGGCCACTCACCCCATCTTGTCAGGATGTGGGCCAAAGCCACATAGACCTTGGAGAGGACAAGGATGAAGAACAGGTTCACGACGGAGCCCGAGAGGCTGGCGATGCGAGAAGCCTGGCGGCAGGTGGTGGATCAGAGCTGGCGCTGGGGGTGGTCCTGGGCCACCCCCCACCCAGCAGGAGCAGGCAGTGGAGGCTCACCCAGGCTGCCAAGAGGGTGTTGTTCAACCTGGACACCAGGATGGCCATGATGGCGCGGTACAGGATGATGGACATGAGGCATATGACCACCATGGCCACCTGTGGGGACCAAGTGCGTGAGCCCCCATGCCGAGGCCCGGGACTCCAGCGCCCTCAGGCCACCGCCCCACCTAAAGGCCTGGCTGTGCTCGTGCTTCTTCAGTGGGTGTTAGCGGCACAGGAAGGCAGGATGGGGGGCTGGGAGGCCATTTAGAATTACAGGTGGGCGATATCTGGGTGTCAAGGGAGCCACGGTGCATTCGGTCCCAGGTCCCCCGCCCCTGCTCTTCCACAGGCCAGAACTTGGGAATTCCTGCCATTTTGGAAGGGGATGGGAAGGGAGGGTCCAGCCAGGAAGCCCCTTTGGCTGGAGGACCTCCCCCTGCCGGGATCCCCCCATGCTTGAAGGATCCCCCAAGCCCACATCTGCGGGGAAACATTCCGGGAGTCCCTGCCCACACACACTCACGGCTTACAGCCCAGACCCCCTGGCCAGGCCCTGAGCTTGGCACCTTCCCTGGAGCCCAGGCACCCGAGGGCCTTTCTGCGGCAGCAAGTGCCTCGTGGGTCCCAGGAGGAGGAGGGGTCGCAGCTGCCCCGAGCAGCTCCGGAGGAAGGGGCGTGGCGGGGAGGGGAGGGTGGCGGGACCCTCACCATCATCAGCACCAGCACGGAGCTGGCCAGCATGCGACGGGTGCGGCTCCTCGGGGAGAAGTAGGGCTCCTCCTCGCCGGTGATGGGGTTCAGGGCTGTCGTGGGGGCCGAGGCGGCAAACTGGGGCCGCGGCCTCTCCTGGAAGGGAGCCAGTGCTTAGTGGCGGCCTCGTGGGCAGCGCGGTGGCCACGGCCTGGGGACCGACCCACCTCGGTGTCCTCGTAGTCGAAGCAGCCCCAGCGGTAGGCCAGCGCGGCGCTCTTCCGCTTCCAGCACTCCAGAAACAGCACGGCCCACAGCGCCACGAGCACGCTGAAGAACACGGTGCCGCCGTGGTCGAACAGCCGGCCGGCCTGCGGGCGGGCGCGGGGCTCGCACTCGCTCCCACTGCTGGCCCCTCTGTGCCTCGGTTTCCCCCCTTGAGCAATGGGTCGTATTTTGGAAGCAGGTGGCTTGTTTCCCGGCGAGGGGCAGCAGACAAGTGGGATGTTGCCCCTGGAGGGCCACACCTGAGTCTCCCCCGTAGCGCCTTAGGAGATTCAGGTGGGATTCTGCACTTCCTGAGCTGTGGATATTTGGGAGCTTTGCGGACTTACGAGTTGACGCTGTGATGAGTTTAGAACTTTGGGGGTGTGTACTTTGCACATGGGGCGAACCTAAAGTTTGGGGGGCCAGAGGGTGGACTGTAGGGGGTTGGATTGTGACTCCTCCCCCCCTCCCCCCCCCCCCGGAACCTAAGGAGATAAGCTTATTTGGAACAAGGGTTTGTGTATGTGTGATTAAGGTGGAGGTCTCTACATGAAAGTACCCCCTGGGGCCTGCGACAAATCCTTATGACAGAAGGGAAGGGGGATAGACACACGTGCCCACAGGGAAAGGCCACGTGAACATGGAGGCGGAAATTGGGGTGGTGCAGCCACCAGAAGTAGGAGCAAGGCAGGGAACAGAGTCCCGGAGGAGGCAGCCTTGCTAACACCCGGAGTTTGGACTTCTGGCCTCTGAGCTGAGGGAAAATAATTCATGTTGTTTCAAGAACAGGACTTTGTTGGAGCAGTCCTAGGAAACGGTACAGACGGCTGCCGAGGTGTGTGTCAAAGGTGTGTCTGGTCTGGGGCCCAGCAGTGCATCAAGAGCACCAAGCCCAGTGTGTGGGGGATGCAGGTGAGGCCACAGAGAAGAGCTAACACACCCACAGTGTGCTGGGCTGCTGTGGGGGCCACCGGGCGCAGGGACTCCAAGGAGCTACCTGCCCCCACCTCTTAGGCTGGGGGCTCTGCTCAGCTGTGGGGCCCCCTGGATCACCTTGGTCAGTGACAGACAATAGCAGCAATGACAGCAAGGGCCCACCTATGGCCACTGACTGTTGCAGGCACTCCGCCAAGGGGGGCGCCAGTCACAACCCCACGCCAGGGGCAGACGGAGCTCTCTTCCTCCCTTCGCCCACCTCCCCCGTACCTGGGCTAGGGCGCAGGTGCTGGAGAGCAGCCAGAAGGGGCAGGTGAGACAGAGTGGGCACATCTGGAAGCTATCGGCGCTGCTGCACAGCTCCTGCCTTCAGAGTGGAAGCGGGTGCTGGAGCATGGGGCCCCCTTCCCACCAGGTCTGCCCCCTGCCACTGCCCTGGCCAGGTCCAGCGTTTCTTTAAAATGTATGCAACCATCATTTTTGAGATAACTTTTTGCAATTTCACCTCCATAATAAAGCAAAATTCACACCCCGTCTTTTGTTAATTAAAAGAAAAGCGTACGCTATTCCAAGAAACAAGGGCACCAACACAATTAGTCTGGAAACACACCTGTCTACGTGTGTCATTCTAGGGCACACCTATCAGTGTGGGAACACACCTGTCCACCTGCGTCAGCCTGAGGCCACACCTGTCCGACGGTCATTCTGGAGGATTCCTATCTACCTGTCATCCTTCCAGCCAGATCCATTGGGCCCTCTGACATCCATGAAGGCAGGGAGGTGTTCATAGTCACCTCCATCCCCAGCTCTGCACAGGGCGTGTACACCCCCTCCCCCCCCGCTTCCCCGGAGACACAGGGTGAGGCCTGGGAGCTGAGGGGAGAGGGCACTTACGTGGGTGTGTCTGAGAATACCATGAAACAGCCCACCAGGAATACCAGCGTGCCCACCACGGCCGCTGGCAGGAGCCAGCCTGTGTAGAACCCTGCAGAGGGGAGCCAGGTAGGGGCCCCAGGAGCCAGCTGTCAGCAACCATGATGGGCCTGTGCACCCAGCGCTGGGCTGAGTGCCAGGTGGGGGTCTGCACAGACACAGTTGTCCCCCAGAGACCCACATCCAACCAGCAGAGTTTGAGGCCATCTGGGAGGCAGTTGTTGGGGAGATGGTCCTCAGAGGTCCCCCCACCCCCCAGCCCCTTTGTCCTAACCTCTGTCCTGGGCTGTGCAGCCCCCACCACATGACTGGGCTTCATGGGCGGGGTCTGGCGGCTGAAGTGGGGAGGCCCACCTGCAGGAGGGGCTTCCCAGCCCTTCACTGGGGTGTTAAGAGCGTCCTGGGCCAGTGGTTGTGTTGGCCTAGGAGGGATCAGCATGCTGGCAGCCCAGCCCCTGTGCTTGCTCCCCTTTTGGAGATTATTACTCTGCAGACCACAGTCGGGGCCCAGGAGGCCCTGAGGGGCAGTGGGCGGGACTTACCCAGCCAGGCGAAGTAGAGGGCCACCTTCTCCCCGAAGTACCTGCGCACGTGGTCCAGAGGCTGGTACTTGTGCCACTTGCCCCAGCGGGCCCAGTACTGGAACAGGACCTGCCGCTGGTTGAGGCCAGGGGCCCACAGGCCCTCAGGGGGTGTAGTGAAGGGGCCCTGGGGACCAGAAGCCAGTGGGCGGGATTCAGGCTGGTCTGAGCATCTTACTGGGCCTTATTCTATTTTTTTTATATATATATATATTTTTTATTGATTTTTTTACAGAGAGGAAGAGAGAGGCATAGAGAGTTAGAAACATAGATGAGAGAGAATCATCAATCAGCTGCCTCTTGCACACCCTCTACTGGGGATGTGCCCGCAACCAAGGTACTTGCCCTTGACCGGAATCGAACCCGGGACCTTTCAGTCCGCAGGCCGACGCTCTATCCACTGAGCCAAACCGGTTTCGGTGCTATTCTAAGTGTGGGCCTTCAGCGCGGGGCAAGGCCACCTGCCCGGTGTCCCGGACGCAGGGTTGCTGCTCGAGGACGACAGAGTTATGTTCGGGTCCCGGGGTCCCGGGGGTCGGGGGAGTCTAGGAAGGCCTCTCTGGGAGGGGCATCTGAGCTGGGCACCTCGGCCTCCTGGGAACCCCGCAGTCTGCGTCCAGGAGGAGCTGCAGCTGTGGTCCAGGATGGATTGGCATCTCTGGGTGGGCTTCTGCAGCCGGGGGCGGTGCTATCCCCTGGGCACCGGGCAAGCGAGGCCGCTGTGCCAGGCGCTGTGCGTCCTGTGCTCTGGCCAGAGGTGGGAAGAGGTTTGCCCCAAGCCCACGTGGAGCTGGCCATTCCGCTGGGTGTCCTCCCTCAGGTGGCCCTTCGGTACCTCACACAGAGCTGCAGGCCTGACCCTGCGCTCCACCCTGCTGCCCCTTCCTGCAGCTCTGGATTTGGTGGGCAGCTGTGGGGGTGAGGGACATAAACAGCCTCCAGACCACAGTGAACATTTTGTCAGGGCAATGGTGAGCGCCCCTTTGTGTTCAGTTTACTCAGATTTGGGGAGCACAGGGGACCGCACTGTCTTCCCCATGAAGATGGGGCTGTTGGGCGTGTCATGTGCCGAGAGGGCAGTGCCTGGCTGCCCAGGGCCTTGAACAGCAGCATGGCCTGGTGACATTGCAGTTGCCTGCCTGGCAACAGCTGCCCCCACAGGTGACAGCAAGACGCCCTGGTCTAGGAACTCGCCCCATGCCCGAGTCCGAGACCCCACCACAGCCTCTCCAGCCCCCAGGTCTCACCTCGTGCAGGGGGAAGGCCGCCCTGAAGGCGCCCTGGGACAGCAGCTGCTCGATCCCAAACAGACCTTTCTTGTCATCGCCGTATGGGGTCTTGGCCAGGATCTCAAACAGCTGGGGGTGGTGGGGAGAGGGCACTGGTCGCCTGTCATGTGATGGCAGGGCAGGGACATCCTGACCCTCCCATCTCAGGGGACGATCATTCTCCACTGTACAATCACAAGACCTGGGCCAGAATTGTGGGCGCACAGGAGTCAGGCTTGGATTTGACCCCAGGTCCTGACTGTGCACAGCCAGCCCTGGACCCTGCTCTGGGCAGGGCCAGCCTCCAGTTGGACAGCTGTGTCAGGCATGGGCTCTGCCTCTTTGGTGGCCAGCAGGGGGCGGCCCTAGGCAGACCTGTCCAAAGCTGCTTCCTGTCACAGACCCTGGAGTGGCCTGGCTCAGCCCACCCTTCTCAGGCTCGATACTCTGACCCTCGGCTCTCTTCCTCACTGACCAGCAGGTCCCACACCCACCTGGGTCAGTAGCCGTGGCTGTCTGTCCCACAAGTCCATAACCAGATATCCATTCTGAGCCCTGGGGCTCCCGTGGGGGCACTGACAGGGCCCAACTGAGTTCAATGAGGGGGCACCCCTGAGTCTCCAGCCCCCAGCCCTGGCCTCAGTGCTCCCATCACAGCAGAGCTTTCCTGTGTCCAGACCTCAGGCTCCTCTGAGCCGGGAAAGGGTTTGGGGACCCCCACTCACGATCTGGTGCCTGTGGGTGCAGGAGAAGAAGGTGTCCTGATTGTCACTCCTGAGGAACCTGTGGGCATGTGAAAAGTGCATAAGAGTTCACAAAGGCAGACACACACACACACACACACACACACACACACACACACTTTAACCATGCTCAGGCTTTCTCCTTGCACACTGGGGAACAGCCACCATCCCCTTTCCACCCTCTCACCCTCTCACACCCCCCCCCCCCGCCCCCCGACGCAGGATCAAGTCCCAATATTGTCTTTTCCTTTCTGGAGGCAGGAGGTCACAGGGCATTGTTCAGAAGTCACAGAAATCCTCCACCAGGAACAGTGGTTGGCAGAGGGCAGGGCAGTGTGGGAGCCCCAGGCTCACAAGGAGCCCCGTGGCTTCCCTGTGCACCGGAGCACCACACATAGGTGTGCCCTGTGACACGCACACAGGAGAGGTGCCACCAGCAGCCAGTGTGGACTGACCACGACCATCTTCCGCCTCGTTTGCGAGAGAGGGCCCTCCAGACCCTGCCACCCACCATGGACGTGTCATTGAGTAGGAAATGGGCTGCGTGTCCAGCAACTGGGGTTTGGGGAACGTTTGTCCGCAGCACAGCCTGCCTGTCCTGACTGAAGTGGCCCAGCCGCCACTCACACTCCCTGGTTAAAAAGCTCCAAAAAGGAGAAGGTTTAGGAAGGCGTGGAGGTTTAGCTCTGTCACTCGTTGACCTCTCACGCACGCTTCCCTGGCTGTGTCCCCCAGCCCTGGCCACCGTATGAAGCTGTCCCGCAGGCACGGCAGGACCACCGTCTCTCACCTCGACAGCTTGCTCACTTTGAACTGGCAGGAGTAATACTCGGGGGGCACATCGGGCACGTCCTCCAGCATGATGTTGGGGATGCCCAGCCACCGCAGCAGGCTGGCCGACCAGTTGCTGGCCTGATTGGGCAGCTCCTGGAAAGGATCATCGCTTGTTCCTCCCACCCCTGGGCACGATGCCACGTGGCGGGATGAGGTGTGTAGATTTGCAAACTGAGCAACAGCGAAAGGGCTCAGCCAGGGAATGGGCAAGCCTCTTCTTGTCTCAGGCCTGGTGCTAGGGGGCTCAGCTGGTCCAGCCGAGGCCCAGATTTCAAGGCAGGGAGGGTTAGACAGTCATGTGTCCCTTTGTCTACCAAATGCCATCATGGTCAAAGGGAGCCAGAGTAGGTGGCAGAGCAGCCCCCAGGCACATCATCCGGAGGTCACCGCTGCCTCTCCACACTGTGTCCCCAGTCTACTCTCTCCCTCCTGCAGTGGTCCTCAATGGACAGCCTGGTGGGGGTCGGGAGCAGGCGGGCTCAGGTGGTCAGACTAGGCCATGGTTGCTGCACACACGCCTCCCCCCCAGAGCATCCATGGTTGTGGGGTCTGAACCGCCCCACCCTATCTGCCTAATAAGGCTTCCTGGAGTGTGATGGCAGCTACGAGGGACCTTTGAGGAGAAAATGGGGAGCCTCAGGTTGTCAGCAATGGACACTGCACCCAGCACATGGGGCGCAGTCATGAGTAACCCTGGCTTGGGGGGACCTCCAGGCCTTCTCTGAATGTCATGCACTCCAGGTACCTGCAGGGGCAGCTTCAGGCGAAGGTCTTCCGCGTAGTAGCAGAGCACGGCCCAGGGGGCGCTGAGAAGGATGTAGTGCACTCTGCTGTGCTCATCCTGGACAAGATGCTGTGGGGACCGGGGCTCTGTCAGAACCTGAGTGTGTGCTGTGTACATGTTTGCAGAGTGCATACATGTACACATGTACACACAAGTGTGTGCTTGTGTGGGTGCACACGTGGATAAATATTTGTACACAATGTGTGTGCATGCATGCATACATGTGACTGTTTCTACACACACACACATGTGCATACATGTGCAGGGTGTGCCGTGTGTGTGTGTCCATTCACACGTTTAGGAAAAGGCAGATGTTTCTGTAGCCATGTTAACAACCAACCAGCCATGGCTTTAAACCTATTTGGTAAGTGACAGTGCCTCTGAAAGCCAAGCACGGGGTGCCTGCCCCTCTCTGGAGATCAGGCAATCAGCGACAGACAGAGGACACCAAGCTATTAGGGCCAATGCCAGCCATACCCCTGTGACGAGCAAACCCTCCCAAGGCCTGAGCTCAGAGTACTGCCCAAGCAGCCCTGCTCCCTGACCCAAGCAGCCCTGCTCCCTGACCCAAGCAAGCAGTAATTCAGCACAGCAGTCACCAGCAGGTGCTCGGCCGAGGCCTGGCCGCCACTGCACCCGTGACGCAGGCGGGTCTCACAGGCACGACGTCAGGAAGAGTCCCACTGAGCACAGCTCCATCTCGCTAAGTTCAAATAGAAACAGAGCTGTACTGTTTATCAACATGAAATGTGCTCACATGGTAAAGACACACAAGAATGAGGTTAGCATGAAGCTCAGGATTGAGTCCTCTGGGGCTGGAGAAGACAGACACTGGACAGCAGAGTCTGCTCTTGGGGTTAGAAAGCAAGTCAGACAATGCAGGAGACATGTAGAGGGACCCGGCATGGGGTCAGTGATGCGATGGAACCAGAGTTCTGCACTCCAATCCCCACTGCTCCAAGCCCCCCTCACTGCCTGCCTGCCCCCACTGCACACCAGCACCACACAGCTCCTTCCTGCTTTCTCATACTCCCCGCAACTGAAGTGGGACCAACTATTGTAACTGACATCATACCTGTGAAAGGCCTGATGCATACCTTTAAGCACACAAATGTCCCACCCCTAGACAGAAGCCCTAATGTTGGAGGTGAGACAGGCGAATGGAGAAGGTGGCTCCTGAGTTTTCTGGTGAATCTGAAGGGCTCTGGCTTCTGTGAGAGAGCTTGTGTGCTACGATGGCTTGATGCTTTACCTGAGGGGAGGGCCATCCAGTACAACTCTGGGCTTGATTTGTTGTCATGCTCCAAGCCTAGTGGATGTAGTGCCTAGGTCCCTGCCCACAACCAACCCCCGTACCTGGTCCACATGCAGGCCAGCCGTACGAAGGTTCTCCAGGAAGGTCTCCCGCCAGGCCATGTGTGTGTGTCTCTTGTCCTGAGTGGCACTGTCCTGCTGCTGACCCAGCCTCAGGTCTTCCTCCCAAACAAGGACAAAGTCTGCGGGGAACCAACAGGGACAGAAACAGGGAGGACAGGCTAACCCAGGGATGCCAGTCTCCCTGCGGGGACACCCGGGTACTGGGTGGGAAGTAGAAGTCAAGCACTTGGGGCACTTGGCCTATCCCTCTATACAAGAGGATGTGGTCATGGTCAAAGGGCCCAACATAAATGATCTGAGAATCAGAGAGAGAGAGGGTAAGAAGAAGCACTTTTTAAAGAAAAATGGTCAAGAATTTTTAAATCTGATGAAAAAAGAAATCAATACAAAAATAAAAAATCTCAGTGAGCCCTAAGCAGGATAAAGAAACTCCAGCTAGAAAAACCTTGGACAGCATGTCTTTGCTGTGCACTACAGAGAAAGGGGAAAAAAAATCAAAACATTATATTTCAGGGAACAACAAGAGTGTGGACACCCAATTTCTCAACAGAAACCATGGAAGAAGCCAAAGGACAATAGAATAGCATGTTTAAAGTGCTGGGGGAAATACGGAACACTGAAGTTCTTATTCTGTAGAAATGTTCTTCAGAGATGAGGCTAAAGGAAAACATCCTCAAACAATCAAAGCCTGGGAAATGAAGTCCAGCACACCTGCTCTACAGGAAACACAGGAGGAAGTCCTTGGGCCAAAGGTGATACTCAGATGGAAATGCAGATGAGCAAAAAGAATGAATACACTGCAAAGATAAAGTTAAATGTGAAAGTAAAACGACCTATGTACAGAGGGCATGATCTTGTATATAGATATTCCAAAGGAATCCACTACAGAAACTATTAGAACTAATACCAGTTTTGAGAAGGTTGTTAGATACAAAATCAACATATAAATTTCAACTGTAGCCCTGGGCAGTGTGGCTCAGTTGTTTGGTCCATGCACTGAACTGTCATGGTTTGATTTCTGGTCAGCACACATACCCAGGTTGTGGGTTCAATCTCCAGTCTGGTTGCATGTGGGAGGCGACTGATCAATGTTTCTCTCTCACATCTATGCTTTTTTCTCTCTCTCCCTCTCCCTTCCTCTCTAAAATAAATTTTAAAAAATCAATATTTCCATATATTAGTAATAAACAAGCCAAAAATGAAATGAAGAAAAATAATTCCATTTACAACAACAATTCATATACAACAGCACCAAAAAAGGAACAAATTTTTAAAATGTTGAATAATTATACATTGAGAACTACCTAATGCTATTGAGATACATTGAAGAAGAGCTAAATATATGTGAAGAATCCCTTGTGCATAAGTTGCACATGAAGAAGACAACCTGTCCAGGATAGCAAACTGATTTACACACTTAATTCATATCAAACACACTGCTGGCTTTCTCCACCCTCGCTCCCCAAAATTGACAAGTTTAAAATATCTTGTGGAAACACATGAGATCCAGAATATTGAAAAATAATAGAGTTGGCCTCACCAGTATTGCTCAGTGGTTGAGCATCAACCCATGAACCAAGTAGTCACAGTTGGACTCTCAGTCAGAGCACATGCCTTGGTTGTAGACTTCATCCCCAGTGTAGGGCATGCAGGAGGCAGCTGATCAATGATCCTTTCTCATCAATGATGTTTCTATTTCTCCCTCTCCCTTCCTCTCTCTAAAAACAAACAAATAAAACATATTTTTTAAAAAAAGAACAGTGGTACTACTCATGTTTTTAAATTTTAGAACTCACTATAAAGTAAGGATAATCAAGATACTATGGTACTGGCATAAGGATAGAGATATAGATGTAGTTCAATAAAATCTATTTGAGATTCTGAAAATAAACCCATATATGTATGGCCGATTTTTTTACAAAAGGCCCAACAATTCAATGGGGAAAGAACAATGATTTCAACAAATGGTGGCAGCACAAGTGGACAAATATACCTAAGGAAAAAATTTGGTCCTCATTTCACACCATACACAAGAATTAACTCAGAGTAGAGTTAAGATCATAAGATAAAGATAACAGAACTAAGGATAAGGATGAAAATAGCCTGGCTGGCCTGGCTCAGTGGTTGAGTGTTGACCCATGAACCAGAGGTCACAGTTCAATTCCCAGTCAGGGCACATGCCTGGGTTATGGCCTCAATCCCCAGTAGAGGGTGTGCAGGAGGCAGCCAATCAGTGCTTCTCTCTCATTATGGATGTTCTATCTCTTCCTCTCCTTTCCTCTCTGAAACCAATAAAAACTATTTTAAAAAGAATGAAAGTGATAAGACTCAGGAGAAAATATAGAGATAAATAAGTCTTCATGACCTAGATTCTTAGGTACAACACCAAAAGCACAGCAATAAAAGAGAATAGTAAAAAGATGGACTTTGTCAAAATGAACAACTACGGTATATGCTTCAAAGGACACTGGCAGGAAAGTATAAAGGCAGCCCACGGAATGGAAGGAAAATATACATGTAAATAGTGTATCTGACAAGGATCTTGTATCCAGAACACAAAGAACTTCACAACCTAATAAAAAGATAAGTAACCCAATTTTAAAATGGGCCAAGATTTTGAAGACATTTCTCTAACGAAGATATGCAAATGGCCAATAAGCCTATGAAGAGATGCTTAATATCAGGAAATTACAAACATGAGTCACATAGAGATGCCACCTTACAGTACCCCACAGTGGCTGCACCATTTCACATTCCCATTAGCAGTGCACAGGATTCCAATGTATCTGCGTCCTTATCAACACTTGGTATTTCCTGTTTTTGTCAGTGTTGTAAGTGGGTGGGGGTGAGGGCATCTACTATTAACAATGATCATTGCTGCATGGAGGGCAGGGTCAGGTAGATGAGGCCAGTGGGATGCAGTCCCTTCAGAGATGATGGTGGCTTGGGGCAGACAGGAGGCATGGGGGGGGAGGGGGAGCGGGGAGGTGAGGATTTGGTGGAAAAGCTATGGGGCACAACAGGTAAGAATCCGAGGTGAGCCCTGGTTGGTGTTTTTTGGGCATTGTTCCTGTGCACGATTCCTAGTCAGGCACATATCCCGGTTATGGGCTTGATCCCCATTGGGGGTGTGTAGGAGGCAGCTGATCAATGTTCCGCTCTCACATTGATATTTCTCTTTCTCTCCCTCTCCCTTCCTCTCTCTTTAAAAATCAATTAAAAAATAAAAAGAATCTGAGGTGACTCCAAGCTGTCCTGAGGCCAGAGCAGGAGGGAGATGGGCCCCCTCTGCCCTCCAGAGCTCTCTCAGCTCCAGCCCCTCAGTAGGAACCCCCCTTTTCTGCTGTGGCCCCAGACTGTGTTCTGCTCACCACGGGGCCCTCACCCCATTTCCCAGCAGAGCAATTGGCACCAGAGCTGGCTCAGGAGATAGTGCTGGGGTGGGGAGGGGCAGCCTGGTCACAGAGGATGGTGATTCAGACCTGCTGTCCTTTTGCTACCATATGGAGGTGCCCCATCTGTGTTCCCACACCCCAGGACCAACACAGGAACAGCTGGAGAACTCGGAAGGGCTCACCGATCCTGCAAGTGGCCGCCTGGTGTTCATCGGGCTGGAAGGAAAGCACCTCATGGTGAGAACACACCCTTTCCAGCCCTAGACCACCCAAGGACACGGAAGGCCAAATGGGTGTGGGTAGGGGGCTCAGAGGCACATCCAGGATGAGCAGTCCCATTGTCCTTCCTGACTCCTGGCCTCTCTGCAGTGGGCAAGGGTCAAGTTTGCAAGCAACATGGCCAGTACCCAGGGTGCCCACCCTGCTGGCTCCAGGGGAGTTGGGCTGTCCTGTAAGTGGCCCTGTGGATGGTAGAGGTGGTCATAAGCCCAGAGGGTGCAATCCTGTTCTGAGTGAATGAGGCCTTGGGTTCCCCATCCCCAGACACTGTACTGTGGGACAGCAGGAAGGGGTCCCTGTGTCTGCTCTCAGCTGGGGGGGAAGGGGATGGGCAGCACCTGGAGGCAGACACGAAGCCCAGGAGGACCAGGAATTCTCCCGACAGCCTCACTCAGGGTGTATGTGCCTCCCCCCAACCCAGGGCCAGGAATGGGAACTCTATGTCCCCCTCTCTCCCCTCCATGCTATGGGATCTGACCCTTCCCCCTCTTATACCTGAGTGGCCTCATCTAGCCATCCTAGGAGGTTCCACACATCTCTCAGAGTCAGTGAGGCAGGCCGTGACCTAACTGTGACACCCCCCTCTTCCCAGGCAGTGTGGGGACACTAGAGGTCCATACAACAGGTGAGGGCTTGGGTCTCCAGGAAGCATCCACCCCAGGGGCTCGGGGCCAGTGCAGGCCATTTTCCCCAGAGTCTCTGTGTCTATTCCGGGCGTGGGGTAAAACACAGAGACCCTCCAGTATCCACCTTAGACCATGGCCTGAAGCCCAGGGCGGGGAGCTGAAGGGCTGTGCTGGGCCTCCTGTTCCCCAGTCCCTGGTGATGGAGAGTTACCTGTGAGATGCTTCCGTAAGAGTCCGCCTTCTCCATCCCCAGGGCCATGTCGATCAGGACAGTATTGTCCTCTGGGGCCCGCCTCCGCAGCATTCCGCTCCTGCACCCGCCAGGACCAGGGTGGGTGCCAGAGTAAAGAGGGGCACATGAGACGTGGCTGCACCACCGCACAGCCCTCAGACCCCCTGAGAGGTGAGAACAGGGCCCAGGGGTTGCAGGCAGGGCCAGGCCAGGCTGAGCTGCCTGACCTGGGACCACGTGAAGACCCCAGTACTGGGCGAGGGAGCTGCCTGACTGTCTGTCTGATGAGTACCCACCTCCCCCTTAGCCCTGCATGTGGGCTGGGAGCATGGGTAACCCTCTTCCTTTTGTTCGCCTGTGTGGGACAGAAGATACCCTTTAACAGAGAGAGACAGGATCTTGGCTCCTCCTTGGAGTCCTGGGTCTGGTCATGCTGAGTCTGTGTTCTCCCCTCTTCCCCCTTCTGGGTCTCTTTGTGGGGAGGACAGTCACCACGGCTCCAGTTGATGGGTTGACAAAATGGGCAAAGAGTGAGAAAAGCCCTGTGGCCTGGAAGGGGATTGGAGTGGAGCCAGAGCTGGTGGTTTACACCAGCAGAACCAATGTGGCCCTGAGTGGCATCACCAGGGTCACTGAGGTGGGAGGCTATGTAGGTGGAGACACGGGAAGCCAGAGGGGATAGGGGACAGTTCATCTAGTCCAGATAAACTGAGGCCAGAGGGGCAGACGTGGTGTCCACACCTCCCGACCCTGCCAGGTTACGGATGCCCCAGAGCCAGTGCGGGTGTGGGGTGTTCCTACTGGTGTGAGCAAGTGAGGAGGGGCCTCCTTGGTGCTCTGTTCAGCAGAGACAGAACAGAGGATGCCCCAAGCAAAAGGCCAAGTCACCTGTTCTGTGATGGGCTCATTGGACGGTGGAAAACTGAGTTCCCTAGAGTTGGGGTGCCCTGCACAAAGCCACACTGAGCACCTGGTCCTTCTCATAACCCCCAGCCCTGTGCCAGATCTCGGAGTGCCAGCCTCCCTGGAGAATCCACCCCTTGGAGCCCAGCTGGGTTGGGGTGCTCACCAGCCTCCCTAGAGTCCATCTGCCTACCTTCTTCCCTGTGCCCATGCGATGTCAAACAGTCCCCACCTGGCACAATGGCTTCTTCCGGAAGAGGGCTCAGAGGTCTTGGACCACTTCTAATAAGAGCCTGGTCCGAGCAGCGAGACTGGGCTCGCCCCTGGGGTGGGACCCTTCCTGGTAGGCCTGCGCAGGCAGTGATGGCCACTCTGGTGTCCTCATTGAACTCAGGCAGGCAGGAGAGGTGCCTGGCCTGGGGTTTGGCAAGGTCTCCCAGCTCCCGGATCCAGGACCTGCCTCTGTTTGCAAATAGGGAGTACACTTAGATCTGCAAACAGGCAGCGCGTTTTCCTAGAGCCTGCACACCCGCATGCAAATGCTGCTGTCTGCTTTCTGCCCTATGTGGTTAGGGGGCTCAGCGTCCACGAACTGCTGGTGTGGAGGACGTGGGAGGGATGGAATTCAGCTGGATGGCCACAGGTGAGCTCGTATCATCCTTACCCTGTGCTGTGCCCAGGGGACATCAGGGGGCCCAGATTGCAGAACCAGCTCTGCTACTTCCTGGGTGTCAGGGCCCACCTGTAAGAGGGGGTTCCAGCCCCGTGGCCCTGAGCCTGTCTCCTGGGAGCCCACTCCCTCATCCTCACAGCCTTTCCCGCCAGGGTCACTGAGCTGGGGGGCTATGTGGGTGGAGAACGGGAGGCCAGAGGGCTGCTGTGCTGGGTGCTCTCCTCCGCCTGTGACACCCCTGAATCTGACCCTCGCCTAGGTTGGAGTCGTGCCGAATTCCTGCACCCCTTCCAGAGAGCCCTTGAATGAAGAATCAGACCTTTGTGGCAGGCTCTTTCTTTTCTTTTCTTTTCTTTTTTTTTTTTAAATATATTTTATTGATTTTTTACAGAGAGGAAAGGAGAGAGATAGAGAGCTAGAAACGTGGATGAGAGAGAAACATCGACCAGCTGCCTCTTGCACTCCCCCTACTGGGGATATGCCTGCAACCAACGTACATGCCCCTGACCGGAATCGAACCTGGGACCTTTCAGTCCGCAGACCTTTTTTTTTTTTTTTTTTTTTTTTTTTTTTTTTAAATATATTTTATTGATTTTTGGCAGGGCTCTTTCCTTTGTGCCCAGCAGAGCCTGAATGGCAGCTGGGATGCCCTGAGCCTGAGAGCAGAGGCACTGAGGTGTCTGTCAGGGTCAAGCTTTCCGCACACAGACCCTGAGGTGGAATCCTGTGCAAGGGTTGGATTGAGGAAGGGCTCAGGGCCCAAGGTTGGGAGGCAGGCTGTGAGGAGGGAGGCGGCCTCAGGCTGAGCCCACCGAGCCCCTGCAGGGGAGTGTAGACCATCCCATGACGTGGACAGCTCTAGGGGGTTCTCTGCTCTTGGTGGTAAAGTGGCTCTGGTGGCCGCATGGCTGTTGGTCCAAGAGCAGCAGGGGCAGAAAGTGGAGCCTGAAGGACATGCATGGGGACACCTAGACGAGGATTCATCTGGGTATAGTTTTCAATTTTTACTCTTTACAATATTTTATGGCTTGAAATTTTTTTTCAAGTTGTTACTTTTGCAGTTGTAAAAAATTAAGAGGGAGGGAGGGTACGAGGGAGGGAGGGAACGCTATAACCAGCAGAGGTGTCTGTCTCTTTGGGTCCCAAGCACTAGGAAGAGCCCTGCCCAGGACTTGTTACATCAGCTTTATTTGACTATAAGGAGGGTCGGAGGGAGGGAGGGGAGGAGAGAGGATCGGAGGGAGGGAGGGAACACTGCAATCAGCAGAGGTGTTTGTCTCTTTGGGTACTAAGCACTAGGAAGAGCCCTGCCCAGGACTTATTACATCAGCTTTATTTGACTATAACTTTTTATATCTACTTATGCAACATTTTGAAATTCATTTAATGGAAGTTAAAATAAAAAGCTTCCAATTACTGCAGCTTAACAAAAAAGACCTTCCCTTTTGTTGAGGCCTCCTCTGCCCTCTGCCCAGCCCTTTCCAGGCTGCTGTCACTGTCTCCTCACCCTCTTCCTTCCCTCCTCCCTGCGCCCCGTCAGCCCCCCAGGGCTGTTCTGATCAGTTTGGTCCTTCTTCAGGTCATCCCGCTCCAGCCAGACTCAGTGACTCCTCAGTGAGCACGCCCAACATGCTCGTGCCTTCTTCCCTCACACACATCACCTTGCACCTATGTGATTGTTAATTACTAGAGGCCCAGTGCACAAAATCGTGTGGGTAGGGTCCCTAGGCCTAGCCTGCAACCAGGGCCATCTTCTGGCAGTTCACAAGTCCTCAGGCTGAACGCCACCTCTGCTGCCAGGGTGGGTAAGTTGTGGGCACGCCCTGCAGCTTCTGTCAGCACCACAAGCACCAGCAGTGGAGGTAGTGGTAGTGGCAGTGCCTGTGTGAGCGGCCCCGGGTGGGCAGCATGTTCCATCTGTGGCCAGTCGGGCCCACGCACATGGAGGTGAAGTCGCCCACTTTTCCACTGGCCTGAGCCCCTAAGCAGCCGGGGATGAGCTGGGGATCCCAATGACCTGACAGAAGGCCTGGTCCTCCTGACACCCATCCGTTCCCCCCTACACCATTGCCGATCCATCGGAACCCGTGGGCTATGGGGAGGGACTAAGAGGTCAGCTGTTCTGCCCGCTTGCCAGTCCCCAGTCACTCCACTGCCACCCACCCGCTTCCCCATTTGCCTGTGGGTGGAGGTGGGTGGGTGGGGAAGGTGGGAGATGGAAGGGACTGAGAGGTGGTCAATGCACCTCATGGCGACTGTCCGCGCGCTCATTCTGGTTGTTAGGCTTATGGTCCTTGGCTGTTTATTACTCTATAGGATGGTTGCCTGATCTGTTCCTTCCACTGGACCTGATAGTGAATGGCTTTCCCTCTTTGTATTATACCATCAATAGTGCTACCCACTGGCTTCTTTTAACCCTCACCCCCTCTCTAAAACTAGCTTCCTAGACTTTGTCTTTGGTTGTTTCAAAACTCAGAAAGGGTCCGTCCCTGCTGCCCAGTGCTCATGAGCACTCTCAGCCTGGATCCCCATCCCATCTATAAGGGTCCCTCTGAAGCTGTCCTGTACCCCTCTAAGAGAGAGGCACTGCACAGGGCTGTGGCCTTGACAGTCCCAGCATGGCACCAACGGTATTTTGAGCTCAGGTGTGCGAGGCTGAGCACTCTTCTTAGGCGACCCAGGTGCATGTGGGGTTCCCTGGTCTAGCTAGCACTTCTTTTGTCAGTGGCCCTCTGGCTTCTCGTCTATTTCTATACAGATTCCTATCTCGTCTCCGATTTGGAGAAATTTCTTTACATATATTAGGCTCTTGCCAGATTTAAATGCTGCAATACCTCTTATCTGCTATCTGTGGCCCATTCAAGGTACTCTGTTCTACAGGAATTTTCACTTTTATGTTAAACCCCCATCAGCTCAGCCAGCGTAGCTCAGTGGTTGAGCGTAGACCTATGAATCAGGTTATGGTTCGATTCCTGGTAAGGACACACGACCAGGTTGTGGGCTTGGCCCTCTGTGGAGGGTACTCAGGAGGCAGCCAATCAGATTCTCTCATTTATGTTATTTCTCTTTCCCTATCTGAAATAAAAACCACATTAAAGAACAAATAAAACCCACTCTTGTCCAATGGCTGCACTTTGAGGTTTAAGTTCTTCTCTACTCTGAGCCCACAAATAGGTTTTCCCATTTTTCTACTAATTTCCGGTTCTTCTATTCAAGTCAAGGTTTTCAATCCTCTAAGTTGGCCCAGTGTGCACTCTGCCTGGCACGAGCCAACCCCCAGCCCAAGCCCATGTCTGCCCACTGACTGCAGTTACTGCAGGTCTTCAGTCAGTAGAATCTAGCAGGAAATCAGTACTAGACATCTCCTCAAAGCTGACTGGACTTTTTCAGTTTCAAGGTTCAACGTGGTCCTTTTTTTCTGTATAAATTTTAAAGTTTAATGAATTTCTTAAAAAATCAGGTGGGATTTTAATTAGCATTGTGGATTTATAGCACGTTTCCCTTCAACCTTTTTGTGAAACTTTCAAATGTGAAAGAACAAACGCTGGATTTCAATTGTGACACAGCCTGAGTCTCCGCTCCATCCCAGGGCTTCCTTGTCTTTTTTGACCCCATGAGGATATGAGGCTGGACAGACTGACAGCCTCACCTCTGCCCCCCACCCTCCTTGAATCTCCTCCTTGTCTTTTTTGCTGGAAGATTTTTGATTTTTCCTAGTTGCAAGTTGGCTGTTTCATAACTGATTTCTATTAGAGGTTACTTTAAACTTCTCTTTTCCTACAAACTTTATTGTTCCCTTTTCCAAGGTGAACATTCCTCCCTTTTCAGCTCCTTCCTTGGAGTATGTCCTTTTTAAGGTGGAATAACTTTTTTCAACACAGGCACCCCAATCCCGAACCCTTTTCTAAATGCATCTCTTTTGGTTGATAGCAGAGTGCTGGGTCACCATCCGAAGGGGCCCCATCCTACCCAGCCCCTTCCCTTCCTATTGAGGAGCTTGCTCTTCAATAGGCATTCACGGTCAGGTTGCACGGTTTATTTTGGCCAAGATTAAAATCAGGGACTCGGACATGGCCTTCAACCTTAGGGCAATCACTGCCATGCTTATGGCTTCCCTGGCATGGATCACCAATGCCCCGAAAGCTCCAATGCACTCCCAGTTCCTAGGGCCGCCTGTGCACGGTAGTATCACAGGACCTAGGGCAGTGCTGGCCAGGAGGGCACGGTGACAGTCAGATGGGCTGGCCTGGAGAGCTGTGGCTACTTTGCACTTAGGATGTGCCGAGCACAACCAAGAAACTGAATTTTAAATTCCACTTTATTTAAACGAAGTTAACTGTGAACTGAACCAGCCATGAGTGGCAGCACATGGCCCCGATACTGGACAGGGCAGCTCTGGAGAGTGGGGAGCAGAGGGACCTGTGGTAACTGCGTGTGGGTCCTCATTCTGCAGAGGAGAAATCTGAGACCCCGGGATGACAAGGTCTATGTAGGCTGACTCAGACCCCTGGGGCTGTTGAGGTAAATTTTATAAAACACGAGTCAACATGATGATGTGGTCAAAGTGGGAGACAATGTTGCAGGTGGTCAGAGGTTAGCTCTTTGCAGAAAGTCTTTGAGGAGCCTCAGGTGGGTTTACCTTCTGTCAGTGGCAACATGACCTCAGAGGGCCATAGGATGCAGGGGAGAGGGGAACAGGGGAGTGGGGCCTGCACACGACATTGCTCTTTAAGAGAGCTGAGGGTCACAGCACAGAGGGCTGAGCCACACTTTACGCAGTTTGGTTCTTAAATATCATTTTTAAAACACTGGCATCAACTGGTCTACAAGACTAGAAAGCTCTGGGTTGACAGGCTTCAGGCCACTGGGACGGCCCCTGAATACCCCAGCAGCACACGGATGCTTGAGTGACCTCCCTCAGAGGACACAGAGCGACAGGACGCCGTGTGATGCATGGAACAGCAATGCCTCCCAGAGTGTGACTGGCAGTACACACGGCAGGGATCACTCAGTGCCTTTTTATTGCCATTGGTTTGTGACCGTTGATAGTGATGATTTCAGGAGCAACGGGTGGATTAAAAAACCGTGGCCAGGAAGTTCTTTTGGAGAGAAAGAAGCAAGTGAGGGCGAGGAGGGTCAGAACCTGACGAAGGTGGCATCGATCTGCCGCACGCTGGGCAGTGCCAACATCACCTTCCGTCGGTACTGTGGGTCCTTCTGCAGGGGGTTCCCCTCCAAGTACACTGTCTCCAGGTTCTTGGCTCCCTTCAGCTCGTCCAGGTCGCTCCAGCTCTCGAGGATATTGTCGTTCATCTGGGAGGACACACACAAACACGCACACAGACTTGAGACAGAAAATGCATATGTATTTACAAGCAACTGCTACTTCTTCCTCTGTGACTTGCCTGTTTGCTTCTGCCCAGCATTCAAATGGCAGCTCTGTATGGCTGTCTTTAATGTCAGAACATCACCTCATCGGATAGTCATATAAGCACATTCTCCCTGACATGCAGGCGCCCTCCATCTGACTGGAATCTGACTGCTCAGCTGTGAAACTGGCAACACTGCCTGCTTCTCAGGCTGGCGTAATCGTCAGTCGGACGGAAGAGCCGTCTGGACACCACAGAGGCAGCTGCCTGTGCTTACTGTCTGTCTGGTAGTCTGAGGAATAGCATTCCTGTGTTCCAGGCCAGGTGCTAGCCAATCTTCAGCATTCGTGAGCTTGCCTCCCTCCCAGGTAGCTCAGGTCCTATGTGCTGTCCCTTGGCAAAGCATGCAGAGGAATCCCATACTTCAGAAACTCTACTTAAGTGTCAGCTGTGTCTCAAAACCTGCCAGCACCCACCTCTCTCATGGTGCAGGTCTTGTCTGTGGTTGGTTTCTCTGTGTGGTTCTTTGGTCTCCCCAGAGCCAAATCGCCTCAGTGCAATGCACCCAGCCCTCCAGCAGCCACACCTTCCCTCAGGATGCAGCACACGTTCCCTGTGTGCTCAGCCCTACCACTGTGTGCACACCTACCACTGTGGTCTGGTTGGGCCTCTCTGACATACTCTGGTGCTACCCCAGACCCCATGCTTTAATAAGGAGTGAGGGACATTTTCACCGTGGGCAACCTGTGGACTAGGAACACTTGGATATCCTTTTAAGGAGAGGAAAGGAAAGCCGCCAGGACACCAGCAGGGTCCACAGCATGGTCAGAGGAGAAAGAATCATGCCTTAAGACCCGAAACGCATCTTGGGCTAGAACAGTGGTCGGCAAACTCATTAGTCAACAGAGCCAAAATCAACAGTACAATGATTGAAATTTCTTTTGAGAGACACATTTTTTAAACTTAAACTTCTTCTAACGCCACTTCTTCAAAATAGACTCGCCAGGCAGTGGTATTTTGTGGAAGAGCCACACTCAAGGGTCCAAAAAGCTGCATGTGGCTCGTGAGCTGCAGTTTGCCGACTACGAGGCTAGAGTGACCAAATCGAGAATACTCACTTCACAGAATCAGAGAGTATATGGGCAACGACCCCACAGGGCACAAGCTTAGGGACCAGAAGTAAACATGCCTGTAACACGCATAGGATTCTGGCACTGAGGACAATTTCGCCATCATTTACAACCTGTTTAGAGGGGTGTCCAGACGCCTGACATCCGTTTTCTCTTCCAACTGACTGCAATAGACTCCCTAAGCCACACCTGCAGCCACGAGACAGCTCGAGGCAGATTCCAGAGTGTGCAGAGAGGACACCCACCCATCTTCTCTGTGCTACAGGGCCCCCTGGAGAGACCTGATCTCTCTTCCAGGTGTACCGCAATCACCCAGTCTGCGGGTTGGGTATAGTGGGACCAGAGAGCAGCATCTTTAACAAATTCCTGATGATGCTGATGCCACAAGCACATACAATGCTGCCACCAGCCTCCAACCTCTGCACATGCCCATCTCAGCTCACACCCCATCACCCGTGAGCCCTGTCATCCTGAATGCTAGGCCCAGGATTCATTGACCACTAGGCTCCACACTCATTGACCACTTCATTCACCCACCCCAGAGGGTGCTCAACTTACCCAGAATTCCAGCAGCTCTGTTAGATGGCTGACATTTTCAATCTTTTTAATTCTGTTTGCCGCAATGTCCAGCATTGTGAGTTTGTTCTAAATAGGGAAGAAAAGTTCGTCTTGGTTATACGATGATTGCGTGGCCATGAACATAGCTCAGAGTTGTGGGCCAGCTGCCCTTGCAGAACAGAGGCATGCTGATAGGATGATGATCCCTGCCCACTGCTTGCAGGTCCTCCACCCCGCCCACTACACAGCATCGACACAACCACATCACCCAGCTCTCGATATCACTGGGATTTCAAACTGGTTCTGTTAGACCTGAGCCCGGAGCTCCCAGATGCCTATCCACAAGGACCCAGGGAGACGACAGTCCTGGGAAGGTCAGGGTTGCCCCTGTCAAAAAGCAAAGGGAGGCCTGGCCCCTGGGGCTGTATGGAGCACCTGAGATTTAGTGCTCATCTCAAGGGCCCCTCCGACACTACTACTTAGAATAGCATTTTTTCATTCAGGAAGGAGGAGCCTGGGCTGGTCCAAGGTAAGAAACTGCACTGGCACAGGTGTAAGTGGTGGAGGGGGCAGTCAAGCCCCAAGCCTATGGTCCTGCAGTAGGCTGTCCTATCTAGGAAAAAGCCACCAGGAGGAGGGGCAGGGGAAGCCTGGGTACTAAGAAAGGGGCCTGGTTGGCCTGGAATTGCAGCCGATGGAAGAGAGGCGATGGGAGAGGAGTCTGGAGCCCAGCCCTGAAGAGGACAGTGCCCAGAGCTCTGAAAGTATGTGGTAACTCTTGTCTCATCCCTCCATTTCTGACCAGGTCCCTTCTCCCATTCTCTACTGGACCATGGGACAATGATGCCAAACCCTTCCAAGTTTAAGGGCAAGTTAAAGAATGTCCCAGTAAAATAAAATGACCCCGCCTGTCCCTAAAGCACACGGACAGCAGCTCCGCTGACTCAGAGCACTCTGGTCTTGGTGTCTGACTCCTTGTGGGCCCAGCCCTACCTCCCCACACCCCATGTCCCACCTGGGGTAGAGCAGTGACAGCTGAAGCTGGGGTGCTCATGCAGGGCTCGTCATGTGCCCCTGTAGCACACAGGGGGCTTCAGAGCAAATAGGGACTGAAAAGGGGCCTGTGGGCAGGCCTTGGGAGCATAGCAGGTGCATGGCAGGGACAGGCTGGTCCATGTTCCTGAGGGTGGGTCTCCCAGCCATTCCCATGTTCTGTAGTTCCTAGTGCAGGTGCAGAAACCAGTAGAGCTAAAGTAGCCTGAAACATGGCAGGATCTGATCTCTGGGCGCACAGGCTGAGCAGCAAAGTACGGTCCTGGCTTTGAGGACAAGGAAACAGGCACTCAACACCTCATGTTTTTCTGGGGAGCTGGACAATGTTTTGAGATCAAACCAGTAAGAATCTCTCCCCACCCTGCAAAACAAAAGCAAAGCGGGGAGAGCAGGCATCTGAGACTCCGACTTCCAGCAGGGGGACAGGTGTGAAGCTCAGGCCAGGCCAGCAGGAAGACCCAGTGCATGGAGGGTACAGCAGAGCAGAGGAGCACCAAGGTGCTGGGAGCAGGGCTGTTTGTGGTGTTGAGACAGGGGATTTGCCATTTCATTTACTGTCTTACCTCCCACCACAAAAATAAATGCCAAGTAAGTGAGGAGATAAAACTTAGAAGTATGAGTGAATATTTGACCTCTAGCTGATTAGCAATCCTGAGGAAAGAATCCCTTGATCAGGACCAATGTACAATCAGGTAACTACCTTTAGAGCCACAACTGCTTTGTTTCTGTTCTGTTTCAGAGGCTTAGGGAGTCCTAACCTCTTGACTCACCCATAGGTGGGGGCTCCTCAGCCTGGGCTTCCATGACCACATGAGCATGCCCATCTCTAGTCCCATGGCCTCCATCCACAGTCCCACCTCTCAGAACTATGCCTCAATGTACAGAGGAAGGTAACTAAACTTCAACAAGCAAATTCTAACTCTCCTCACATTTTATGTAGATGTTGGTAATATGAAATTCAGAATATAGTTTTCCCCCAAACATTACTCATGGTAACTAGGTCCAGGGGCTAAGGCAAAGACTGAAGGAGGAGCCTTTCCTGACTTAAAGGCTGTCTGCAGTAGCAAGTGAACAGTCAGGTGACACTGCTGACAATCGAAGAGAACAAAAGCATCCAGTAAAATTGAACGAGCAAAGTACATTATTTGCTTGAATGCTGCTCTGAGAAAAGCAGTTAGTCTGCAGGCAGCCTAGGAGGGCCAGGTTTCTGCAGGAGCTCTGGGTGAATCCACCCCCCATACCCATTCACCTGAGGCTGTCCTGCCTTTATGTACCTGAGGCTGTGCTGGGTTGAGCAGGATTAGACCAGGGGTGGGAGTTGTGGAAAAGTGTGGACAGGCCTGTCCTTACCAGGGATGGTGAGAAGGAAGAAGAAATGTGCAGGAATGACTGGGATTGCCACTCATCCTGGGCAGCTGAGATGAGCTGTCCCTATGGTCCCTTATAGGCCGGGAAGTGCAGTGGTCAGGAGAAGGCAGGAGAAGAACAGCTACTGACTCCTGCTGGCTTCTGTGGTATGGGGGAAGGGAGTACAGGGGTGTACACGAGCAGTAGGATTTGGATTTTACACCGTAGCAAATGCCTACAGTGCTGCTGGAGGCTGTGCAGTGGAATGCTGCCTCTGTGAGGCCCTCACTGCTTGTGCTGATAAGACACTGGCCATGGTGGGAACACTGGTTTAGGGCTCACTCAGGGGACTTTCCTGCATTTCCCGGTAAGAGGGGTCACTCTGACTGCAGGACTGGAAGGTTCTCTATGAGAAACCTCCAGAGGCAGCATCTACTGAAGACCAGCCCTGGAGGCCGAAGTGTGCTGCTGGCCAGCTGCCTGCCACTCAGGCCCCGTGGCCACCCGCCCAGATGGACAAGAGGATGTCTTACGTTGTTCTCCAGGCCTTCTATGACCTCGATGCCGTTGTGGCTGAGGTACAGCTCTCTCAGGTTCACCAGGCTCTGTAGACCCTCCATCTTGGTCAGCCTGTTGCTCTGTGAGGGAGAGCCAACAGCCGTTAGAATCATGTGTAGGGCAGGAGATAAAACAGCTTTTAGGAAAGGCTTCTCTTGTTGGAGAATTTGGACAATTGGGCATTCCATTTAAAACAGACAAGCACAATGGGAAGATATGTACACATATAATACCTTAATTAAAAAAATAAAATAAAAAAATAAAACAGACCAGCATCGGATTATGAAAAGAGAAAGGTCAGCATTTCCAATCTGTTGTCCTGGGCTATAATTTATGCATGAAGGTTGAAGGTTTTTATGCAAAGAAGTTACTGTTTTTAGATGTACTCAGGGAGGGTCTGAAAATCAGCTTAGTAGTTCAGATGTCAAGATCACTGAGTATTTTAAAATAAATTCTTATTTCTTTCGTGATATGTTGTAACTCAAATTGAATTATGAAGCTCTCCCACACCCATTCCCTGTCACCAGAACACCCATCACATCCCCCCTCCCTGGTCTGATTCCACTCAATGGCTTTTAACAGAAAAGAACATGTGAGCCTGGCAATATTCAAGTGCTGACTGATCCCAAACACAGAGTAGGACCCTAATCCACCATTGAGGCAAATGCGCTAGGAACATTTGGAACAACTTATCCTTCTAAAGATGCCCCTTTGCCTAAAAACCACCAGGAACTTTTATCAGGAAAAAGAACATGATCCATAAAAGGATGAAGTGTTAGTCTAACCTGCATATGTTCATAGGAGCATATGCACATATGAGATCTAATGCTTCAACTGCTCGTGATGCAGTGCTGATCATGGGCACAGTGGGAGAGAAAACTGTACCAAGTAGCAGCTCTGGTTGGCTGGGAGACCATATAGGCCCTGCTGGTTCAGGATAGGGGGTTGGAGGTGGGGCAAGCTGGTTCGATACCTGTATACTGAGGACTGTCAGGTTGGAGAGTGCATCCAGGTTCTGAAGTTTAGTGATCTTGTTTTTCCCCAAAAACAAACTGTCCAAATTGGTTAACGTGTCGATATTTTCAATGGCCTGTAAAACGGACAGGTACCAGGTGTCACGGTGCAGCCATCCTGTTTCCCCTGGGGAAGGGACAGCACTCTATGGACTTGGTCTTGAGGCGTCAGGCAAGTCTCAATCTGGAAACTTTCTAGTAAAATTTTACTTGAGAGTATAGAATGAAAAAACAGGATAGGCAGAGGGTCTGAAGCCTGTCTCTCAGACTCACTTCCAACGTCATGAATCAGATTTCGCAAGTCCTCCCTGTTCTGAGCTGACATTGTTCTGTTAGTCTATATGGGTTTGGTTACAATGTACCCCACCAGCCTCAGTCTCCCCAGAAATGAGCCCTCACACAGGATCCAGCTGTGCCCCTCTTCCTCATTCCCCACCCTCCTTTCTCTGCGCACTTGGACACATCAAGGTTTAATAAATGTGCAGTGATCAGATCTGTCTCCCTCCTCTCCTCTCCTCTCCTCTCAGTCAGGGCATGCTAGCATGATGGTGACTGTAGCAAGTGCACGAGGTGCAGCTATCTGCCCATCGCAGCAGGACTTGGTTGGGGGGCGGGGGGATGAGGATAGAGATTCAGGGGAGGGCATCCTTAACAGCTACAGCCTGCGGTAATTTGTGACAAACCACCTCTCCTGGAAGGTGCCACAGAGACACTTAATAAAAGACTGACATGACTGCTCTCTAGTTTTAAACATACTGCTCTGCTGTTTGTGGCCACATTACCACCAATAGTGTCTGTCCTCATATAGCCAACTCTTTTGTTTGTGTCCTGCCCAACTCTCAAGGGCCAAGCCGGATTTGACCACTGTCTGCTGTAAACTTCCAAAGCCATATGGAGGGCTACTTTCCCCAGGAATGGAGGGGAAGAAGTGCTCAAAGATACCTGAGCTCAAGCTGCTTAGCAAGGCCAGTGGGAAGCACAGGCTTCCTGTAGCCCTGGTGGAGGTCAGATTGCTGTCAGCCCCTTTGCTCGGGATATGCTCATGTCAGGCAGGATTGTCAGAAACACAACCCAAGTGTTTGGGGCTGATCAGTTCACCTCAGGCAGAATGTACTGGTAACTGAGTTTGTTTGCTAAGAGTTTAGCTCACAATGGGATGAAGAGCAAGTGAAACCAACATGCAGCAAGGCTAGGCCACTCCATCTGGGCACATATTCTTATTAATACTAATCCTAGTTAGTATTTTTTCTTAAAAAATAACTTTCGTTTCTGGGGGAGAAAAAAATCACATCAAATGGAAAATATATATCCTGTACCCCAGGCCATGCCCACACCTACCCGGATGCGGTTGGATCCCAGCTCCAGCATCTCCAGTTGACATAAGTTACTCAAGTTCTCAATTTTATTTATTTTATTGTTGACTAAGAAGAGTTTTTTCAGTTTTGTCAACTTGTCCACCCCTTCAATGTTTCTCAGTAGATTAAAAGAAATATCTAGAATCCTGGAATGAGCAAAACAATTATTTTTTAAGAGCACAGGCCACACAGAACTCAGAATATAACTCTCTCAAGGGCAGCATACCCTCCCAGGAACAGCCTCCAGAGCCCCCAGCGCCCGCTCACAGGACTGCATTGAGGGCAGACATGTCATGTCATCCCCTACTGATAGGACCAACCAGCAGTAGAGACTTGATTGCCCAGAGATTGATTTGCAGGTTGGGACTGGGCAAGTTGATGTCACCGATGAAGCCAGGATTGGAGTAGGACCCAAAGGCAGAGGTGGCCTCTCTAGGGCTGAGCCAGGGCAGAGATTGGTTCTGGGGACACTGGTCAGCCCCTAAGCCATCCCTGGGGCTTAGGACTCACTCCAGCTCTGTTAGTGTGTCTAGATTCTCTATCTTCTTGATCTGGTTGTCATAGAGGTCCAGTTCTCGAAGGCTCTGCAGCTCCTCCAGGTTCTCAATGCACTTAATTAGATTCTGACGGAGGCAGAGAGTCTGGAGGGTTGGAAAAAGAACACTTGACATAGGCAACAAGCGGGGAGGTCATGGGAAAACCTTAGAGTGAAGGATGTGGTTTTCATCCTCCCGTTGTTTTCTAGACAGGGGCTGGCATGGGGAGGATGGAAGACACCCACAGGAAGGCTGCAGACAGGCCCTGCACCAAGCAGTCCCACTCAGTAAGGGAGGGTTTCGTCAGTTTGGGGTGTATGTTGTTTCGTGGCAGAGTGAACCCTTGGGTTCAGGTGAGTTCAGGACTGTACAGTCTGAAGCGGGCTCAGCTGCAGGCAAGCCTTGAACTGAGGATCTGCAAGCAGCAGTGGGTCTGAGCCGCTGCCTGAACCGGGGCCGAGTCACAGCCGCCTGCACTACTCAAAGCTGCCACGTTCAAGTCAAATATGCTCAACATGGTTCCTGATGTAGGTGGCACCTCCTGCCGGACTGTGCCTGCCCTCCGAGCTGAGTCTCAGTTATGGGTGTACCTACACTCTGTGGGTGGGGCAAGCTCTGGACTATTACAAAATCACTTCACATGAAAGGACAGACCTTCTTCTCACCTTCACTTTCTTCAGAACCTCAAATCCTTCAATTTTTCCAATGCGGTAGTGATTCAGGTCAATGTCCTGAAACAGAAGAAACTGAACTTAGCTGCAGGGAAGTGCCCAGAGCCCTACTTCCTAGAACAGGAACTTCAGAGAGGCCTGACTGGGGAGTGGACATAAGTGTGAGGAGAATAGGTGAGCCAGTGCCACTGACAGGGGCAAGGAGGTGAACTTCAAGATGCTCATGGGTTTAACTACGATTTATCAATTTTATGTAAAACTAACGCTCCCAATGAGCGGTATATAAAATTCTCCTCTCTCATGCCTAGCGCAAAAGGAGGTGCAAGAAGGTACACCCAGCACGGCACCACCAGAGGCCACATGGTTGGTTATTATGAAATAGGTACTTCTGCAGGCTCTGGATTATGACTTCTTTTCAGATGTGAATGTTAGCACCCCACATTCATAATGTAATCACTGGATCTATTGATTTATGAGTCAAAGGAGCTTCATTTGCCACAACGTGGCAAACAGAAATGAAATTAAATCAGTGCTATTAAAAAACATAAGAACCCAGCGAATCTGACCCACCCAAGAGTGGCTTAGACGAACTCCTCCAGGGGATCACTTACTAATCTGGCACCTTCATAAAGATAACCTGATGGTCAGAGTGGTCTGTCACCATGCCCACTGAGGCTGGGTGGAGCAGGAAGCATTACCTCTGCATCTCTGTCCAGGGTAATGGTTTCCATATCCACAGGCAGCTCTTGTCCTGAAAAAGTGAGAGAGGAAAAAAGAGCCCACTCAGAGCTCCCATGGCAGGAGGCAGCAGCCAGCCTCGGTGAAAAGCTGACGCGCAGGCCTCTTGGCGCAGAGCAGACTGCAATGCAGAGGAGATACCAACAGGTGACACCTGAGGATCTGGATGGAACAGAGGGCTAAGTAACACCCTACTCCAGCCGTGGTCATCTTTCCAGCATTCTGAGTTTCCTGAATTCAGCTATCTGTACTGCAGAGCATCCTGAGAAAGGAAATGTGGCCTGAGGCTGGCCACCAACTTCCCACTTCTGGTGACGACCAGAGCTGTGTAACGAACTGTCCCCCCCTCCCCACTTTCAGTCTGTAGTAATAAGTCAGGCCATTTGACTATAGATCATGCTAGGCATATCAGATGTTCTAGGATCTGCCTTTTATTGCTTCAGAAAGTGGCCCAGCATCTACAAACACTTCTCTCTGCAAAGAGCACAAGAGAATGAAGCATGGCTTAGCAGACAGATCAGTCCTCCTGAATAATTTAAATACACTTATTGACTGGGAGGCTGGGAGCTGGTCCCAGCAGAGACCTCCACCCCGTAGGCTGGGCCTCCTGGGACATCCGATGGCCGAAGAGGGCTGTAAGAACCACTCTTGCTGCAGAGTTCAAAATCTCAAATTAGTAGATTCCCCTCCCCCATCTTCATTTAATTTGACCCTCTCTAAGCATTATGTTTAAAAGGGTTACATTTTTTAAAAAGAGTTAACAGTAATTTCTTGATTTCACCAACTATTTTAAGATTTCTTCTCCCACTGAGTGAGTTCTGCTTGAATTAGGATATGAAGGTCATATATTGAGGCTGGATAGCTTTTCTCTAAAGTCCCTTTTTGCTCCCTCAATCTGCTATTGAAGAAACCAGACTGCCTGTCTGAGAGCTTCTCTGGGCTGCCATCTCATCTATATCCTGTAAACTGGTTGTTACTGTCTTGCCTGGCTCCCATTGCTGCCCCTTCGCTTGCAGCTCCCAATATCTTGAGTTTAGCCTGGCCCCTGGAATGGAGGCTTCAGAGGGGGGCACTTGACATAGGACCGACCAGCTTAATCAGGAAGTACTGGCCCCACACTGACTGAATCACTTCCTAGTCTTTTCACTATACCTTTTCCATAATGATCAATAGTGGCTAGATTTAAAAAAAGGTATTTTACAGTTTATCCAAAACTTTATGAGATATCAAGAATTAAATAAAAGCTGAACAAAACCAAGAGATATAACCAAGCTAACTCCCCCCCCCCCCCCCCCCCCGGTCCTTATGGATTCAGACAGAACCCCTTTAAGCCATGTAACCACATGTCCTTGAGGAGCCTAGGACAACCCCAGTTTCCACCAGGTGGCCCAGCATGATTGTCTGTGGTGCTCCTTTTATTCTAAAGCATAGCTTCTCTCACTGCAACATCCTGATGGTGAATTTAGGTTGTCTTTAGGGTGGGGTGAGCCTAAATTCACCATTAGGACCCAGGAGGCTGCAGTGAGAGAGGCTATGCAATGAAGACCATATACCCCGGTCACTCAATGTCCAAACCAGGTGCTTTAGAATAAAAGGGGCACCACAGACAATCATGCTGGGCCACCTGGTGGAAACTGGGGCTGTCCCAGGGTCCTCAAGGACATGTGGTTACATGGCTTAAAGGGATTCTGTCTGAATCCATTCAGCACAGGACAGGCCCCAAAAGGTCAGCTTAGCCTTTAAAACAAAGTTACTAGACTAGAACATCTTTCTGTATATATTCTGCACTGACCATATTTTATGATTTATTAGGGAAAATAAGTAAAAGGGAACAGTTGATATGTTTGAATTTGTTTTATTTGAACTTAAGATTTAAATATAGGTAGGAGCAAATCCTACTTTCTCTATGGACTACAAAAATGTGTATGCCCAGAGAACTTCTAATCAGTTAGTAGTTTGGAGGAAAGAATGGATAGTTTAGATAACCGGGCTCAAATCCAGTTGTTCCACTTTGGAGCCATGAGCCCTTGGGCTCGTTGTAGTGAGCCTGTGTTCATGAGCCCGGGAGAAGAAGCCCATGACAGAGCTTCAACTCTCCAGTCCAGCACAAGCAGCAGGCGCTCACACGTGAGGACAGGTGATGCTCCCACCTGCTTGGCTTTCTAGACCTCAGTCAGACAGCAATGAAAGCTTTCACTGTCACTCCCATGTACTTATCCCACCCACATCATCTCCAGAATGTTGAATGCAGTTCTGAAATGTGACTGGTGCTTTTGTGGTAATCTCCTTTGCCTTAAAATTAGGTTGCCATAGTTACCAGTCATCTTCACTGACACAGAGAGCACAATGATGTTTTAAAAATTTGTTTGGTTTTTATAAATTTGTTGTTTTTATTACTAGAAAGGTAAAATGTATGATTACTACCTTGAATATCCACAACTGTATATAAACCTGAAAATGCAGAAGGTACAAGACCTTCACAAACCTGCTCTTCAGCAACACCTTCAACAACAGCTTGAGGCATTTTCTCTGGAGCAGGTAAAACCACATTTTATTAACAGTTTTTAAATAAAAACAAGATCTTAACATGCATACTTTTTGGGAATTTGTTTTCACCTAATAATATATCTTGGACAGGTTTTTGTTTTTTTTTCTGTTCAGATGGTTTCTACTCTCATTCTTTTCAATGTAAGTTGATTTTTAAAGCAACAAACAAATGGGCTAAAATCATGGCTGGGGAGTGTGAAAAACTACTTCCCTGTCTCCAAATTCATTTTGCTGTTTTTGCTATTCACTGAAACAACAGGAGGCCACTGGTACATTTTCTACATAAAAGATTTCTCTAACACCTGGGCAATGAAGAAGTCCATCCTCAGGCCTATAAAAATTGTGAAGAAGGACTCAAGAAATGACTTCTTTAAGACATTAAAGGTGCTATTCTGAAAGCAGTTTATATTACTATGGTAGGACATCAAAGCATGGCAGTCAGCCATATGTTTACTGCAAATCTCATCCTGAACATACGGTTAATAAAACAATTTTCTGATTCTGTCCCAAATGATGCACTAGTATCAATATCATTATTAGTATTTGCCTTCAGTGGAATTAGAAAAATTGCACTCTGCCTGCAAGTGCTGGCAATCAGCTAGTTTGGGGAACGCCTCAATGGGCTCTGTTCCTAGCCCACTGGGGGCCTCTGTGGCTGCACCAGCAGACCAACACAGTACAGTGGTCCTCCCCAGGATGACACACGTTGCCACCTTGTGAAGGGAGAGACAGATTACTTGCAACACTGCCTGCACCCCTTTAGTGATGAAGGTTCTTAACTGGGCAGGGTACCTGCTGGTTCTTCTTGCCCCCGCTCCTCTCCATCCTTCAGGCTGTGCTCGCTGAGGTCTGCCACTATACCGCTGTTCTGCTTTTTCCCTTCTTCATCGCCTGATTCTTCAGACTCAACCCGCCTGTCAACTGAACCCACACAGATCAATAAGAATTCCCATCCACATCATATTCTCTTTGAAGTACATATGACAGACAGACATCCAGTTGTAAGTAAAAAACTTCATTTAAAAACATTTGTTGAATTCAGTTCAATGAACATTTGAGTATCTTCCATGTCCCAGGTACCATCTATACAGTGGCATGGAGATCTGGGAGTAGGGTAGGAAGGGGGCAGGGAGGCCACATGGGCGAGAAGGTGAGTATCACACTATTCCTCAAGGAGCTCATGTGGAGTCGCCAGGTGTTCTGAATGCCCTGGGATGTTGCGATTAAATGTACTAGTGCTAAAATGCAGTGAAGCCTGGATATCCGTGTAGAGGGGACCATTGTGACCCTTCCACCACATACCTTCATCCATGCTCCACTATCCATTTCATTTGGTCAAGAAAACCAGCCCAGTTCACAGGCCCACGTTCTGAAAGAAATCAAGACTAACTCAAATCAGACTGTGGGCAGGGAGCTCTAATGAAGGAGAAGACAGCCGATAGTGCTAACTGCCCCCCATAAAGGTCACAGATGCTAACCCTCAGCACACAGTGATGCCAGCCAGCTCAAAGCTTTCAAGGGCTGGCAAATAAATATTTTTTGAATTAATAAATAAGGCAATGATGAAATGTGGCAGATTGGTAAAAATTCATTGGCAAAATTGTAAAGTAATGTTCCTTTCTCCTAACTTTATTCATGACCTCTTTTGGAAGTTTGTCTAGAAGCCCCAAAGCACTTAGAACTTACTTGGAATTATCAACTACACTGAAAGATTTCTTGTTCCTGAGTCCAACTTATCTATAGAGGGGAAGAAAGTTCTATTTCATTTTTGTATCTCCACTGAGCCTAGTAAGCAAGGAAGCATCTAGGAAAGAACTGCTGGACAAAATATATCCTTATGAAATCCACCCCCAAAACTTCCACACCTGTTCCTCTTCCCTGCCCTTGGCAACTGCTTTGGCTCAGCTACTCATTACTTGTGTCCTGGGCTCATGCTGGGCCTCCTAACTGGTCTTTCTGTGATTTGTCTGACCCTGTCTAAGCTATTCTCCATTGCCAGAGAATCTGATCTGATTCTAAAATCCAAATCTGATCTTTGACTCCAAAAACTCCTGGAATGCCAATGGCTCTTCCTGAGTCTACATCTTGACCCTAGAAACACAGCTTGGTAAGTTATTCCCTTTTCCAAACCTCAGCCTTCAAATCTGCAGAAGGGAGCTCGTAACTATATCTTAGTGTTTATTTTATTTTATTTTTTTTATTAAACTATTATCTGTGTATAGCTTAGTGTTGATCAGAATTAAATTAGAGAAGGCACAGAAGCAGTTAGCTTTTAATAAATAAAAGCAGTAAAAACGTAAATTAATTACAGGTACTCCCTGATTCCCAAAAGTTCACTTTATGCCATGTCATCTTTAAGAAAGAACTACATTAGTTCTTTCACTAATAAAAGAACTGTAAAGAGAATTTTCTTTCATGAAAAATGTGAAAAGCAAAAATAGCATCATTTTGTTTTGCAATGAGCTCTAATAGAGGCAGCTTGAACTCCAACCAGCCAGCATGGCACCACCAAGCTCCTTCCCGAGGGACTATATCCGGCATCTCAGCATCAAGATGCCATAGCTTTGAATTGTATCTGTGAGTGTCTATGCTTCATCTTGATTCTGTGCATCCATTAGCAAGATGTGCCCTAAGATAACTGCCTCTTCACTTTATTCCTTTTGGCTTTGAAAGTTTTCATAGGAGCATCTCACTTTCAGATAGCAAGGAAAGCTGCATTGCCAAGCAAAAGCACTAAGCCAAGGCTAAAGGAGAGCAAGTTCTACTGGGCCAAGATCTGGTGAGGCTCAGCTCTGGGTGGGAGGGGCTTAGCTAATGAGAGACAGCCCACGTGAAACCTGGGGCTCTATTCTGAGGACTACAGAGGATCTGGGGTATGGGACAGGATTAGCATGTGAGGTGACTTTCGGGCATTGGGGACGATGGGCTGGCTCAAGGTATTGGCAGCATGAATAAAAGAGGTTTGAAAATTTGGAGATTTTTATTTTTTTGTTAATCCTCATCTGAGGATATTTTTTCCCATTAATTTTTAGTGTGGAAGGAAGGGGGAGAGACACAGAAAGAAAAAAAGTCAATGTGAGAGAGACATCCATGGGTTGCCTCCTGCATATGTCCCTACCAGGGCCAGGAATCCAACCTGCAATGGAGGTACGTGCCCTGGACCAGAATTGAACCCTTCCGTCAATAGTTGGATGCTCTAACCACTGAACAACTGGCTAGGGTGAATTTGGAAATTTTAGAGCCTGAACTCTCCCACCCCATCCATGACTTTCTCTTGCCATCCTCTACTCTCAACCAAAATGAATGCCACCTTTGGTCAAAGTCTCCTCCAAACAGGCCACGTTCTTGCACACCATTTGCCTTTGACTAGGTGGTTTCCTTTGCCAGAAATGACCTATGATCTTTCCTCCAGCCTATCTCCAACCTGGCTGGACCTTTAACGTTCAACTTGGAGCTGGCTTTGGTTGTGCAGCCATCACTCCCAAATACATGCCAGCTCTTCCTTCACCGCCCCCGCCCCTTTCTCCCCTAGCATTTACATACGAGTCAGACAGGAGGAAACCTGCATTGCCAGGCACAAGCACTGTATCCTCCGTGAAACCAACACATAAGCACTCAAGAACAACTGATTCTCCAAGTGGAATATAACTACATGTATGGAAATGCACATCATATTTTCAACAAAGTGGAAGAGTTGGATTTAGTCTTTGCTTAACTGTGATAACTTTGTAAACAGATACCGGCGCTCTATTACAATCTCTCGGCTGCCTGTCACCCTTCCCCACCGCCCACTCGCTTTGGAGAGGACCCTGCTCCGCCGCCGCCGCCACGCTCGCGAATGAACCAACTCGGGCAGGTCCCACGGCGCCCTGCCCGTTTCCCGATTAGTTGCAAAAGGGACCGACCCGCGGGTCAGGCCAGAGGTTCAGTGCGAGGCTCCAACCAGCTGGTGGGCGCTCGGGCTGCAAAACCACCGCGCCGTCAGCCCCCACTCATAGGCACGGCTCGCGCCGCCTTGGTCCCCTAGGCCCGGGGTCCAGCGTCTCCGGGGCTGCCGCGCCTTCCCGGCCACCTCCGCCTCTCTGAGCGGGCTAGCAGTTGTCATGGGTCGCGCAGCAGGGTCTGGGCTGCGGCCGCAGGCGGGCCGCCTATGGTCCCTCGGGGGAGGCCAGTGTGGGCCGCCACCCCCCACCCTCTGGGCCCTTCGGTCGCCGCCCCGCCGGGCTGCTCACCCTCCATCATCTCCTGCGACAGTTGCTGGCCCGAGCCGCCGAGCTCCGCCGCCATGTTGGCTGCTCTTCCCCTTTCCGGAATTTGTCGCCTCAGCCCCCTCAGCCAATCAGGACTCCCAGCTCGGAGTTGAGCCAGCCAATGGAATTCCAGCGCAGGTGGGCTGAACCTCAACGGGCTTGTAGGGCTCCAGGACCTCATGGGAGTTGTAGTTCATCCCTGAGACCCGCCGCCTGACCTCCCCCAGACTAGTAATTTTGTAGAGAGGCGAGGAGCGGGGAAGAGGGCAGGGACTGGCGAAGTGCACGCACGGTGCCGTAGCTGCAGGCGAGCGGAGAGGAAAATCTGGGCTGGCTCGTGGCGGGCCTCTGCGTGGGACTGCAAAGTGCGGACCTCCAAGCCTCCTCAGCCGCGTCTGCACAATGGGCCGAATTCGTCCCGGCGTCGCCTCGCGAACTTAGCCTGTGAAAGGGGACTCCTCCAGTTAACGCTCAGCTCAGGGCGGGCTCAGCGCGGGTCACCGGCGCTCGTGCTGGGGGGCCGTCTCCGCCGCCGGTGCTGAGAGAGCCGGTGGAGACCGCGGACGCCGACCCAACACAGGCAGGCGCCGCAGTCTTTCTCTCAGTCCTCGGCCCCGCAAGCGCGCTAGGTCCGTGAGGGAGTCGTCCCGCCTCCAGGGCGAGGCAGCTGAGAGGCGAGCTCCGCGCTGCTCAGCCTTCTCAATTCCGAGAAAGAAGGAGCCGGCGACAGTCGGACCGGGTTGGAGGAGGCGCTGGCGCCCCTCAGGCGCCGTAGGAGCCTGGTGCGTCCTTAGCTACCGTTAGCGCGGGCTTCCTCCCTCAAGCTCGCTAACTCCCGTCCACAGGAGCCAGTGATTGGTCTACGGGACCTGTCAATCAGCGGGAGTTGCTCTACGATTGGCTGGCAGGACTGGAAACCAAGAACGGTTTCCTCGTGGCGGGGTATTCGGTCGGCCGGGTGTCGTGCGTCGGCTCCAGGTGAGATACCTGCGCTCGGGAGGGGAGGCCCGGGCTCCGCGGGGCCCAGGCGCGGCCCTGGGACGAGCCAACCTGAGTGCTGTGTCTCCGCCGCTGCCGGCTCCCCTCCGTGCGCCTCCCGCGCGGGAGGGGGCCCGCCGTCCTGCTGCCGTTTGTCCTGGGCCCGGGCCTTCCTGGTCCTCCGTGATTCCGCCACTGCCCAGCCCTTCCCGCGCTCAGTCCTCCCCTGGAGTTAACTGGACGCTTTATCCATTATTATTATTATTTTTTTTTAGTTTTATTTTTAGAAAATATGACTTTGATAAACATTTATTTATTTATTTATTTATTTATTTATTTATTTATTTAAATATATGTTATTGATTTTTTACAGAGAGGAAGGGAGAGGGATAGAGAGCCAGAAACATCGATGAGAGAGAAGCATCAACCAGCTGCCCCTGCACACCCCACACCGGGGATGTGCCCGCAACCATGGCCTCTGACCGGAATCGAACCCGGGACCTCTCAGTCCACAGGCCGTCGCTCTATCCACTGAGCCAAACCGGTTTTGGCTTTATCCATTATTATTGCCTGCCCTCCGGGACGGGGAGCTCTAGAACCGAGGCCGCGGGTCTTGCTGAGCTGCGGACGGTGCCAGGCACATAGGAGCTTTTCAGTAAAGGTGGGATGAATGCGTGAGCTGTGGGTACGGACCGCGGATTCCTGACATCTTCACTTGGATGTCCCAAGCACGACCGGCTTTCTCCTTCATTTTACCGCCAGTTTTTCATTTCCAGAGAATGGCAGTGGCCTGCGTTGAAAACTCGTGATGTGGTCTTGATGCCTTCCATTCCCTCACCTCATCACCCAGTAAATGGATGATAGTTCTATGTCGAGTTTTTCCTTATGGGTTCCCCTCGACATCTTTCTGCCATTGCTTTACTGTCAGACTTCATAATTTAAAAAAATATATATTTTATTGATATTTTACAGAGAGGAAGGGAGAGAGATAGAGAGCTAGAAACGTCAATGAGAGAGAAACATTGACCAGCTGCCTCTTGCACACCCCCTACCGGGGATGTGCCCACAACCAATGTACATGCCCTTGGCCGGAATCGAACCCGGGACCTTTCAGTCTGCAGACCGACGCTCTACCACTGAGCCAAACCGGCTTCGGCAAGACTTCATAATTTCTTGCCTGGATCACTGTAACTTTTCTCTCCCTATCTCCCCCCACCCTCGCTCTTGGAGCGTGTCTGGTCTCGTTGCTCCCGAGCACAGAAGTCATTAAAATGAATCTTAGGATGAGATCCAGACTTATTGGGCAGGTATAAGAGGGCATCTTTGACCTGTGGTGGTTCTGCCTGAAAGGCTTTATTCACTCTGCTGGTGTCTCCTCAAGGAACCCCTTGCTTTCACCCAGCAGCCGTTGTCATGGATATTGTTTAGGATAGTGGTCAGCAAACCTCGGCCCTGGAGCCACATGTGGCTCTTTGGCCCCTTGAGTGTGGCTCTTCCACAAAATACCACGTACCCTAATTAAGTTAATAACAATGTACCTACCTATATAGTTTTAAGTTTAAAAAATTTGGCTCTCAAAAGAAATTTCAATTTGTTGATACTTGGCTCCGTTGATTAATGAGTTTGCCGACCACCGGCAAACTCATTAATCATTTCTAGCTTCCTACTCATTTCTAGCTTCCTACTCATTCAGCTATTGCTTTTCAGGATCCCATGCTGGATGTATATGTGTATATAAAACGTCTCTGAATTTTTAGTACGTACAGTTGCCTTATACAAAAGGATAAATTCAGTATTAGTTGTGCATCATAACAAAAAAGGGAACCATTTAAACCCGCCACCCAAATTTGGAACCAGGGGGCCCTCTGACATTGTGTCCTTTCTCACCATGCCAGCTTGTTGCTGGACCCACAGAGAAAACCTCTGCCTGAAGTTTGGATGATGCAGGCTCTGGGTGGGCATTTCGCCGGGGCCCTAGGACTCCTCACTTCTCAAGCCCCTGGTCCAGACCTCTAGGCGCTTTTTCTGTACTGTAGTTACATAAGGTGGAGCCATCAGAGGAAAGTCAGTGAAGGCCATGTGAAATTTTTCTGTATTTTTTTTTATATCTGCATGAAAATCCACAAACATCTAAAAATAAAAAGTTCAAGACATAAATCTCTGCTGTGGTGCATCTCTAGACTCTCCGCCTTGGCCTTACATTGCTGTTATTAGAAGCTCCGTTAACCACTTGATTCATGGCAATGATAATGTTCCTCCTGACCTGAGAGCATTTTCAGTCCTCTCCCAGTCTGGTCCGTTTTCCCCTCATTTTTTTCCTACCCATCCCTTCCTCTGTATGCTACTGAAGGGCTCCTTTTAGCAGACTTTGGTTCAACTATCCTCATGTAGGCTTTGACCCAGAGGGCTGTTTGGGGCTGAGCTTAATGCAGCCTTGGGAAGAATAATGTGGTAAAACTGTCTTCACCTTCTTGCATTGCAGATATTGATTAAGGTCTCCTTGTTTTCTACTTGACGGCTGTTCCCACAGCCTACCATCTCTCAATGGAGGACAGAGGCTCACCTGCCTTGGAAAAGGACTGGAAGTGTCCGTGTAGGAACCCATCCTCGTTGGCATCCTCCGAGGGCCCTGCTGTGCAGACCTCCCCCCAGCTCAGCAAGTCTATGTCCTCAGCCCACAGACACCTGAGCAGAAGGAATGGGCTCTCGAAACTCTGCCAGAGCAGGATGACACTCTCCGGTGACTACCTCCTTGTGGTCATAGGGCATCTCGTCTCTGTTTTTGATCCCCTAGAGGGAGGGACTGACAATACTGAGATGGGGCAGTTGCTGGAGCCAGGAGGGGAGCAGAGGTTCTGAGGCTGAGCCTTGGCAGTGGTGAGAGGCTGTGAAGGGGAGGGGCAGGGTGCTGTATTGAGGGCAGGCACTGTAGGATGTGGGAGCAGCTGGGGGAAGCCACTGGAGGTGTTGCCAAGAGCAGACTTTCTGGAGGTGCGGAGCAACTGGTTTAGCAGAATGGAGGGAGGGGACTGGAGACAGCAGGTAGTACTTGAATTAGTGAATTTCTGGGAACAAGAGATAGGGCAGCAGTGGGATCTGGAAGGACGGATGAGGGAGAGTGCCCTTTGGCTGGCTGGTGGGTAGGGACCTCAGAGTGTTATTTGCACCAAAATGTTGAGCTCTGAGGTACACAGCTCTGCTGACTATGGAGCCCCTGGGGCTGGCTTAGGTGGACTGGGGACTATTAGCACATGAATCAGCTCTACAGGTTAGTCCTTTTGCAGGGGTTGGAGGTGAGGGCTGTGGGCTTTGTGTGTTTCAGAAGCAAGCTCCTGGCAGCCAGGGACTCTAAAGCTTCCTTTTCTTTCCAGAAGACAGATGGACCTCCTATTGTCTCTCGTCACTGGCTGCCCAAAACATTTGCACAGGGAAAGTGCAGTGCCCAGCCATGGCTGAGCAGGCAGACCCAGCTGGCTTCCTGGGTAGCACGTCCTGCTGCTCACTGCTGCGCGGCTTGTCCTCGGGATACTCCACGCCCTTGCTCCCGTCCCCTGCTGGCAACCCTAACAAGGCCATCTTCACAGTGGACGCCAAGACCTCAGAGGTATTTGTTGCGCTTTGTGATACAGCCATGGGTTTGGGGTCTGTGCCTTCAACCTGTAACCTCAATTAGAAGTATTTGTGCATTTAAGTGCAATTAGAAAAATGTTTGGTTTTACTTCTATAGTAATAACAGAGATATGAATTTGGAGACCCAAATGTGACTCAATCAAGCACATTGACTCAGGGAGATGATGAGGCCTGTTATTTACTTGTGCTTGCTGAAGTGTTGGCTGAACTGAAATAAGAATAATGTTCAATATTGGAGCTAAATATGTTGGCATGAATGCACATTTTTATATACAAAGAATTGAAACTGTTGGAAGTGTGGCGCATGTCCCATTACTGCCTCCTAGTCTTATATATATATATTTTATTGATTTTTTACAGAGAGGAAGAGAGAGGGATAGAGAGTTAGAAACATTGATGAGAGAGAATCATCAATCAACTGCCTCTTGTACACCCCCAACTGGGGCTGTGTCCGCAACCAAGGTACATGCCCTTGACCGGAATCGAACCCGGGACCTTTTAGTCCGCAGGCCGACGCTCTTTCCACTGAGCCAAACCGGTTTCGGCAGCTGCCTCCTAGTCTTGATGACATGCCCATCTTGTCAGGGGACATTCTCCTTTCCACTCGGTCAGACACAGAGCATTTCTGTGTGAGCCTGCTCATGGTAGATGGTGGGGAGAGGATGGGTCTCCCACCCCTGAGGGTGCCCAAACCACCTTCTTCTCACTGCTCTGGGCGTTAAAGATGCTGCTGGTAATGCTGGTGCCTTCGCTCTGCCATACTCAGATCCTCGTTGCCAACGACAATGCTTGCCGGCTCCTGGGATACAGCAGCCATGATCTGATAGGCTTGAAGCTCACACAGTTCTTCCTGAAGCCAGACTGCGATGTGGTGGAAGCGCTCAGTGAGGAGCATGTGGAGGCTGACGGCCACGCTGCTGTGGTGTTTGGCACAGTGGTGAGTCTGGGCTTATAGACTGGCTGCCAGCTGGATCGTGCAACCTGGGGTGCAGTAGAGGGGTGGTGAGGACACCATAGGAACAGAAGCCACTGCTGCTGGCCTGGTGCTGCTCATTTGGGAGTAAGCCTGACAGCATCTGCAAACCTGCAGCACCACCTCAGGTTCCCAAGAGAGAAACATGCTTTTACTGTTTGGTGTTGCTGGGGTCTGGCTTGTGGGATGTGTCCAACCCGGCTTTTGATGGGTTGAACTGCATGTTAGTTGGTGAGCTCTGGGTCTCAGGCACTGGAAGATTAGATGAGATCTAATACACCAGGAATATTACCTGTCCTAGGGATGGACTGCTGAGAAGAGGAAGATATTCAGCATGTATTGTGTCTGTTTCTTTAAGAAATTACAGATACTGCTGATAATAAAATTTACTCTTTTGGCAGAATTTTCACTCAAAGATTGTAAAGTTTAGTATCATAAACCTTGTTTGTACTTTATACAAAATACAGGCAGGTGAGCAGAGCTTGAAAATACCACGTGCTTAGAATGGGAAGGGCCTGGCCAAGGGGGAGGGGTAGACTGCAGGTGCAGCTTGTCCCTGTCCACAGGTGGATGTTGTGAGCAGAAGCAGCGAGCGGATCCCAGTGTCCGTGTGGATGAAGAGGATGAAGCAGGAGCCTCGCCTGTGCTGTGTGGTTGTGCTGGAGCCCGTGGAGAGGGTATCAGCCTTGGTCTCTTTCCAAAGTGATGTAAGTTTCACGAGTCTGACCTCTCATCTTCTCCCCAGTGCATCACACACGCTGTTTCTACCATGTGCCTCTAGGCCGCAACAATGTGAGGATTCTGGAGGTTGCCCCCATCTGCTGAGTCCCTTAGTAATTGTGCCCTTGGGCAAGGAACCTTATCTCCTCGTGTCTCAGTTTCCTCATCTGCAAAATCAGGATATAATTGTAACCACTCATGGGATTGCTTTAACACTTCAATGAAATAGTATACATACAGCCCTCAGGATGGTGACTGCACAGCAGATGTGAGCTGTGGTCATCGTACTAGCTGATGAGCTTCTGCAGTATGCTGGGATTTGCAGATCCCTCCAGATTAAACAGTTTAGGTCCATGTGGCAGGAGGAGCCAGCTGACCTCTTATTAGAAGTCCATTTGTTATGTACCTTTTGCAGGAGGAGTAGCTTGAAGGTGTCAATGAGGTTCAGTGAAGTTTGAAGCTGAAGTACAAGAAGCTGTTATTACAGCCAGTTGGTGTAGCTCAGTGGTTGAGCATCAACCTATGAACCAGGAGGTCACGGTTTGATTCTTGGTCAGGGCATGTGTCTGGGTTGCATGTTTGGACCCCAATAAGGGGCATGCTGGAGACAGCTGATCAATGATTCTCTCTCATCATTGATGTTTCTATCTTTCTCCCTCTCCCTTCCTCTCTGAAATCATTAAAAATATATTTAAAGAAAAAAGAAAGAAGCTGTCATTATAACACTGCCTTTTCCTCCAAGGGAACGATCACGTCGTGTGACAGTGTCTTTGCCCATCTGCACGGCTACGAGTGTGGGAACGAGGTGACTGGGCATCGCATCACAGACCTGATCCCTTCCGTGCAGCTCCCTGCACCTGGCCAGCCTATCCCACAGGTGGGGCCTTGACCGCCTGCCCTGCCTTCCCTGGGAGATTGAGGCAGGGAGAAGGGTACAGGGGTGAAGGGGGTACAGGGAGCTGGATGTTGAGGTGACCCCATGCCAGGCATGTGATAGATGATCTAAAGCAGTAGAGACTCAGAGCTCAGCGATGAGATGCGATCTGTTTAGTGATGCATCTTTCTTTCAGAATCTCAAGATTCAAAGGTCTGTTGGAAGAGCCAAGGATGGTACCACCTTCCCGCTGAGCATAAAGCTGAAACCTAAGCCCAATAGCAAGGATCCAGAAGCCGGCCAGGTGGCCTCTGAGCAAGGTTACTCGGCATCCATCTGGGTGTTCTCCACCATCAGTGGCCTTATCACCCTCCTGTCGGACGGGACCATCTATGGCATCAATCATAGCTTCGCACTGATGCTGTTTGGTTATGGGAGGACCGAGCTCCTAGGCAAGGTGGGCTCTCCCTGCATGACTGGCCACTTCCCTCTGGGGAAGCTGGTCTGGGTTTGATGGTGAGGGTGTGTATTGGTCCCTGGTCCTGTGCTTCCACGTCTTTCAGTCCGGCTGCTGGCTTCACTCGGCATGGGGGCCGAGAGGGATTCCTTGCTCATGGTACCGCTCCCGTGCACGATTTTTCTAGACCCCAGTGAGCATTCTGACCCTCTGGACCATCTCCAGAGCCATCCTAGCCGAGGGAGGGAGCTCTTGCCTCAGAGCTTCATCCTGATCGAGTCTGGTCTAAGAGTCTGGACTAGGGTGTGTGTTACAGCTGTGGGCATTTGTTCTGAACCTTCAGATCAGGGCTTGTCTGCTTCTCCCTGACTGCCCTGGGAATTATTGGGGAAGCTTGCTGTTCAAAGGAAGGTGTTTCTGTGACTTTCTTTGGTTGCGCTCTCTCTCAGTTCCTTGCACATGGGAGATAGAGGTCCCCGAGTACCAGGGGCCAAGCTCCAGGGGTGGTCATTACCCCTTTTTTCTTACCCAAAACTGCTGAGTGGTCCTGCACCAGTTATTGCAAACAAACCTCCTCAAACTTAGTGCCCAGGTGACTGTCATGTGTTCTGGTTACAAGTTGGTCCTTTGACCTGAGTTGTAAGTGGAACAGTGATTCTATTCCAAGTGGTGCTGGCTAGGGATGATGTCCTCCCCGGGCTCAGGGTTCAATTGAAGTTAATGGAGACTTAGTTGGCATGATTTTTGGATAAGGGATTCTGCAGGAGTGTTGAGGACAGCAGGTCCCTTCAGGGAGTGTGTGTGTGGGTGAGAGCATGTTCTGGATTTACAAGACCAAGGGCAGCCCGGGGGTCAAGGCCACATGCAGATCAGAGGAAGTGGCTGTCCTTGCTGTCCAGAGCCCAGCACCCCCACATTGGGGCCATGGCCAGTGCAGCGCAGGACCCTGCTGGATTCTGGGGGTTAATTTCCTACTGCCCGAGGCCCTTTGTTCTTTTATGCCAGGACATTGGAGTAGGAAGCTTGTAAACATGGGCTCCCAGGCTTGAGGAGCAAATTCAGGAAGTGTGTAAATACCCGAATAATTAGCTTTGGAGTGTGTTAGTTTTCTCTTTTTCACAAGAAAAAGGCAAAAAGTCATGAGTTCCATGTTGATTTTGAGCAATAGAGGATTTTCAGGCCTTTCCGATCTCCCTCACCTGAAGGAATGATACCCCAGAGACTGGGCACCTTGTTTCTGTTCCCCCTCTAGGAGGGATGGTGGGTGGTGCAGCAGGTCTGGATTCTCGCCTTTTCTGAGTGTTGCTGTTTGTTTTCTAGAACATCACTTTCTTGATCCCTGACTTCTACCATATGGACCTTGTATCTGAGGGCTACTTACCACTGCCAGACCTGGTCAGCCACCTGAACATGGGAAATCAGAGTGGGCCTGAGGAAACGACTGTGGACCCCCTGCCGGGCTGGAGCACGGCTGAGAGTGAGCCTGGGGCCTCCTTCCAAGGAGCCTACCTGAACCTCCATTGGGGACAAAGGGAGCCGGGGCTTGGGTGTGCTAGGTGGGATGGGGAGAGATCAGGGTTTGTGTATGTTGGATTGTGTTCTTCTGTTTCTGATGGGTCTTCAGTGTTTCCTGGGGACAGGACATGTGTATGTCCCACTGATATGTTAGCAGGGACAGGACCAGAACTCCCCCACATGCCTGTCATAAGTTCCCATAGGCCTTCATGCAAGATGCCATAGCTAATGACTGTCTTTTGTAAGTAAGTCTATGTAGCTTTATGCAGTTTGAGGTCTGATGTAGCATATCAAGTTAACTTGATGTAAAACAGTCACAATAGAATTTCTTTTTAAAAAAATATATATATGTATTTTATTGACTTTTTTACAGAGAGGAAGGGAGAGGGATAGAGAGCTAGAAACATCGATAAGAGAGAAACATCTATCAGCCGCCTCCTGCACACTCCCCACCAGGGATGTGCCCGCAACCAAGGCACATGTCCTCGACTGGAACCGAACCTGGGACCGTTGAGTCCGAAGGTTGACGCTCTATCCACTGAGCCAAACCGGTCAGGGCAGGATTTCTTTATCTTGTTAATTTTTTTTAATCCTCACTCCAGCAGTGAGGATATTTTTTTCATTGATTTCAGAGAGAGTGGAAGGGAGGAGGGAGGGGGAAAGAGAGAAAAGGGGGGGGGGGGGAGAGAGAGAGAGAGAGAGAGAGAGAGAGGGAGAGAGAGAGAGATATTAATGTGATGAAGACACATTGGTTGGTTGCCTTCTACATGCAATCTAGGTATGTGCCCTGACCAGGAATTCAACCCACAAGCTTTCAGTGTACAGGATGATGCTCCAACCCAGTGGCCGGCAAACTGTGGCTCGGGAGCCACATGCAGCTCGAGAGCCGAGGTTTGCCACTCTGTTGACTAATGAGTTTGCCAAGCACTGGTAGGGTAAAACACTTAAAAACATTTTAATAATATACTTTAATAATAAAAACATTTTAATAATATTTAATAAAAATATCTTCAACCTAAGTCAAAACTTCTGGATAAGGGTAATGCCTTAGCAGTGGTCGGCAAACTCATTAGTCAGCAAAGTGGCAAACTGTGGCTCGAGAGCCGCATGTGGCTCGCAAGCTGTAGTTTGCTGACCACTGGGTTGGAACATCGTCCCATACACTGAAAGTTTGTGGGTTGAATTCCTGGTCAGGACACATACCTAGATTGCAGGTTCGATCCCTAGCCAGGGCATCTACGGGAAGGCTGGCAGGGCTAATTTAACATTTAAAAATACTTCCACACTTGCCCGGAGTCACACTCTATGGCTTTGTTACTGTCAGTGAGGACTAAGAGCTCATGGCTCCTGCCCTGAGTGAATCCTGCCCTGGAGCTCAGGGCTGTGGCAGCAACTTTAGCTTTGGTTGAATGGGGAAGGAGTGGGGCACTCTGCAGCCTCCTGGGTGCTCACCTTCCCTTGACAAGGAGCAAGGAATTGCACCCCACATACTCCCTGGCAGCCTTCTCAGTGGGCGGGCTGGGTGCAGTACTGGAAAGCTAGCAGGAGTCAGGTCACAGGGCTGTGTGGTCATCTTAGGGATGGTGTCTGTTATCCTGAGTCAGAGTGGAGCCCTAGGAGGGTTGTGGGCCGATGAGGGACCTGCTCCAACTGTGATGTTAGTGGCATCCTGCTGGCCAAGTGCAGGGCCCAGGGCAGTACAGCAGGGTGGCAGAGGGTGCTGGCCTGGACTAGGCGTCTGTGAGGTGGTTAGAGGTGACTGGATCCGGGACAGCCTTTGAACGTGGGGCAGATGGAGTTTAGTAGATCAGGTTATCTCCCTCATGCCCTTGAGTCACTGGCAAATGAGGAAGTTTATCTCAGCGGGGTTGCTTTTGGGAAACACTCTTGTTGCAAATGGGAAACATTCTTTTCTGCTGTTGTTGCTAGATCCAGGGGTTAATGGCATGCCCACTGGTGACAACATGCTGCCCCCAGACAGGACCCCAAAGCCTGCGGGAAGCCAAGAAGCTGTCACGGGGACTCAGACTCAAGAGGACACTGGAGCCCAGCTCCCATCTCCTCTCTCATCTCTGCCCACTCTGGGGTAAGTCCTTTGCAAGGTGCAGGTTACTTGGTGCTCCCTAGGAGCCTCTGTGTGACTACCCCCATTTTATCTGGAAGGAAACATTTAGGTAAGTTCCAGGAATTGATATGAGCACAGTTTTCTCATTTAAAAAATTATATGAATCTGTTCTCTTTGTGTGTGTTAAATAACAAAGTATTTTATTTAAAGGAAATACATATTAGGGAATTTGGAAAAATGAGAAATGTAGAAATAAAAAATGCCATTTTCTGTTACCGCATCCTGTTGTGCATAGCATTTTGGTGTGTTTCAACCAGTTTTATCCTTAAAAATCTGATGCGCAGCACATAGTAATGCACCACACAAGGGTGTGCATGTGCCTGGCCTTTCTGCTCTGCCCAGGTTTCAACGCCCTCACTGCCCTAGGGTCTGGATGCAGGTCACAGGGCTGTCTTTGAACTTGACCTATGCATTCCTTATATCTTGTTTCTCTTGCTCATTGTTGTGTCTGGGAGATTTATCCACACAATTGTGTTTTCCAGTCTTCTTACAATTATTTTAAAATATGTAATATGTGAATGAATGTGTACTTTTTGAAAGTACAGAAGAATAATGGCAAAAGCAAATGTTCGGTGATTATCTCCCAGTCTTTCTGAGAGGGAACCACTGTCTGCAGTTGTAGTCTTCTAGACCATTTCCCTGTGCACGTGAATATAAAATACACATGTGCTCATGTAAAGCTGCCCTGTTCCTTTAACAAAAGAGATCATTGTGCATGTTGTGCTCCTTGTGTGCATGCACACATGCACACACTCATGTACACAAATAGGTTACAGTGTACATGTTGTCTTCCATGTATATGTGCACACATGCACACACTTGTGTGTCTTGAAGATTTTTCTCTGTGGTGCTACCTCTGAACCAGCTTTCTGTGTGACACCAGAGTTCAGGTAGATATTTCCTTGTTGACAAATGTTCCAGCTGTTTCCTGTCCTTTGCTTAGGCTTCCTGGCTTCTTCTATAACTGTGGTGTCCATTCTTGATGTTTTGAGCAGTTAACCACTCTCTCCTGGCTCATCCACAGATGAGGAGGGTAGCTCTGCCCCAGCAGATTGTGTGCTATGAGACAGGGTCTGAGAGTGCTTGCTGCAGGTGTCTTAGATGGTAGCATGTTCCGCTCTGTCCTGAGCTCCTCAGGGCCCTGCACAGCTTGTTTTATGGGATGTGATTATGCAATGAGGGAGTCCCACTAGATGAGCTCATCCTATGTTTCATTCGGTTGGTGAGGAAGCAGAGTGGGATTCTTAGAGTTTAGACCAGATGCTGAGACCCTGAATGAGGCACTCAAAAGCTGGGTGCCTCATTCAGGGTCATGTTCCCACGGCACCACCACTGGAGGCCCTGCCATCCCCCTGTTCATCGTGGCTTGCAGACTTGGCAGTGGGGGAGCAGGAGGATAGGGGCCTCCCCATAATTCCTCACGTCTCCATGGCCAGAGTTTAGTGACAAGGTGACACCTGGCTGCTGGGGAGGTGCAGGTGAAGGAGGGACAGTGCAGAGCCTGACCCTGAACTACATGGGAGAGGTTGCTCACCCTACTTGGTAAGGGCAGTGAGGCCCTCCTGTTCAGCTGCTTTCCTGCAGATGGCCTGCAGCTCTTGCAGCTCCTGTGACTGGCATAGGGCTGGTCTCTTGGCATCAATGGATGGATGGAGTTGTAGGTGTAGCTGTAGCGAGAGGGACAGATACTTGTTGCTTGGCCTCTGCAGATCCTTGTCTCATCTCTCAGGTCCTCGCAGCAACTCCCACTGCTCCTCCAAACTGCTCGCTATTTCATTTATCCTTTGTCTCCTGTGCCTCTCTGTGAACCTCTGGTACATTTACCACATCACTGGCATGTCTGCCTAACGAGGCGGGGCACGGCCACCTCCAGTGGTCTTGGTGCCAGTGTCGCCTGGGGCTGACATCGGCCAGACCACCTGGAGGGGTCTTGACCCAGATCTCCCCACGGTTGCTCTATCTGTATGGTGGTAGCCTCTTCCTCAATGGCCGTCACATGCTGAACATGCTTGGGGTGGGGGGGGCAATCAAATTTCTTCTCCCTTTGCTCCTGCCTTCCATGAGGCTGCTGTGTACTGCTGACATCCATTCAGCACATGGTCCTGGTGCTCTGTGGCTTTGATTGATCAATCTTTGCTAAACGTGCATTTATCTGGAAAATATGTATGTTGGTGCTTTATTTTTTAACTTGGTTACGAAATTTAATTTTTTTTTTTTCTGTCATAAGTTTATGTTGTTAAATGCTTTATACTTTTCTGTAATAGAAGGGAAGTTCACATGATCTCTGTTTTTGATTCTTTTGTGGCTCCTAAGAAACTGTGCTATTTGTATTATAATCCTCAGGGGGTACAGCATCCCAGGAGGAAGCCCACCAGCCCAGGAGCAGTCATTGCCTGAGCACCAGTGGAATATTCCAGAAGGAAGCCCACCAGCTCAGGTGTGGTCATTGCCTGAGGACCAGCAGGACACTGTCCTGGAGAAGCAGGAGCCTACAGGAACAGAGATCCTGTGCCAGGAGCTTTTGAGAGGAAGCAGCTCTGCCTCAGTGGTCATAAGACCCTTTGCTTCCTATGAAGATTCTGAAGCTCTGACCCCAGCTGAGGACAGGAGCTGGGATGAAGTGTGTGGATTGTCCCAGGAAGCACAGATGGAGTGCATGGGTTTGAGCACTGACAACCATCAGGCTGATGCTGCGGGACAGCTGGCAGGGGTGGGCCTCCCAGTGCTGCACCCTGGGTGTGGGGCTGAGTGGGGCACATCCCAGGGGAGCCCAGCTATGGCCGCCAGTCCCTCGGGGATAGCGCAACTCTCACTTCCCATACCTGCTTTGGAGGAGCAGTGGCTGGGAGCACAGGACAACAGGGAGGAGCTGCAGACTTGCTTACTGAAGGAGCAGCTGTCCAAGCCGAACTTTGGGAGACCTCAGGACATCTCCTCCATTGAGCTGGTCCTGGCAGACCATACCTCCTCCTCAGCCCCTGTGTCGCTGTGTGACCTGGGAGGCAGAGACCTGTACAGTGGCCGCTCTGGCAGCTCCTCAGCCCGTTATGCCCTAGCCACAGACCTCCCCGGTGTCTTTGACACAGTGGAGGTCCCAGAGGCTGACGGAAATTCCTTTTTATGGAACCTCAAGGAAGTGTTTTACAGCCGGTGGGCAGATCGAACTTCTTCCAACTGTTCCTGTGCCTCGTCTGAGCTCGTGGGAACAGCCTCCCCTTCCCTGGCTGGCTCCAATGTGGATGTGAGCACTTTGCATGGGCATGGGGAAGAGGTTCTGGCTGACAGGGAGCTGTTGTTGCTGACTGGTACTTATTTCAGTCATGGTGAAGGCCGGCAGTTCTGTGAGACCAATCTGGGCCTCATTCAGACAGAACCATCTGACACCTCAGAATGTGAAGATGTGAGTGGCAGAGAGAGCCGTGGCTGTGTCCTTCCCAGGTTGGGATCCAGCCCCACGCACATGTGCCCGTTAGAGGAGCCCAGGCCAAGCATCCAGGTCACCTCCACGCCTGTGAGAGGGGATAGCTCGGCGACGTCCGAGGCCACCAGCCTGCAGCGGGAGATCCAGGAGGGCACCTACTTGGGGAGCTGCTGCCACAAAGATGGCTCACTGCTGAGTATGTTCTGGGGGGTTGTTCCTAGAGCGCAGCTGGATGCAGGGCATCCTCATCCCAGGGTCTGATGACTCTCCACCCTAGTAGTTTTGGCTGAAGTGATGCATTCAAGGACTTGAAGTTACAAGTTATGTCTTGCACATGAGGGTTATAGTATGCATGTATTCCCAGGATGGGGGAGCCCAGGTCCCACTGGGGCTGCAAAGCAGGGTGGGGTGAAGTCCAGGGCCAGGCTGCTGTATCTCTGACTGGCATCGCTCTGGGAAGGTGTAGGGATCAGACCCATTCACTTGCCTCTTTGAGGGTGATTGCTTTCCTTTCCTTGTTTTTATTTTTTGATTCTCACCCAAGGATATTTAATTAATTAATTAATTAATTAATTAATTAATTTTAGAGAGAGAGGAAGGGAAAGAGGGCCTGAGAGGGGGAGAAAGAGAAAGAGAAACATCAATATGAGAGAGAAACATCACATTGCCTCCTGTACTCACCCCAAGTGGGAATCAAAAGCACAGTCTTTTAGTGTACAGGAAGATGTGCCAACCAAGCCACCTGGCCAGAGCTTACTTTCTTTTCCTTTTTTAAAAGAAATATATTTCATTGATTTTTTTTACAGAGAAGAAGGGAGAAAAGGATAGAGAGCTAGAAACATCGATGAGAGAGAAACATCGACCAGCTGCCTCCTGCACACCCCCTACCGGGGATGTTCCCGCAACCAATGTACATGCCCTTGACCGGAATCGAACCTGGGACCTTTTAGTCCGCAGACCCACGCTTTATCCACTGAGCCAAACCGGTTTCAGCTTATTTTCTTTTTCATTTTCCTAATTAATAGGTCATATTATTTTAGCCAGTTGTTTAGGGTTTTGTATTGTTGATTCCTAAGGCTTTTCCCCTAAACTTTAAAAACTTAAAAAATATTTGAAAAATATAAACAGAACATAAAACCATATGTAAACACCCCCTCCCCCCATAAAAACCTTTTTTGGGTATAGGATCTGGAGGCAGTGTGAAAGTGCATCTGTGCACAGGCGCAGAGCATGTGTAGTTCAGTGTAACTCAGGGCCCACAGCCAGCACGTGTGTGTGCTTCTGCTGGGTCATTCACATTCCTCCACTGAGTCAGAGCCTCCCCATGTTGGTATGTTGAGGGCAGGTTTTCCAGGCTTTCCTGAGTTGGCAGGTGGTTGCAGGTATCCCTGAAGTGCTTTCCTTAGCTCTGGCTGCTGCGGATATATCAAGCCTCTGGCTCCACACCAAGTGGAGGTGATGCTGCCTCTGTGCTCAGGCTGGTGCTCCTTGCCCCCTGCTCCCCTGCCCCCTGCCCTGGGTGTTCTGTATGGTTCTGTGCTGCCCAAGGTGTGTGCTTGTTTCATCCTGATGTCGTCTTGGTGAAGTCAGCGGAGGGCTGTGCGTTCTCACCTTCCCCTCAGGTGTTCAGTTTGAAGTGAAGCGGGTAGAGCTCCAAGGCCCTGCTCCCCTGTTCTGCTGCTGGCTGGTGAAAGACCTCCTACACAGCCACCTGGCCTCGGCCACTCGTACCCAACTGTTGCTGGCCAGCCTGCCCAGCTCCACGCACTCCGCGTGTGAGCATCTTGGATCCAGCCCAGGGGAGGTGGGTATGTTAGTTTGCTCTGCCTTGCAGTTGCCTGTGTGCATGGAAGTGTCTTCCTATCAGCATCTCTTTCTGTTTCTTCTGGGAAGGATGGGAGGAGGCTTTTTAACCCTGTCTTCTAATGTCCTGTGTACTAGTATTAATCAACATGTAGGGTTTCAAATCTGCATGTGCCCATGTGCAGGATGGGGTGTGAACATGCTTCAATGTGGGTGCTAGCTTGGCTCTCAGGCTGGGTTCCCAGGGGCCTGAGAGGGATGGGCTACACAGGGGTTGGGTTCTGCTGTCCCCACAGCTGCAAGGTATGGTGGGGTAATGCACCCATCTGCTGCCGCCTCCTTTCTGATGGTTGCATGTGGCCCCTCATACCTTCCTTCACCCACACAGATGCTCAGAAGCAGACCGTGGTTTGAGGAGCCCCCCAAGGCAGGAGAGTTGGAGGGGCTGGCAGCCTGTGAGGGTGCGTACTCTCAAAAGTACAGTACGCTGAGCCCACTGGGCAGCGGGGCCTTTGGCTTCGTATGGACTGCTCTGGACAGGGATCAGAATAAGGAGGTACTTGGGCCCTTGGGGTAGGTGGGGTTGGACCATCTTGGGTGGTCCCATACCTCTAGTACTCATGTCTGCATGCTGGGACTCAGTGGGTAGTAGTCCTCTGTGTGCAGCATGAGGCCGGCCCTGCTTGGGGTCTGGATGCTGGGAGGAGGTCTCCTCAAAGCAGCACACTCAACCCTAGCCGTCCCTCTGGCTGCTTCAGACACCACGAATGGCATCCATGCTCCTTCATGCACGAGGACTACATCTTCTTGACTTCCAGGTTCAGACCTGCAGGGTTTCTTCTCTGGCTGGTGATCCTGGCCATTTCACACATTCTGCTGCTGGGTGAGCCTCAGAGCCAGTCCTATTGAGGTAGCTGGAAGTGGCCAGTATGCATGTGATTTGGGGATGTGGTGACAGTGCTGCCTGTCCCTGCGAACAGTGCCTGGTGTTCCATGCCAGCCTGCCAAGTCCTGGGCGGGCCATGCTTGGTGGAATTGATCAGAGCTGCATGCTTGGACTGATGTTTGGTCAGAAGTCTACAACTGTCTTCTTGCTTCTGACCACTGTTCAGTGGGTTCCTAGATGAATGATCATTCCTCTGTGGTCATTACAATTGTCTCTCCTTTTCTGTTTGTATCTCCTCAACTTTTCTTTCCCTCATAACTGGGGCAGGACCTGCAGAGCCGATGAAGTGACAGGTACGCCACAGGTCTCCTGTTTCCCTGCCCTTCACAGACACCCCTTTTCTTTTCTTTCTTTCTTCTTCTTCTTCTTCTTCTTTTTTTTTTTTAAATCTTTATTGTTCATATTATTACAAATGTTCCTCATTTTTTCCCCCCTCCATTGCTCCCCTCCACCAGGTTCCCACTTCACCCTCTGACCTTTCCCCACCCCCATTGTTCTCATCTATAGGTGCACAGTTTATGTTCAGTCTCTTCCGGCACCCCACACTCCCCTCCCCTCCCCCCCCATACCTCTGATTCTATTATATTCACCAGTTAATATTGTTCATCAGATTATATATCTATATATCTATATATCTATATATCTATATATCTATATATCTATATATATATATATATACATTATTGATTTTTTTACAGAGAGGAAGAGAGAGGGATAGAGAGTTAGAAACATTGATGAGAGAGAATCATATATCAGCTGCCTCTTGCACACCCCCTTACTGGGGATGTGCCCACAACCAAGGTACATGCCCTTAACCAGAATTGAATCTGGGACTCTTCAGTCCCCAGGCCGACACTCTATTCACTGAGCTAAACCGATTTCGGCATCATCAGATTTTTTTTAATTCCCTTGGTTTTTAGATTCACTTGTTGATAGTTACGTATTTGTTGTTCATAATTTTTATCTTTATTTTCTTCCTCTTCCTAAAGAACTCCCTTCAGCAGTTCATATGATTCTGGTTTGGCGGTGATGAACTCCTTTAGCTTTTTTTTATTTGTGAAGCTCGTTATCTGGCCTTCGATTCTGAGTGATAGCTTTGCTGGGTAGAGTATTTTTGGCTGTAGGTTCTTGCTATTCATCTCCTTGAATATTTCTTGCCATTCCCATCTAGCCTGCATGGTTTCTGTTGAGAAATCAGCTGACAATCGTATGGGTGCTCTTTTATAGATAACTACCTGCTTTGCTCTTGCTGCTTTTAATATTCTTTCTTTGTCTTTTGCTCTTGGAATTTTAATTATGATGTGTCTTGGTGTGGTCCTCTTTGGATTCCTTTTGTTTGGGGTTCTGTGCACTTCCTAAACTTGTAAGTCTATTTCTTTCACCAGATGGGGGAAGTTTTCTGTCACTATTTCTTCCAGTATGTTTTCAGTATCTTGCTCTCTCTCTTCTTCTGGGACCCCCATAATTCTGATGTTAGTTCTCTTGAAGTTGTCCCAGAGGTTTCTTACATTATCTTCAACTTTCTGGATTCTCTTGTCTTCTTGCTTCTTCAGAGGAGTGTCTTCTGGCTCTTTATGTTCCAAAACTTTGACTTGATTCTGCGATCTTTCATTCTGTTTTTAGGACTCTGTATAATATTTTTTATTTCAGACAATGTATTCTTTATTTCTAGTTGATCCCTTTTTATTTCTAGGTGATCCCTTTTCATATCCTCATAGGTCTCATTTATCTTATCGGCCTTTTCTAGGAAATTCTTGAAAAACTTTATAAGCGTGGTTTTGAACTCTATATCCAGTTGCTTGTTGCCCTCCAGTTCTTTCATTTGTAATCTGTTTCCTTGTCTCGGCATTTTCGCTGCTTCCCTGAGTTGGTAGGTTGGCTTTGTGTGCTAAGGTGTCCTGTATGGTTCAGTGGGTCTGCCTCCCATTTACCTGAAGTGGACACTCGTGGTGTACCCCTTTGTGGACTGTGTGTACAGCCTTGTTGTAGTTAAGTCTTGATTGTTGTTGGTATCACTGGGAGGAACTGACCTCCAGGCCAATTGGCTGTGAGAATCAGCTGTGTCTATGCCGGAAGACAGCCTTTTTCGACTAGACTTGGCAAATTGCAAAAGCCTGTGTGCTCAGCTTGGATGGGGCGGAGTTTCAGGGTGGAGCCTACAGCCTTGGCTTCCCTCAGTACCACCCTATGAGGTTCCTGGGTCTCAGTGTTCCTCGGTACTTGCTGCAAGCACCTCTGAGAGAAAGGTGCCTTCAAGTTTTGCCCACTACCAGACAGTGAGCTTGGAACTGGGGTTCAGTGCAGTTGGAAGTGGGGTTTAGGGCAGTCTGGAGCTTTTGTCTCCTTCCCGTTAGGACAATCCAGCGGCACAGTCAACAGTCCATCCTCTGCACGCAACGTGCGTGCCTCCGGGACTGTCTTTCACCACTCCACCTTATAGCCTAGATTCCCTCTGTGTGAGCCTGGGTGCCCAGGGTCTTATCCAGAACTGGGGTTCAGTGCTGTCGGAACTGGGTTCAGCACAGTCCGGAGCTTTTATCTCCTTCCCGCTAGGGAACGCCAGCCAGGCACTCAGTCGCCCCCTCCTCTCCGATTCCATCCTCTCCCCGGGCACTCACCGTGTCTCCGTACCTTAGGCTTTTACAGCTTCTTTGATTTTCCTTTTGGTTTTCTCTTTCCTTCTAGTTGTAGAATTTCTAGTCAGCCAACTTTCCTGTAGTTCTGGATAATGTCCACTTTGTATTTTTTTGAAATTGTTGTGTGAGGCTGCAGTTAGGTGTTACCTATGCGCCATCTTGGTTTCTCCTTCCCTTTTATTTCTTGATGGATACCTTTTGTTTGAGGAGATTTTGTTTTATTTTCAGTTCATTAAATTGTTTTTTAAAGAGTGAGTGTTGAGTTTTATGAATTGTCTTTTTAGCATCTGTTGAGATGACCACGTCTGTGTTTACTATTACACTTTCAGGGACTATCGATCATTCATTAAGTACTCACACCACTTTTCATATATTGATCTTGTGTTCATCAACCTTGCTGAGCATGACTAGTCTCAGAATCAATCTCGATGATGGTTTTTGACTATTTTCTAGTTCTCAGGCATCTAGCTCTATTTTCTCGCCCAGAACATCCAGTTCTCAGTTGAGAAATCAGGGTGAGACAGGGTGTATTGGGGAGTGTCTGCTCTGAGGTCTCCGGGGCCTCCCTTTCTAGCGAGGCTGTGGCTCCTCAGCCCCTGGGCTCTGCACTGTCCCATTCACCTACTGTACATGTCCTCATGCCGCACGGGCACATTATCATGTTCTTTCATGTCCCTGGGGCCCGGGGATTAACGTGGGGGTCCAGCCTGCCGCTGTGAGCCAGTGTGGGTACCAGGTCCCAAGGGGCAGCTTTCCCCCTCTGCTTTCCTCATAGGTGGTGGTGAAGTTTATTAAGAAGGAGAAGGTTCTGGAAGATTGTTGGATCGAGGATCCCACACTTGGAAAAGTTACGTTGGAAATATCAATCCTGTCCAGAGTGGAGCATGCCAACATCATCAAGGTGGATAGCGGTTCTCTTTGAGAGACGCCCTGGTAGGACTCATGGGAGCATCCTAAACATGTCTGAGGCATCTGGGCAGTGCTGGACCCGTGTTGTCTCTTCCCAGGTCCTGGACATATTCGAGAACCAGGGCTTCTTTCAGCTGGTGATGGAGAAGCACGGTTCTGGCCTGGACCTCTTTGCGTTCATTGACCACCATCCCAGCCTGGATGAGCCGTTGGCCAGTTACATCTTCCGACAGGTGACTTGGCCCAGAGCTGTGTAGGGAGTGTGGGCTGGGGCGCCTTGTCATGGAGGCTGCACTCAGCTCTCTCTGAGTTTAGCTTTCAGTTTTTGAGAAGATAATTTTGTGGTTGAAGTAGAAAAAGTGAGGTTGGAAAGGAAGGATGAGGCCAGATACCTGGAATGATTGGGGAGGTAGGGTTAATGATTAAAGTTTATTTACATACATAGATTATCCACACCAACCTCAAAGTGAGCCAACAGAGCTGTCAGACTGAGCTCTTCAACCTGCAGGTTGGATCTGGGTTTTTGCCTACAACCAGGGAACCACTGCTAACTTGTGCAGCAGCAATTATTCTGGTGCCCACACCATGAGACTGTTAGGTTAAATGAGAGAGCACCTATCTCTAAGGCATATGTGCAACTCTTGGCCTGGAGGGGCATGTGGACAGGCATGCAGTAGGGAGTCCTGGGGGTGTTATGTTGCAGGATGTCCTGGGTGGGGCAGGGATGTGAACAAGGCAGGTTTGCTTTTAGACTAACAGTCATTTGGAGGTGACTCAATTTCTAAAGACAACTTCCCTGAATTGATATTGCTTATTCAAAGCTATAAACTTCCAGAAGTTACTGGATTTCTGAAATTAAGTTTCTGAGGCACCTATTTAAAGTTTCAGGCAGGGTGGTTCTGTGCAAGGAATGTTACCTCTCTTCTAACTGTGTTGGAAGATCATATACTTGTCCGCTTTACTTCATGGCGAAGATTTGTTTCTGAAATTTTCGTGGTAAAAAAAATGTCTGTCTGAGGTAACAGTAGTCACTTGTTAAAAGCTGTCGCCTAGCCCGGCAGGGGTGGCTCAGTGGTTGAGTGTCAACCTATGAATCAGGTGGTCAGGGTTCGACTCCTGGTCAGGGCACATGCCTGGGTTGCAGGCTCAATCCCTGGTGTGCGGTGTGCAGGAGGCAGCTGATCAATGATTATCTCTCATCATTGATGTTTCTATCTCTCCATCTCCCTTCTTCTCTGAAATCAATATATTAAAAAAAAAACTAAAAAAAACCTGCCACCTAACTTGTTAATTCTGGGGCTACTGATATAGGTGATTATAATATTTGATGTACAATTTTTGCAGCAAGTATCTGTAGCCCATTAGTAAATCTATATACATAATATAGTAAACAGAGTCATTTTATAGAACTATTATCATCATATGTAAATATGTATACATGCCTGTTATCGGTGTCTTCCTGCTTGGTTAGGGGTGGAGGGATGGTGAATGGGGCCTGTGACCAGTTCTCCTGGTAACTAGGACACTGGGGACCAGCAGCAGGTCTACTTTTTGTCCAGGATCAGATTCTATGATAGTTATAAGCTTGATGAAACTTTCCTTGTTCAGATGAAATGTGCCTGTTTCCTGACTGGGCCCTGATATGTGTGTATGAACATAAGTGTGTGTGTTCATGTATATGTATGCATGTTGTAAATACATGTTTCAGTATATAAATATGCAGGTGTTTGCATACATGTATATATATCAGTAAACACATTTACTGATTGTTAGTAACCTATCATTAGCCATTGCTTCTGGTTCGAAGTTACTCATTTGTAAATATAGTATTGTGTCTGACGATCTAAGTGACTGACTATGTCCATGAAATTACAATGCTGATGGTACAACTGGTGTCCAATTTATTGCAGCCAGAAAGTACCAATCTACTTCAGCTTACCGAACAGCTACTTTTGTTGGTATCTGTCACCAAATGGGCAGTGTGGGCCATCCCAGGTTCAGGGGACACTGGTGTATTATAGTCACTATCCTTTCAGAGTGCAGGCTAACACCTTGGGCTCATGGCAATTAGCTGATTCCAATGGAATTACTCTTAGTCCATGTGGCTGACAGACCCACATGGGTTGTAGCCAGTGTGGCTGCTGCAGCCTTTTGAGAAGTCACAGGGCCCTGAAATAGTTTGGGGATGTGGCTTCATACTTAGCTCTGCTCCTAACTGCTGCGTGAACTCTGCTGAACCCAACGGCCAGACTTTGGCTTTCTCTGGGGCCACTTCGCATTAGTGTCCACCCCACACTCATTCAAGTGCTGCCATATGTCTCTGTAGCTTCTGCTTGTGGTCTGTCTTTCCTCCCGAGATGGTCATGGCATGGGTCGGTGTGTGAGTGGATGTCTGCTGGGAAGTTTTTGTCAGTAGCACACAGAGAGAGAGAGGACATAAGAATCACGCATTTGTGTGGGAGGAAAGCGGGCAGTGGAAGGCATGGTATCGGTGATGTAGGTGAGGAGGGAGCCCTGTGGTCTGCGGCTCGGCCTGCTACCTGTGGCCACGATGCTGTCGTGTACTTAAAAATGTGAGAAGAGGACACATGTTGTGTCCATGTCACAATACAGTGGTGCAGTTTTAAAAGTAATGTGTTCTCATTTGCTGTTAGTCGGGGAGGCGTGTGCCAGCCGTGGTGAGCACACTGCCTGGAAGCGCTCTACCTCCGTGTTGGTCGGGTTGTGTCTGTAGCATCCAGTGGTCTTTCCTGACACGGTTTCATCACGAGTTAGAGAACTTTTTTTTTTTCCCCTTCGTTGTTGTTTTCTGTTTTGCTTTCGGTCCTTATTTTAAATGCGAGTTTAGAGTGAACTGCTTTGTAAAAATCCCTGTGGTCTCTTGGTTTCAGCTGGTGTCGGCAGTGGGATATCTCCGCTCAAAGAGCATCCTTCACCGGGACATCAAGGATGAGAACATTGTCATTGCCGAGGACTTCACCATTAAGCTCATAGACTTCGGCTCCGCTGCCTACTTGGAAAGGGGCAAACTGTTCTACACCTTCTGTGGGACAATCGAGTACTGTGCGCCTGAAGTTCTCATGGGGAATCCGTACGTGTCACACCCTGTGGCCTCATCATCTGTGAATTTTAGGCAGGGAAAATGTGTGATGAGGGCTAAAGGATGATATTTGAAAAATGGGCAAATGGACAAAGGAAGGAAGGTTGACCAGGGAAGCTGGGCAATGAGTACAGGATTCTCTATATTAATTTCTCAACTTCTGTTTATGTGTGCAGTTTTACACAATTAAAAGTTAAAAAGATAAAGGAATCCCAAAAGATATGACTTTCCAAATAAGCAAAGAGGAGTCTTGTTTGGGCTTATTTTGATGACAGCAATAATAATCCGTTCCCATAAAATTTGTTGGGCTGCCGTTGATACATCAGGGAATCAGTAACAGAGGCAGAGCTGAGGCAGCACCTTGGCTGGAGGTGCTGTTGTGTCTTACTGGGAGAAACAGGTCCTGGGGGTGCAGGCTTCTCGGGAAGCCTAGGAGCTTTGGGGCAGCCTGAGCAGAGCCTGCTCTTGATGATTCAGGAGAGCTGAGAACAGTGATTATTGCTCAGGTGTTGCTGGGACTTGAGTGCAAATAGTTCTCAGTATTGTCTGCTTCACACACACGGATTTCCATGTCATCCACATATACTAGTACTAGTAATGAAGTGGACTTATTTTGGTCAGATCCAGATAGCAGGAATTTTCCTGCATCACCTACACATATGTCAGAGGTTTAAGGAGACTGTATCTGCAGGTGCCTGTGACTAGAAGGACAGATGTCAGTGTTGTATGGGCCTCCCTGCAGTGCTGTGCCACACTCTCAGAGCCCGCCTCTGGTCCTGTTCTCATGAGACAGGCGTGTGGAACATTCAGCCAGACCTGGTCGGAGCCAGATTAGAACCCAGGTGGCCTGAGTCTGGAGCATTTGCTTATGGGCACTTATGCTGTCTCTGTGAAATGCCTCAGGCTCCCAGGAATCCCTGGCATTGGTATGAGATATGGCCGGCACCCTGTCACAGTGTCTCCTCAGGTCACGTTTCATTTCAGAGTCAGGGAGAGAGGACTGCAGGATGCTCGCTCACGTGGAGTCTGCTGCCCTCCTGATCCACACACCAGGCAGGCCCTGAGAGCAGAACGACCAGGCTTTTTGTCCACAGCAGAAGGGTGGGGGGGCTAAATAAATCATCTCTGTCACCTCTGCACACATCCAGAGCCACAGACAATGACATACTTGGGCGGGGGCGGGGGGAGGATAGGAAGGGGGCAGGGAGAGATCATCCACGAAGAGCCTTTAAGATATAATTTGGTTACCCTGGCACCCCAGAGTGCCAGTGGCTGTTGTCCTGTGGTGCCCATCATGATATCAGTGTTGGAGGGGTCTTTGTGTCCACAGAACCATGAATGTGCTGGTGGGTAGCTTGTCTGCCCCACTCTCACCCCATGCCTCCCTCCTCAGGGAGCCATCCTCCCACTTTCTCCTGGTGGCCCCACCCAGAATCATTTCTGCTCCTTCCTCCCCAGCTGGGCTGCGGGTGTCCTCCGATCTCTGTCCATCTCTGGGTGCTTCTCCCATCTCATGGGCCAAAAGACTTCTGAGCTTTGAATCTAGATCCTATCTTCAGGAGCTTTGCTTCCCCCCTCATTTTCATGTCTGTCCACTCGAAATTTTCAGCAAACTATGGTCCTGGGCCATATCTGCCCATCACTTGTTTTTATAAAGCTTCATTGGCACACAGCCACGTGGATTGGCTTATTTATGTCTGTAGCTGCTATGCTGCCATGACAGAGAGAAAGGGTAGTGACAGAGGCTGTATGACCTGCAGCCCAAATCTACTCTCTGCCATCTCTGAAGAGAACACCATTCTGTTCTGGAACTGTCTGTGGTTCCCCATGGCTCTGCTGCCTTGCACTCTGCTGTGCCTTCTGTCCATCTCCAAAAGTCCCCCACACCCCCAAAGGAATGCTGTCTCTGATCCCTTGTGCCATGTATATTGTCCCATCCACTGGTGGGCATTCTGTCTCCTGAATTAGTCTCTCAGCTGCCCAAGCACCATGGCTTTGTGTCTTCTCCCTCTCCTGGCACAGAGTGGTACTTGACCGGAGCAGATGTGCTGGATATTGAGGATGTGGTCGGGAGCATGTCAAACCTCACTGGGCACCATCGTGGGTGACTGGGGACTTGGGGCTCACACTCCTGACTGAGCTGCTGTATACCATGAGTGCTGTCTTCTGTCAGTTACAAGGGTCCGGAGCTAGAGATGTGGTCCCTGGGAGTCACGCTGTACACGCTCATCTTTGAGGAGAACCCCTTCTGTGAGCTGGAGGAGACCCTGGAAGCTGCAATAAACCCCCCGTACTTGGTGTCGGAAGGTGAGCAGGGCTGTAGCTGGCATCCCTCCCTACCTTCTGTATCCCAGAACCTTTATCAGAGCTGATGGCCTCACCTTTTTTCCATTTCTCTCATACTTTGTTTTTTAATCATTATATGTTTTTATTGATTTTAGAGAGGAAGGGAGACGGGTAGAAACATCAATAATGAGAGAAAGTTATTGATCAGTTGCCTCCCACATGTTCTCTTCTGGGGATTGAGCCTGCAACCCGGGCATGTGTCCTGAGTAGGAATCAAACCATGACCTTCTGGTTTATGGGTCAGTGCTCAACCACTGGGCCACATAGGCTGAGCCATTCCTCTCATACTTTGATTTGAACAGAAGGATGATTGGGATCTGACTTTAAAACATCATGATGATTATATTACTATGAGCTTCCTCTTTGGATTACAGGATCTGTCTTCTGAGAGTTAGACATTAATGCTTGTGGATTTCGCGATGGCAGTGACCATGGAGGGACTCAAGCCCCAGGAGCTCCCATGGAAGGAAGCCTGGGGTATCTGTCACACCTCGAGCGCCCCATGGGCTGGCAGTGTGAGCTTGATTTGCCTCTGAAGTAAGGACCAGCATGGAAGGCAGATGTGGACTTGGTAGCTGGAAAGGACTTCCTGAGTCTGCAGCTGGCCCACAGGATTCTGAAGTCCCTTCCAGTCTTTTTTTTTTAAATATATATATTTTATTGATTTTTAACAGAGAGGAAGAGAGAGGGATAAAGAGCTAGAAACATCGATGAGAGAGAATCATCTATCAGCTGCCTCTTGCAGTCCCCACTGGGGACGTGCCCGCAACCAAGATACATGTCCTTGACCGGAATTGAACCTGGGACCTTTCAGTCCGCAGGCCGACGCTCTATCCACTGAGCCAAACCGGTTTTGGCTCCCTTCCAGTCTTGACAGTTGGTGATTCCATAGTTGTCACTTATTGTTATGAGTATCAAGGCAAAGAGTATCTTCATGCATGAAATCTGTGCTTTGATTCTTTGCTTGGGTTAGAAGCCTGTGTCTCAGTTGGCTCAGGTGGCCATGACACTCACACAGACAGGGGGCTCAAACAGAAACTGTTTACTTCTTAGTCTAGAGGCTGGGAGTTCGAGGTCCAGGTACTGGTCTTTTCAGCTCCTGGTGAGAGCCTCTTCCTGTCTTACAGCCTGTTCTGTATCCTCACATGGTAGAGAGAGAGAGACAGAGTGAACTTTCTGGCCTTTTCTTACAAGGGCACCAATACCATCATGGGGCCTCATCTAATCACCCTGGTCACCTCCCAAAGGCCCCACCCTCTCTTACCACCACCATGGGGGCAGGGCTTCAACATGTGCATTCGAGAGGGTCACAATCAGCTCCCAGTGACCCCGGAGAAGACTGTAGGGTGCTGCTGATCTCTGGATCCTAGGACTCCTACAGCCCTTTCCTGTTACACCCTGAGTCATTCTGGGATCTGCACAGTCACAGCCCCTGAAAATAGACCATGGTTAGGGATTTCTGCATAATGAGTGATGGAGGCAAGATCTCAAGCTCCAAGCTCTCATTTCAAAGTGACAGATGGCTCTTGTAGCCTTTCTTAAAGCACAGCTGGAGCCCCAGGTGCTGAAAACCTGGAGTTGCTAGTTAAAAATGGGGGTTCCAAAACCACATGCTGCCCAGTTGGAGCTGCTCCTGGGGGCAGGTAGGACTATGGTTTTGTGATGCCCTTCACTTGACCCCAGCCTGGACCACTATGCTTAGGGTGGGTTTTATGTCCCCAGATCTCATGAACCTCATGTCTGGGCTGCTGCAGCCTGTCCCTGAGCAGCGTACCACCTTGGAGAAGCTGGTGACAGACCCTTGGGTTACCCAGCCCGTGAACCTTGCAGACTACACCTGGGAGGATGTGTGTGGAATAAACAAGCCAGGTATGAGGTGGGACCTATGAACCAGATAGGGTGAAGCGGTTCCCAGGCTGCCTTCTGGGTCTGGGAGGCGGGGTAGCTCCCCCTCCATGCTGTCCTGTCCTGGATTTACACTTGTGGAACAAATGGGACCTGCTTCTGTTTCAGAGGTCCCTGAGTGCCACCAGGGTTCAGAGGTTGGCTGTGGTCCTGGGAGGGTGGGGGAGTACCCATGGACCCTGTGATGACATGGCACCTACAGAGGAGTTGAGCTGGGGCTTTAAGAGGTGCAGTAGGCAATCACAGTTTGTGATTCCATAGTTGTCACTTATTGTTATGAGTATCAAGGCAAATGGTCTGAGTGGGCGGAAGGGGATGATAAAGATCACAAATAGTGAGTGCAATACTCTGGAGGGAGGCTCCTGGCAGCAGAGCCAAACAAGAGCAGCTAGATGGTCACTTCGCAGAGCAGGTGGGTCCAGCTGTGTTGATGGCTCTGGTGTAGAAGCCCCACAGCACCTCAGCAGTCCAGGAACTCTAGGGCTTTGTCAGTTGGGTTCTGAAGAGTCTTAATGTCTTTCACTCCTATCCAGAGAGAAGCAAAGTGTTTGAGAATCACGTGTTGTTAGCATGTGATACAATGTCTTTTTTCTTCAGGAAGTAGAGTCCTATCCACTGTGAGTCTGGATATGGAGAGCAGGAGCTCCAATGAAGTGGCTCAGCATCCCGAGCTGAAGGCGCCCCCTAATAGTCCTCATCCATTCAGGACAAGTAATTCTCAAGATGGAGCCCAATTCATCTAAAAGCTCATGTGAATTTGATAAATGCTAGAACAAAAGCCAGTGGTGCTATATTATTTTAGGTTTATAAAATAGACAGGGAGTTCGTTTTTTTCACGTCCTTGGAAAAACACTGTAGAGTTCAATAGAGTTTCATACTATAGAGTTCAATAGAGTTTCATACTATGAAAGGATTTTGAATCTGTGAACTTCTGAAAAGCATAAAAGCATTTTCAAATTCTTTCTTACTTCTGTATATATTCATATGTTTTGTCTCCTCAAACTCAGTCTATGCTTATCTGATAGGTAGAATTTATAGAACTGATGACCAGGGTATTTCATTAATTTATTTCCTTGAACATTTTCCAAATTAAAGCAATTTTGTTCATAAAAATTACACTGACTTGGACTGTATGAATTCTTGTACAATGCTAGTGTGGGGAGCATTGGCAAGAGGTTCACCTTCAAACAGTTTGGGGGGGTTTCTTCCTGGGTGGGGAGCTCTTCAGCTTGCTTAGTCTGAGGAGGCTGAGAGTAAGTTCTCAAACACTTCCCTTGTGTCCATGCACAGCTTGTTAGAGTTGGCTCACTGTCTGTCCGGGCTCTGATGTAGAGTGGGCTCTGCAGCAGGACTCTACTGTTCACCCACAGCACCGCCCTGCCCAGTACCCACAGACATCCTGCAGCCAGATAGTCCAGGTCCCCCCTCTTCAGTGATGTGGGAGCATCCAGCCCTGACTGTTACTGTTCTATCATTGCTCAGGTCCCAGTGGCTCTCTGAAACAATCAGCTAGCTCAAACACATGAAATCTAGCCTCTATTTTATATCTGTGGGGAGGGGAAGGATTGGTCAGGGGCAAGAGGAAAATCTTTCATTTCCTCCCCACCACACTGAGATAGCAGGGAAAAACCCAAGACTCTCCACCTCTTTCTCCCACGTCTCTGCTTTCTGCAGGTTCCAAAGCTCCTCCTGTCCAGAGCCCTCAGGAAGGCATTTGGGGGCCAGGCTGCCTGCCATGTTCTGTGCTCATTTAGGAACCACTCACTGTGTTAATATTTTAGAACACTCAGATAACAATTCACTTTATTTTCAACTACTAGAATATAGGATTTCACTATCTGCTCATGTATTTATTTTTTAAAGATAATTTTATTGATTTCAGAGAGGAAGGGAGGTGAGAGAGATAAAAACATCAATGATGAGAATAATTGATTTTGTTTGTCTCCCCCTCCCCCGCTACTGGGATTGAGCCCACAACCCAGGCATATGCCCTGACCTGGAATCAACTGGTTCCTGGGTCAACACTCAACTGGGCTATCTTATTTCTTTAGAAAGTGCTGCCCTAGACTTCCCGCTATCACAAAATACTGATGGATTCCTCTCCTCCACCAGGGCCAGGAAAGGCAGGGCTTTTAGAAGTTTATTTTTTTAAAGTATGTAGGAAAAAGTTAGCAATGTTTACTCTTCAGAATTGAAATGAGTTTATGTTCTAAGAACTGTCAACAAGAGTGGGAAACCCCCCAAAAATTTATCCTTGGAGTGTTTATAATGCTTCTAACAAAAGAAATTACCTAATATTTTCTTCAGACAGGTGTGCAGTGGGCTTATAATGCAAAGTCCTTCCTCTCCAAGAACTCTTCAAGAAAAAAATAATTCCATCTGACTTTATGGAAGTAGAAGGTTTGAATGAATGTTCTTTGCAGAAAGAATCCAGGTAGAAAAGTTCTGAGTCTGAGGCTGACACATTTTCCTGTCCATGTCCCAATTATGAATCCAGTAAACAAAATTTTCAGAACAGGATGAAGATGCTGTGGACCTTTAGAGCAGTTCCTGCACCTCAGTTCCTGTCCCTTTATTTTCAAAGCTGGAGAACTGCTTAGATTCCTTGATTCTTTCCAGGGTGGTGGTTGCATACAGGATTTTCTTAGGCTTTGGGCATAAAAGCATTACCATAATTTAATTTTTAAAAAATATATATATATATATTTTTTTTTACAGAGAGGAAGGGAGAGGGATAGAGAGTTAGAAACATCTATGAGAGAGTAACATCGACCAGCTGCCTCCTCCACACCCCCTACCGGGGATGTGCCCGCAACCAAGGTACATGCCCTTGACCAGAATCGAACTTGGGATCTTTCATTCCGCAGGCCAACGCTGTATTCATTGAGCCAAACCGGTCCCGGCCAAAAAGATATGTTTTAACACTCAGCCCCGTGCCTAGCACAGAGCAGGTACTTTGTAAAATGTATCCATATAAGAATCAAATACCTTTTCTTAGTTCAGAAACAAGTAGATAAAACATGAAGAAATGCTTTTAAACTAAGATTTGGGTCTTAGAAGTGTGGGATTTAGGCAGTTAGGAGAGCACACTGGTTTTGTTCTCTTTCACAACTACTCTTTTTGGAAAGATGCATAAGCTCTATCCCTGAATAACTACAAGTCTAGATAAGAAATTTAGAATGAATATAGTGACAAGGAGAAAATTCTAAGATGTCCTGTGTTAATGTAAAAAAAAAAAAAAATTGAAACCTATAAAGAATTTTTTGTGAGTTTATTTGAGCCAAATGGTTGACATATGCTGGGAAGTAGAACCTCAGCGAGTTGAGATAATGCTCCAGAGAATGGTGGGTTACATCTGTATTTATACATTGCAATCAAAGGAAAGGGATGTAGGTGGGTTACATGAAATCCATTGGTGATAGACTAGAGAGGCGGGAGAAAGCAAAGGGGCAAGGGGGGCTGGGATTGGATAAAAAGTAAAATGATAGACACATATTTAGGGGGGTACAGGAACAATTAACATAATAAGGGATTTGTGGTATCTGTCCTGGCGCCCAGCACATTAAGTTGTTCCCTAAGGGGTCCAGAAAAAGGGAAGTTACAAGTTACCCAGACATTTTAAGGGTATGTTGTTATAGATGCAGAAAGACACATAGGCTCAGTTAAGGTAAAAGTTGACCTTGTCAGTGAAGATACCATCCTAGGACGTAACTACCTACCATTACTGCTTTTAATTAAAGTTTAATTTCAGACCATTCTTTGTGGTTACTTTAGGTCTCTGAGTTTGCAAGACTGCCATGCAAGCCTTCCCTGGCGCTTGTCAGGTTAGCATGTGGCCCCTTTCCTCCACACCTGAATTAACTACAGTGGCCAGAGGGTGGAAGGAAGAGATAAGTTAATCAGTTAACAGCAGGGCAAAAACAATAAAAGATGGTTCACATTCCTGAGTGCCAGGTGCCACTGCCCCCCAGGTGTGTGATTTTTCCATATTGTTGCCCATACTCTTCTCTGGACTCTGTTACCTGTCCTGGAACCAGCCTGCCTTACCTTCTCCCATGTCTTTATCTGTGGCGATGTCAGTTTTTTGAAACAACTTGCATCTTCTCCTATGTGGTGTATAGAGTCTCTCAGACCCAGGACTGTGGGCATGTGCTTTTGTTACAGAATTTACCAGGGGACTGAAAAATAGGAGTACCCAGAGACACAGGAAAAACCCATTTATTTCCAGATGTATCAGTACCGTGATTCGGGAGCCTATTTCCAAATTCTGAGGAAGCCAATATGGAGGAAGCTTTTTCTTTATACCCTTTGGGTTCTTTGTCCCTCATATATGGATCATACTTCTGGAACTTTCTCAGGCTTTGCACAAAGCCCCGTGTGTTGGGATGGGGGCTGAGACCACACCAAAAGGCTTGGCCTGGCACCAGCACTGATAACCCCCTCTGGGGATTGTGTATTGTTCATGGCTATGGCCTCTGTAAAATGGGAGTAACAGGTCTTGGAAGACCAGATAATTAAGGAAGGGACAGTGACTAGAGTATAGGCTAGCAGGAATGTGCAATAGGGATAGAGTTAGGTCTCCCCCCAAAATGTCTTATTTCCCTCATCACTCTAACCTAGCCCCGCTGTGGTGGTTCAGGCTGATGGCCCATAAACCGGCCTGCTGGGCAAGTGTTTTGTTTAGCAACAAGTTCGGCTGAAACATGACTGGCTTTCATCCTAAGAGGAAACCAGACCTTAGTGGCTAGGGTTGTTTCTAAGGGGAAATGTGCTGCAGTTCCTGCGTCCTATTCCTTGAAAACTGGACTTCTGTAGTTTGGAGATCAGACATCTCTGGAATATACCTACCATCTTTAGTGTGTGTGTGTGTGTGTGTGTGTGTGTGTCCTCAACACTCATGCTGAACGCAGATTTTCGCACAAAAATCTTAAACATCATTGCCTGGCTGCATGCTTGTTGGGGTCACCTTGTCCCGCTACGTGCACGGCTGGGGAGGCTCTTGCTCATGAGACAGCAGCACAGCACGTGGCCGGTTTGTAGCTCCGGGAGATTCTGAACTCCTGGGAGGGGCAGAACGCGGCAGAGGACCGCGGGGGGTGGGGGGGCGGGGCAGGACTCATCCTGGCAAGGTCTAAGGCGGAACGCATTTCCTCCCTCTCTGGCTAGTAAGGGGAAGGGCGGAAGTGGCGGAACGCTGAGGCTCTGCTTCCGGCGCAGGAGTTGCGTCGCCGCTTTCTGACTATGGCGGCGCTCAGCCGGCAGGTGAGGCTGTGCAGGGAGCCGGGCTTTTCGCAGGCCGCGGGCGGGGTCGGCTGTTTCACGACAGCCCGTGGCATCTTGCAGCCTGAGCCTTTCAGGGAAGCCGGTGCCCGCCGACCGGGGGCCGCTCCGGCTCCGTGGAGGCAGCAGTGGGCCGATGGCTGGGAGAGAAGGGAAGCCGGGAGAGGCGACTTATTGCCGGGTCCTCGGTGCCCGGTGACGTGCTGCGTTTGCTCTGCGCCCACAGAACCGCTGAAGGTTTCTGAAGCAAACGAGCTACTCGGTCCGCGAGTTGGCTGACAGGTTACGTAATACACAAAAGGGTTGCTTTGCGGAATGTATGTTGTTGCTACGTGAATCTTGGAGACTAGTTAGTATGAGATTCAGATTTCAGGAGTGGGTACTCTAGCTCCGCCCTCCAGAGTTGGCACGAAAATTGTTTCAAACTAAAGACTTCTGAGATTCAGCAGATGCAGGGAGAAGCTTCGTCGGATTTTCTCAGCACAAAGCAGAAACATCTGGGACTGAGGCCGCCATAGGTTCCATATACATATTAAGAAACTTGGATGCTTTTTTCTTCCTGTTAATCTGACTATTGTGAGTTAAATTTGTAAGCCCCCAGGCATTGAACCTTAGCAGATAAGAGGAAAAACCCTCCTCTAAACTTGACCAGGTGGCCTTTAACTAGTTCTCTCTTGTCCTCCCTGCCGCTGTCCTCTCAGTTGTGGCAGCAGAAGCTAATAGAGACTGTTTGACTCTGTTCTCTATGTGTGAACCTCTTCTAGGTTTTTAAAGTGCAGATATGATTTTGCAGATTTCTTACAAAATCTGTTATGTTTGTGTGGGACTCTGCTCACCAACCCTGTGGGTCCCCATTACACGGAGTGGTGAGGAAGTGACTCCCTTTTGTATTACATTTTACAGGTCTTGGATTGGCACCGCCTGATCCCCCTCTCCTGGGCTGGCATCGCTAGGCACACGCCTCACTTTGGAGAACAGAAAAAGGCAACGGCTTCCTTGCTGCGTAAACTGACCACAGCCTCCAGTGAAGGGGCCTTTGAGGGTTCGCCCCATGTCCAACCCAGGAAGTGTGTGCAGGAACCAGAGTGCAGGACAAGCCTTACTCAGTGCCTTGAGAAGCAGAGGGCACCTGTGGATGCAGGGTCCTTGGAGCGAGAGGAGGTCATCAGTTCCCTCCTGGACATGGGTTTCACTGATGTCCATGTCCAAGAATTGCTCAGTATACAACCAAGTCCCCACCCTCAACAGTTGCTGGGCATCACCTCAAAGCTAATACTCTTGGGTGTGAATCCAGAGCCTGTGTGCGTGATCTTGAAGAAAAGCCCTCAGTTATTGAAACTGCCTGTAATGCAGATGGAGAAGCGCTCCAGTTACCTTCGAAAACTTGGGATTGGAGAAGGTACAAAGTGTGGGCTCTATATATAGTGCTGACTCATTCTGAGTTGGAATACAAATAGCCTAGGTGAGATGGCTTTAGGGAGTTTTCTGGGGGAAAGTTCTTGAAAGGAATGTGTGATTTGGTTTGGAGGTGAGGCAGTAGGCATTGCAGGAAGGAAGGGGGGATTGAATGACAGGCAGAGACTCTTGTCTGGATTGTTCACCTTGGGGACTCGGCATCTAGAACAGTGGTGGGCACATGATGCATGCTCAGCAGATAGCTGCTAATCGATGATGCTGTATAAGTGGGCATTTGTAACCTTTGATGTTTAAATAACTGGATGTGGACTTAATGCTTTGTATTTGTATGATGTAAAGCCAGAGTCTTAACAGTCCCCTGTAAAGAGTGGGTTCCAGCTGGGTGTCTTGACATACTGTGGAACATGAGATCTTTCCAGGTTCTTGGGAAGCTGGTGGAGTGGCTGTCTCCTCCAGACACTACCCTCACCCCCATCAGGTTTTATGCCTCCAGAATCCTAGAAGTTCGTTGGACCTTTTTATGGGCCTCTGGAGAAGGCCCATAAAAAGGCTGGGGGCCCATGAGGGTCTCCAATTTGACAACAGGAATTCCACTATTTTATATTTTAATTTAATTATTTATTTTTTTACTTTATTTTATTTTTTATTTTATTTTTCATTCTTGACTCTTACTGGTAAGATCTTGTTGGGGGAGAAAAGGTTTGTGGATTCAATATTTCAAAGGGTCTCAATAGGCCTCTTCTAGAAGATGAACAAAAGACAGCCTTTGCATTTCTCTTAACTAATAACTGTTTTAGTGTAATCCGATAGGCTAAACTTAATGCCTTATGTGCTGTTACATAAATTGGCAAGCTCAGCACAGCTTTAAGCTGCAAAGATAAAGTCTAAACTTCTGAAAGTCATTCGTGACCATTTTATCAAGGCAGTGATGAAGTCAACTGTTAGGAAGATTTTAATTAACAGTTTACATAAGTGATTTTAAGTTCCTGGTGCTAATTTTCTCCAACTGTCCATAGGACACTATATGCCCCAATTCTAGGGCAGTCTCGATTTATACATTTATCCTAATACAGTTACTAAGGCCTCTTTCACCTAAAGTGCCTCAGTTTGGATAAAATATATGGTCTCACTAACTCAGAATCAATAGTTGTGTTTGTGCATTGTTACCTCATTAAATATTGTCTTGGATCATCTTTCCGTGACTTTTACTATGGAAGAAACCCCCTTCTCAAAGCCCCCACTTAGGGGACACTACTGTCCCATCTTACTGTCTGACTTTTCCAGTCAGTCTTTGGGAAATTCTTTTCTAAGTGAGGAGGGCAGAAGGAGACCTAGAATATGAAGTAGGCACCTTTCAGCTGAAAAGCCAGAAGGCGGCAGGAATGCCAGGAAGGGAGGAAGGGTTGTCTAATCAGGAATGAGGGTATCAGCGGGGTGATGGGCTGTTCTGGTTCCCCACTTCGGTGGCGCTGTTGGGAAGATCTTGGAGGCTAGCACCTGTTTGGGAGGTGTCCGTGTTCATTTTGAAATGCTGGCTTGACTTGGGCGCAGCTAGTCCCCTTTTCTGCAATATCCTTTTTGTGTTCTGCAGGGAAACTAAAGAGGGTGCTTTACTGTTGCCCCGAAGTTCTCACCATGCATCAGCGGGACATTGACCGCATCGTCAAGGTGCTCAGGGAGAAGTGCCTTTTCACGGTTCACCAAGTGACTGAGATTTTGCACAGATGTCCCTATGTTCTTCGGGAGGACCCGGATGAGCTGGAATACAAATTCCAGGTGAGAGTGACAGAGAGACTGGAGGACCGACAGCGGACTCTGGAATGTAGCAGGGTCAGCTCTGTGGGTAAGAAGCATGGGATACCCTCTGGCCAGAGAACCTGGTTTTGGTTCTTTCACGCCCATACAGGTGAGATGGATTCCGCAGCTTTCCTGCATTAAAGGTAAATAACCCTTTCAGAGTCCAAGTGGGGCCTATGTTTGAAATAGCTAATTTAAAAATAGCTAAAACCTTCCTATCTTTAGAGCCTGTTTTGCATGATTATGACAGCTGTCTTAAATTTTTGATAAACAGTTATGATGACTTAGTTCAAATCTCTAGGTGTTTTCCGATTCATTTCTTCCGCCATCTGAAGAAAAATAAAACTCCTGCCCTTTATTTCCTGCAACAAGAATTTGAAAATGCTTTGAAACTTGTCAGTCATCATGCAGATGTGGGTGTCAGAGGGTGCCCTGTCTTGTTGGTTAGGTGCGCTTGCTGAATGGTTTTGCCCAGTTGAATTTGCTGTGTCTGAGGACCCGCCCTGAGACCCTAACCTGCCTGTGTCTTCAGTATGCCTACTTTAGGATGGGGGTGAAGCACTCGGATGTGGTGAGGACTGACTTCCTGCAGTACCCCATCACCAAGATCAGGCAGAGACACACGTTCCTGGAGCGCCTAGGACGGTACCAGACCCCGGATAAGAAGGGGCAGACGCAGATCCCCAACCCTCTTGTCAAGGACATTCTCAGAGTTTCAGAAGCTGAATTTCTGTCCAGGACAGCCTGTTCTTCTGCTGAGGAGTTTGAAGTTTTTAAGAAGCTCCTGGCTCGGGAGGAGGAAGAGGAGTCTGAGAGCCACATGTCTGGTGAGGAGGAAGAGGAGGAGGAGGACCAGGACCAGGAGGAGGAGGAGCTGTGATAGAAGGCCCAGAGACATTAAAGGACGTTTTTGTTCTCCCAGAGCTTTTGGAGCTTCACTTGGACCTTCTCAGGCCATTTTTTATTCTAAAACTAGTGTTTCGATGAAAAATTATCATAGATCACTTGAGAAGTAGGTCAGACTGAGTTGGAGGTTGATTAGTTTAATTTGTTGTCAGGTCTCTGGGGAGAGCCCTGCTCCATCGAAAATAAAGACTGACTCTCAGCTGTTGGAATTGGGAACTCAGTGCATTGACATCTGGTTTTATTTTCTCTGTCATAGCTGTGGGTGATGTTCCATGACAGAGTGGGGGACAAGGATCCTTTCTGGTTCTTGTCATTTTACATTTCCTTCTAGTGATAAAAATACAATTATGAGAATGATGGGAGGCTTTAGTACATCATAGCACTTTATTTTATGAAAACAAATACCAGGTTTTCCACAAAAGTACTCATGTTTTTAATCTAAAAATATTTCATAGTTGCATTCAGTGTACAGCAGAGTAGAGGGAAGTGGGTCAGTTTGGCTTCATTTTGCATAGGTTCTTCCTGCCAGCACAGTGCTGGGCACTTCTCTCTCTTGTGAGGAGCAGGCCCTGGCTCTGACCTCAGGGAATTCGGCTTTCGTGTCTGCTCATGGCCAGTGGGTCATGTCAGGGCCTGATGTCTCTAGCAGCCAGCAGTGCTGACCTGGGGCATGCCGGAACAGAAGGAGCCATGGAGCAGATATAGCCAGGCACCTCCCATCCTCTTACGGGGGCTTTGGAGGCCAGAGGAGAAGAGCACGTGAACACAGCGAGGGGCCAAGGATCTGTGACACCTAGCAGGAGGAAGGCCCTTAGGGAAACCCAGTAGGTCTAAGCAGTGATTTGAAGCATTGGATCAGAGACCCAGACCTGAGGGCATGAGCTCTATGATGGGGGAGGGTGGGTACATCTTAGGATGTCCTGGGAACCCCTTCTTTGGGCTGATTCTGCAGGGAACAATTTTGGTGATGTGACCAGAGTTTAGGCTGGCAGCACTTAGAACCATTAGGCTCCCAGCTCTTTCCTGCAGACCCTGTGAAAATCCTTTGTCGGGCCCTATTCTCACGAGGGGCCATCCTGACCCAGGGAACATCTGGGGACATTTTTGGTTGTTAGGACCAGGAAAAGGAGCAGTTGGGACCCAATGGGTTGAGGCCAGGGCTGCTGTCAAATGCCCTGCCATGCACAGGACAGTCCACACACAATGACCAGCCCTAATGTTGCTGGCTGAGGTGAAGAAACAGCTCTCTGGGTCCCCAAAACATGACTGTATCGGCTCATGAGAACCTCAGGTTTTAAATGGGCTTACATTTGTTGTACTTCTATTTAGAAAGAAAGTAAATAGTCAGTTTTGAAAGAGAGTTCCTTGCCCTGTGCACTGGATTGCAGTTGGCTGACTTGAGCTTTATTTTCAAGGGGAATTCATTGCTGAGCCAAAACAGTCGTGCTTTCGTTTTCTCTTGGTGCCCAGGGGATTGCAGAGAGAGGCACTGCGTGCAAAACAAGTAGCTCAGGGAACCTCGGACATGTGAGCCAGACATCTGTGACCCAGTGGGAGGCGGTCCAGCTAAAGGAAGGTGCTGGAGCTCGGTGACATGAAGTGGCCCTTGCCTGCTGGACTCCCTGTGGCGAGTAGCTCCATTTTCTCTGTGACAGCCATGTGCAGTAGGGAAAGGGGACATTTTGTCTTTACTGCCTTTCTTGGCCAGGGACAAAATTTTTGAACAAGAAAATAATTCACCCCATGCCAGTGTTTTCACTTATTCTCCATTTTGTTGTGTCCAAGTGATCAGCATGTTCCCTAGAGCATACAGTGTGGTTTTTGTGCCCAGTTAGGAGACACAGTGGAACCCTAAATCCCAAATCTATGCCTGATTGGATGGTCAGGTCACCCAGCCTGGTCAGCAGGTGGCTAACTGCAACTCAAGCTTGTTCCCCTGTGATTTTGATACAGAAGTAAATGTTGATGGCCTAACAATTTTCTGATCCATTACTAATTTCCTTGGGTGAACATTGAGTATTTTCAAGGAAGAAGAGTTTTACGAAGGAGCCATGTGGAAGCTCGTTTAGAATGTTTCAAGGATGATTTGTAATTTCCTTTCGTGTCAGGAAGTCTTTATACTAGATATTTAATTTGTACAACATCAAAATGGGCTAATTGTAAGACCACACAGCACTAAGCCCAGGATTCAGTAGACTTATAAAACAAATGCTTCTGAGCTAAAATTGAGCACATCTGCCTCATGGCTGAGGGGCTTGAGGTCATTAACATGGTCATAGAAAGTTTCATCTGCTTTTCCAGTGATGTCACTTGATCTTGTCATTTGCTGGTGATGCTGTAGCTTATGTGGACGCACAGTGACAGGTCGCAGTGCTGCAGCAGGAGTCAGCGGCATGTGTTCATGGTCATGGTTTTCTCCTCTCACCCAGGGTTGGAGCTCCTTGATGGAGCTGGTGCCTTCAGATGGCCCTGAGACTGGGAGCACAGTAGAGATTTCTTGAAATGACTAATTCTCCTTTCTGTAAATGATAAGTATACTACACAGACATATGTACACACAACTTTAATAAAAAAAAATTCCTCTAAAATATATTCTAACTCTTTAAAAAATGTTTTGTAAAGATGAGAGGAAGGAGCTCTTCCTATGGCTGCAAAACTGACTTGGGCAGTGTCAGTGATGACGCACCGGGGCTCTGGTTCTAGTTGGGTGGGCTGTTAAAGCGCCCAGCAGGTCGAGGCGGGCTGGCTTCTGTAGTGGCCTTACTTGCAGGGAAGAAAGCTGTTCAGAAGGTTCTGGAATGTGGTGTGACGACGGTGCACATCTGCTGGGAGCTGTTTGGTGTGGAGATGGTGCTTGCTGCCTGGTAGCCTGACACTGTGTTGCCTGAGTCGTGGGTTAAGAGGACCTTAAGTATCGTGTGGCCTCGCCCGCCCCAGATGCCTGTCTTCATTACTCAGACCCGTAAGGAGGTGCCCTGGCTACCGCCCAGTGCCTTCCCAAACAGGGTTTGTGTAGCACTTCTATGACACTCGGGTGGGTCTTTGGTGCCAAGCTGTGACTTGTCCGGGATGGCTTTCTCTGCATCAGCTGAAGCCTTAGTGGGGTTAGCCACATATGGTCAAGGGAAGTGGCCCCTAATTTTGTTAATCAAGTTTTAGTGGAACAGCCTCATGGCGTTAGGCACATGTCAATGGCTGTTTTTGTGCACAAGCACAGGGCTGAGTTGTTGCCACAGAAATCATCTAGTCCACAAAGTCCAAGATATTTCCTGCTGACCCTTTCTGGGAAAAGGGCAGACTAAGTATCTAAACTCCATCTTAGTATGAACATTTTCTCTTTCAAAATCTGCTGGTGGGTTGATGGATCACTAGCCTTCAGTAAATGACCTGCTGGGGAGGTGAGCCTGCTTCCCTGTGCCCCTCATTAGTCTGCCCTCTTGCCTCCCAGCCCCACCCTCTGCTCTGCAGGTTGTCCATGGCAGCTCCTCTCAATTTGGCTGTTGGGTCTCAAAGGGAGAATTCTTTCTGTGATTTGGAATCTGGAACTAGTTTCTGGATGTTGCCAGGCTCATCCAGTGCTCTCTGCATGTGATGACTGCTTGTCAGCGATGCAGGCCACCCTGGAGGAAATTTCCAGCCGTGTGCTGGAGGCAGTGTGGGACTAGGAGGTGTCTGTCCTAGAGGACCTCCCTGGCTGGACCCGCCTGGCCATCTGTCTTCTAGAAGCCGGAGGAGCGAAGCCTCAGAGGGGTCAGACTCCAGCCAGAACCCTGTCACTCAGGGTGTCCTTGTCAATTCAATTTAGACCTCATCTTCCTGGGCTTTAGAAACTTGTGAGGTTGATGGATTATAGCAAGAATGTCCAGAATCCTTTGAAGAAAAAAAAAAAAAAAAAAAAAAGGACATGAAGAGAATGGTACTCTTATCTCTGAGATGGTGACTTCTCATCTCTCTAAGTGCCCCATGTTGTTGTGACATTAGAACTGTGAGGTCCTTGCCCTCTAATGTGGCAGTAAACAGGGTGAGGCAGGTTTGTCAAGGACTGACTATGTCCCCTGGGCAGGGACCTTTCGGCAGCATCACAGGCTGCTCCCCCATTTGGTGATGCCCTTGATCTTTCCTTGAGGCATGCTGCCCCATTGCTCTGGGTTGAAATGAGTTCTTATGTGGTGGCTTTGGATGTGTGACTGTGTCTGTGTATTTCTGTGTCTTGTTGGTTGGTGTTTTCTCCATTGTTTCAAGAATTAGTATTTTAAAAGCCAGTATTTGATAATTAGCGGGGGGTTTTTGATTTGTTTTTAGAGAAATGGGTTTGTTGAGCAGTTTTTAAAAATATATATTATTCTCTCAGGTGACTTATCACAATATAAATATTTGATACCCAAATCATGTTTGTGGGATTTTGATCCCAGTGTGAATTGCTTGCAGGGCTTGGCGTATGTGTTTTGGATGCGCATGTCTTTGGAGCCTGAGGTGGGAGTGATGCCTTTGGGTGACTTCACATCTGACGGGACAGCAGCTGGAGAGAACCATGGCACTCCCCCCCTGCAGATCCCTGCCTGGGCGGTGTGAGCCCACAACTGCAAGGCTCTTTTGCTTCTGGATGTTGGTTAAGGTTTCTGAATAATACTCCTCAGCTATATTATGACCATGGATTGTGTGAAGTAGCGTGTACGCAGAGCACCTCTCTCTCCTACCACATAGGCAATGGACTGTTTGGCTCATTGATGGAGAGCAGAGAGCTGTTCCAGCCACCGAGTGACATTGTGTTGACAAGAACCTGTGGTCAGTGGGAAGCTCGGTATCTTTCAAGTGACTGTGAAGACTTGGGCCGCTTACATGTGGGGAGGTGGAACCCCAATAGGGTTTGGGAAATGTTAGGTGAAACTGAAGTCAGGAAGCGTCTTTCATCTCAAGGATTTTGAGTACTCCTAAGCACTCTCTCAGTGACAGAGTCCTTAGGACTTTCCAAAAGTTGTGACTAAGGCTCCACACCCTGTGTTCCCCCCCCCCCCCCAATAGATGGCCTGGAAATGCCCCTAGCATTCCTGTGTCCTCCACCCTTTCTTGGTTTCCTTGAGACAAAGCCGTTTGTTTTCCCTGCAGAGAGCCTTGTTTCTACCTGAAGACGTATCTGTCACAGGTTTGTCTACTTGGAGGCCTAATGTACTCTTTCTCACCCAGCTCCCTTGGAATTATGAAGCCTGGTCTAGGGTATCTAGAAGAGCCTCCTTGCAGCCCTCCTAGCTGCTGCGAATGTAAGTACGTACCTAATACCTACGCTGTTTTCAGTGTTGCACTGTTACTTCGTTTCCTGAAAGAAATAGAGAAGGTCGTTTATGAAAAGAAACTGTGGGCCTGTGACCTTGTGGTACCCTCCTCCCAACCGCCTGCTGCCACCCCCTTTCCTTTAGCTCACACATCAGTGTGCCCGATGCCAAGGATAGCAGTCTGTATGCCCCTTTACCGCTCAACTGAATGGCTGGGTAATTCAGCATAAAGGGGGAGGGGGGATAAAGGGGGGTAGTGGGGAGCCTGAGCTATTGACGGGGAGACAAGGACAAACTCGCACCAGCCCTTGTGAATTGTCATCCCATTTTTTCTGAACACAGTGATGCAGACCAGTGTGTGTAGTTATTGGGGGCCTGTGAAGACTGTGCCTAGGCTCTTTTGAAAGCATGTGATGTACTCAGTACTTTATATAATAACTATTGTGACTACCTTGAGCCCTTTAGGGAAAGAACCTGGGTGTGAGAGGGTAAAAGTAAACAGACTTACGCTATTTGCAGTTTTGTACTTGGGCCTGTCCTAATGCTCATGCTTCCCAATTTGAGCACCAGATACTGAGTGCACATGCATGACCAGAGTCACCCCTCACACCCCCAGTACCCACCCTGTGACCTACTCTAGCACCCATCCTGTGACCTCCCCACAGCACCCACCTACCTTCTGACCACCCCAGCATCCACCTACCCTAGCACCTCCTGTTTGGGGTGCTCACATGCACATCTAGGCAGATATACAGCCTGGCTCAGCCCCAGACCTGTTGCATCCACAGTACTCAGTCCCCTTGCCTGTGCCCTGCGAGCCACAGCAGGACAAGCAGGGCCTCCTCCTGAGACGCACCTGCTTGGGGTTTTCTTGATGCTTGTGCTCTCACAGCTCTCTTTGAAGCAGATATCCTGGTGTACCTTGTAGACTCGTTTATACCTGTCACAGAAAAGCTCTATCAAGGCAGGAACTGGAGCAGGATGGTGCCCAGCTGGTTCACCTCCGCTACATGGAGACCAGGTAACCGTGCAAGTGTTTGAGGGCAAGGCCATTATTAATAAAACTTGACCTTATAGGGATGTATTGAAATGTCCCACATAAGAGTCATGCAATTTTTAAATGAGATACACCCATTTTAAAGACATTTTGAGGAATATTGAGAGTTATATGATATTAAGAGAGAAAATGTGAAATTTAGAAGACATATCTTGCTTGGGGCAGGCTACTTGGCCTAGTGGTCTTGAGATGCAATGACCCACTTCTCCATTGATGGGCAATTCACCGTAAGAAGCCTTGGAGATGCAGGCATCAGATATGAACAGCGTAAAATAGGAGAGCTGACTTCATGCTCCACCTAGCATGTCTCTGGAACTTAAGCCTCAATTTTGTGTAAAATATTACCTCTCTCACAGGTTTATAGATGATAATGAATGGTAAGGATTTTGGTTCTTTTTAAAACTCTCAAACATCACATCTGTTGAAAGAGAGATCCAGGGAGTTGGATGGGCATAGCTCCAGCTCATGTGCTCAGTCTAGGAGAGCCATTGGGAGTTAAGGCCTTTGGTAAGACTCTGGCCATCAGGGAGTAACAGGATATGGAACTACCTCCCAATGCAAACAACCAGAGAACTGGACAGAATATAAGAAGTAACTCTCCTCCTCCCCCCCTCCCCCCCAGATATTAGAAAACAGAGCAAGACTGTGATCCCTGAGAGAAGGGAAATGAGTGAGATGAGTCCTGTGGTCACCCTGGAACTTATTCTGGAGACACTTTTTGGACTTCATTTCAGGTCAGGGGATCCAAACAGTTATTGTAAGTTGAGGAAACAGATTGGAGTTGGGAAGGGAGAGGCAGTGGGGCTTTGTGGGGTGGAGCACTGGAGAGGAGGGAGCCACACAGTGGAGAAGAGCCAGAGTGGATGGATCTTGCTCAATAAGAGGCCATTCTATAAAAATAGAAACCCTAGAAAGGCCATGCCTTAGAAGGGGGGCAGGATTAATCCTAGAACAAGGTGGGTGCTAAAGCCACCCTTAGCAAGCTTCAAAAGAACCAAACTCAAAGTAACTGCCTTGCAGAAAAAAAAACCCAAAACACCCAACATTCTTGAAAAGAATACAAAAAATATTTAAAAATCCAGTATATGGGAGCAAAGTTTATAACATCCAGCATCCAACAAAAATTATGAGATATTTAAATAATTATACAAAGAATCAAAAAACTCATAAATAGGCAAAAAATAATTGATTAGAAAAACATCTAGAGATGAGAGCAATGACAAAAACAGTAGAAAAGGCCTTAAACATCTATTATAAATTTTGTTCCACATGTTCAGTGGTCTAAAGGAAAAATGTAAGCATAATGAGAGACATAGAGGATCTAAGAAAGAATTAAGTGGAACTTCTGGAAGAAAATAGTAATTTTGCCAACTGGGTTAGTGGTCAATAAGACTACTGCAGGAGGAAAGATCAGTGAATTTGAAGGCATAACAATAGGATCTACCAAATACATAGAGAAAAAGACTCGGGGAAAAAATGAAAGGAGCCTCAGTGACCTATGGGACAACCTCAGTCTAATACATGCATAAATGGAATTTCAGAAAGGAGAGGAGAGAAGTGGAGGAACAGAAAAATATTTTAAAGAAATGATGGCCAAAATTTCCCAAATTTGATGAAAGCTAAAAACCCAGAGATACAAGAAACTTATTAAACTCCAAAGAGTAAACACACAGACACATATACAACCACATGGAAGCACATCATAGGTAAGATTCCTGAAACTAGTAATAAAGAGAAAACAGAAGCAGCCACAGGGGGTCTGGGGACATATTTCATAGTCTTTTTTTTTTTTTTTAAATATATTTTTATTGATTTGGAAGAGAAAGGGAAAGAGAGAGAAACATCAATGATGAGAATCATTGATTGGCCACTTCCTCCTCCTCTCCCTCACTGGGGATGGAGCCCACAACCCAGACATGTGCCCCTGACTGGAACCCTAGAGTTTACAGGCTGAGGCTTTATCCACTCAGCCAAATCAGCTAGGGCTTCATAGTCTTCTTATCTGAAACTAGGCAAGGCATAAGACTAAGAAAGGATCTACCTCTTTAGTGTAGAAAGAAAAAAAGTATTAACCAAGAATTTTGTATTTAGCAACTTTATCCTTAAAAAATGAAGGTGGCCAAAACCGGTTTGGCTCAGTGGTAGAGCGTCTGTCTGCGGACTGAAAGGTCCCAGGTTCGATTCCGGTCAAGGGCATGTACCTGGGTTGCAGGCACAGCCCCAGTAGGGGGTGTGCAAGAGGCAGATGGTCGATGTTTCCCTCTCATCGACATTTCTAGCTCTCTATCTCAATCCCTTCCTATCTGTAAAAAATCAATAAAATATGTTTTAAAAAATGAAGGTGAAATAAAAATATTTTTAGAAGGAGCAGAGAGAATTCATTGCTAGCAGACCTACACATTGTAAGGGTGAGTGCCGGAGATGGTGGACATGTGGAGATGGCGGATATACAGGTAAATACGAGAGATTTTGCTCTCAACATCTTAAAATGTATTGTTGAGAGGAAAAACAACATTTTGCAGTTTGGAGCATGGTGGAAGTAAAAGTCTAACATTGGTAGTCAGAACTGAGAGGGAAGTAGAGGCAACCCTTTCCTTAAATAAAGGGATACTGTGATGAGCATATTTATTGCTACTCTCTAGAGTCACTAAAAAATTAAACAAAAAAAGTATAACCAATGAGCCAATAGGAGAGGTAAAATAGAATCTTAAGAAATAATCCAGAAGTAGGCAGGAAAAGAGAAAAAGGTAACAAGATTAGATGGGACATAGAAAACTAGTAGCAATGTGGTAGATTTAAACCGACCACATAAGTCATTATGTTAAAATGTGGTCTGGTCCCTGCAGTGAAAACCAAGACTGTGAGCCTGGGCGTAAAGCAGACCCAACCCTGAGGAAGGGGTGGGGTTGGAGAGATTCTGGCAGGAGCGGAGTTTTCATGGGAGCTGGTGGCTGCTATGGCTCTGGATGGCCATTCCCCAGAACCCCAAGTTGAGGGCCTTTCAATGAAGATCCCAAGTCCCAGTGCAGCTCAGAACTTGCTTTGTCTAACACACTATGCTGTCTGTGGATGGCTGTTTCCCTCTGGAGGGAAGGAGCCGCGGGCAGGGCTAGGGCTTGTTCTGTTCACTGCGTGTGCCAAGGGTTAGAGCTGTGCCTGGCTCTCAGAAGTGCTAGTATGTATTGGGTGACTAACCAGATTGTGAGTGGGACCCAGAGTCACAGAGTGTGATCAAGAAAGGTCATCAGAGGCGAGCAAGGCAAACTCCTCCAGAGCCCATTTCACAGATGGGAAAACTGGGCCACATCACCACCTAGTGGCAGAACCAACTCCAGTTCTCAGACTGCTGTTTAGTTTTCCTGGGGTCCATGGCAGAGAGGACTCTGTTGTCCAGAGCCTGAGGACCAGGGTTCCAGAACTCCTGTCCCTCTGCTCCCTGCTGCATGGACTCAGATAAGGTGTTCAGCCTTTCTGACTCAGTTTCCTAACATGTTACATGGCAGGAACAGGTGGTCAAAGCAAGCCTCTTTGGGGTGAGCTGGACTTTGTGGAAACACTTCGGAGGTCAGGGACAGTGGGAAGAAACTTACACGTGGTGACAGACACCTCCTTCCCAGACTGGCAGGGACTTTGTCTCCGAGAACAGGCGTGTGCAGGGCTGGGGCTGCTTTTTACAGGCTGCAGAGCACAAAAGAGGCTGAGGCTCACCGGGGGCTCGGGCCCTGGCTGCCTTCTCCCGCACCCTGGGAGGCCCACACCCGGGCTGGTTTCCTCAGGGCTCTCTCCAAAAGTCTTCTGAGGGAGGCCAGTGGCCCTTTTCCCTCCCACCACCTTTGGCCCCTGAGCCAAAAATAGTCCCTTCACCCACCTCTCATTGTAGGGTGGCTGTCGCTCTGTGTTCCTTACTTTCTGGCTGTCCCCAGATCCCCCACTTATCCAGGTGGCACCTTTTGGCCTGACACTCTGGGGCTGTGAGCCGCCCAGTGATTCACTGCCCACCACCTCTGTGCCTGGACACGTCATGGCAAACCCACCCTGGCCCAGCAGCCTCAGCCCAGCTGCTGTAACAGACATCTGGAGACCAGGCCTGAACGGGCCCTGACTTACCGAGCTCACAGCGCCTGCCCTTGAACCCTGGGCTGCAGTCACAGCTGTGGGCATCCACGCCTGGCACGCAGGTGCCTCCGTTCTGACAGGGGTTTTCTGTGCAGTTTCCAGGGGTGTCTGCAAACAGATCATGAATGGTTACTCTCTAGGACCCTAGAGGAAGGCCTGCTGGCATTGCCACATTGCTGCCTCTGGTTGTATCTAACACGGCTGTGCCCTAGGGGTGGTCCCGTTTCAGCTGGTCAGAGAGATGCTTGGCTCTGACCCCCTTACCTGAGGGCCAGGGTCCAAACACTGGTTCTGCTGGGACTCTCAGTGCTGAGCCCTCCGTGGCTGAGGAGCCTCAAGCCACTGCTTAGATTATATTCAGGCACTGGTGGTCTCAGGAGAGACTCCAGCTTTGCCCTAGCCTGTGCTTCCACCCCCTTCTTCTGGCTGGAGGACTGTGCTGGGGACAGTTTAGGCTGGACTGTGTAGCCCAGTGTTAGCAGGGGCCTTGCTGGTCTGTTCACAGAGCCTGGATCTGCCAGGTGGTGCTCCAGCTGGACCATGCTCAATGCTGCCCCTCTATGGATTCCTGCCCTTCTGCTCAACATGTTCCTCTGAGGGAGGCAGTGGGGGTAAGGTATGTGGTAAGGGTTGGGGCACGGGTACATCCAGACAGATCTGGGTAGTTGGTCAATAAAAGGACGGGGTGCTGAGTGCCTCCTTCCCAGGGTGGGTGCTCAGCCCGGGAAGTCCATTCCTGCTGACTTACTTCCCACATCCTTGTCGCCATCATGTTTGGGGTGCTGCAGGGCCAGGCTGACCTGCTGAGGAGTGTCCTCGAGTTGCACCAGAGCTGTGGGTTCTAGAAGAAACCAGGATGAGCAGTGCTGACCACATGGCCTGCTGCCTCTCACCCAGGACTGTCCCTGGGCTGCCTTCCTGAGCTGCTTCCCTCCCTCAGGGTGTAGGGCCATCCTGTGTGGCAGGAGTAGGATGCTCGCTCACCTGCTGGCTCCCTGACTTGGGCACAGAATCCATGGTCTCTGGCACTGTCTCCAGTAAGACCTACTTTTCTCCAAGTGGGGCCAGCCCTCACCTCCTGCCAACCTCCACAGGGACCTGGCTTCCACTGCTGCCCCGGCCAAAGCTTCTCTGTGAAGGTTACCAGTGCCCGAGACAGGGCTGAACCTCCTGCTGACCTCCTGGCCTCAGCTTCTAAGTCTCCTTCAAACTCCATCTCCTCTCCATTCTCAGGGGTGATGACATCTCCTCCCCCTTCATATCTGTGCTCAGGTAACCGCACACTTGGTCACCCCTAACTGCAGGTCAGCTTCTCTGCAGGTCCCTGCCTGTACCCTCCCCACTCCTGGTCACCAAGGGCTATGGATGCTCTGCCCTCCCTCATCACTCCCTGGCGCACCTGTCCCCTGACTAGGAACACTGTCATTGGTAGAAACTTCTCATTGGACTGGTGATTAGGCTCTCTGCCAGAGAACTCTGTGAAGGTGGGATTCTGGCTTAGTAGTGAGGGTGAGGGTGAGGCCTGAGGATCCCCACCCAGAGTCAGATCATCTGTGGGCCTGCCATGTCAGGATTTCGGGGGGGGGCCTGCTTTGCCAGGAGGGAAGGGCCAGGGCTTCTCAATCTATTGCTCATGTTCTATGCTTCTGGGCCAGGCAGAGGCCCCACTAGTCTGGGCCAGCAGGACATAAATCCAAAGGCTCTGCTTTTAACACGGAATATGACCTCAGTGTGATGAGGATGTGAGCTCCTGGGGCCACACTGTGCGTGCCAGTCACCTGGCTCCTTGTTAGCAGGCGGATTCCTCTGCCCGGGTCCGAGCAGGACCCTGCACATTTAGGCTGGTGCTGCTGGTCCAGGGGCCTCTGTGAGTAGCAACAGCTCAGATGGAGCCATACTCTCCTGTCTACTTACCAATGATGATTGGAGTCCTGGCTTCACAAGCAAAGCTTCCATGTCTTGGACCTGCTTCTATTATGTTTATTTTTCATCCTCTCTCATGTGCCCTGCCAGCAACCTTTACCCTCAACCCACATGGCTGTATCAGGAAGGCTCCTCTGACTCTGGATGGCATGAGCAATTCATGCTGACCCCAAAGGCCGGGGCCGTGGGCACTGTCCAGCTGTGTGGGCATTGGGAGTCATCTTTGAGTTCAGGTTTAGGGGCCTCATCCCTCCTGTGCTGGGGTTGGGTGAGTAAGGTACTCACGTGATCTCACCGTGACCGACTTGCCAGGTGAGCCACTGAACTTGGCACTCACTCGTCCTCTGCCGTCTACGAGCTCCGAGAACCTGCTGGGAGAGTCACTAGTGTCGCCATGTGGAGCACCATGCCTAGGGCCATGCCAGGTTATCCAGAGGGGGCAGATGGCAGAGACGTGTACCTGGGGTCCTGTGTTGGCATTTCGAGGGCCCCGCGGTCATTGAGTAGACGCAGCTCCGGCAGGCGCGCTGGGACTGGTCTGTTTCTGAGCACCCGTGGGGGGAGTCCTTCTCGGTGCCAGCGTCTGTTGGCGCCATCCCTTGGGGCTGCAGGTAGAGAGTGAGGGGGCGGGGGCACATAAAGCAGGTCTGGGGCTTCCCTTTGTCTCTTCTCGCCCCACTGCTCAGAGAGAACTAAAAGGACCTGACTGTCCCTGCAGTCCAATGGCACCTTTATGGCTTTGTGAGAAGTCTAGACCCCACATCCCACCTGAGGAGGAGCCACAGCATTCCTACTGGGAAGCAGACACTGCCTGGCAGTGCTGAGGGGGGTTGGTCCTAGCCCCCCATCCTGGGCCCAGGTTCCCCACCTGTAGGGCAGGGCCAGGCACTCGACCTGGAGGGACTTCCCTTGGCTGAGGCTACCACCTCACACTTGCCCTGAGAATGACAGGGTGGTTTCTCTGTGGGTCCTTGTCATCTAGCTATATGCTTCAGCCCCTTGTAAGTCCCTCCTCCCTGGATTGGCTCATGGAGGAGGCCCCAACATGCCCTGGAGCTGAGCTGAGCTTGGTCAGACTCCGAGCAGCCTGCCGTGCTCAGACACATCATTGTCCACAGTACCTCTCGTGAGCTTTAAAGTATGAGCATGGCTATGCAGAACCTCGGGGGGACTCGAAGGGCCTCCAAGCACTTGGGGGCAGGCCCACATCCTTAGTGTGGCCCATTGGAGTTGCCGTGCTCCTGAGCTGTTTCCCTTTCTGTCCATCCGTTCCAGCTCTCCTTCCTGCCTCTCCCCACAACCCTTTCTATGGCTGTCCTGGCCGCTCTTTCCCCTGCTCCTGACCAGTGGCTCCTCTTGGGTCAGCCTGGCCCCCTCCCTGAACCCTTCCACACTGCCCACCTCACTGAGGTCCTACCACTGCCTTCTCTCAGCACCTATTTCTGGTGATTCCCTATATTTACTGTTCAGCCTTCCTGGGTCCACAGAGTTGGACCACACAAGGTGAGGAGCGAAATGCTGCTTTTCCAAATTGCATTCTGCTGACCTAGTATCAACTGTCCACAAACCCTTTCTTCCCCATTGCTTTTCACACAAATTCACCCGTGTTGACACAGTCCTATTTCTAGGCTGTCTGATGTCCTTTGGACAGGGTGGCCATGCTGGGAGAGGGTCTTGGGGTACAGGTGGCCCACCCGGCCCTGTGCCCGCTGCCCTGCACTCACAGGTGATGATGTAGAGGTGAGCAGGCTCGCTGTGCAGCTGGTCACCCTCTGTGCTCTGCACGGCTGTCACTGAGAGCTGGTACCGCCGCCCGGGCACCAGGTCCCGTATCGTGTAGGACACCAGCCTCCCATTGGGGACGTAGCGGCTCTTGGTGCTCTGGCTGGTGGTCACATTGATGATGTATGCTTCCAATGAGGTGCCTGGAGTGGGTGCATCCCAGACCACATGGGCAGAGGTGGCCGTGACTCGGGTGGCAGTCAGGTTTGCTGGCGGCAGAGGCCCTGGAAGAGGCATAGAGCAGGGGAGGGAGGTGAAAGGAGGCTGATGAGGTCTTGTGCCCAGGACACAGTTTAAAGATCTGACATGGACTGCAGAAACCACATTTGAAGCCAGATTTAGTTACTGTGGTCTTGAAGGATGGGAGTGGTGGTCTGTAGCACCCTCCTCCTGTCCTGAGATCCTCCCCCACAATGTGGCCCTCCAGCACCCAGCAAGTGTCCCCTCCTGCTCAGTGTCCCCTCCCATGTAGCACTTCTGACTGCCCTGAGCCTGGCCACACCCCTCCCCCTGGGACATAGAAAAGGGGAGTGGGTCCCCGCCTTCAGGGTCAGAGCGAGGATTTAAGCCTGTACTGACTCCTTGCCCAACCTGGTCAGGCCCTGCTCACACCTTCCCTCTCACCAAGCCACCTGTTCCCCTACCCCCACCCTCCACATTGTTCACAGGTTCATCATTGACAGCACAGTGCTCAGTGTCCACTCCCCATGAGACACCATGGAGCTCAGCGAGTGGGCTCCCTCGCCCGCAGTTCCTCTGGCCTTGTGCTCACGAGCAGCTGGGTGTGGGGGTCAGCCCAGCAGGAGGGGGTGACACTGCCGGGCACACTGCCGTATCCCGTACACTCAGGCCAGGGCTGGGGTCCTAGCGTCTCAGCCACTATGGCGAGTACTGGTGGGCTGGAAGGAGCCGAGGGCTTCCGAAGGCTCTGCTCGCCACGAGCGTCCACACTGTGTACTCACGGGTCCACACGTGCAATGGAGCGGAGGCCACGCTCTCAGTAGGGCGCTCCAGTGCCCCGAGCCCACTGAGGGCGGTCACTTGGACGGTGTACCTCCTTCCAGGAAGTAGGGTACTGTGGGGAGAGAGGACAGGATGGTATTGAGCTATGTGTCCGGCTCTGTGGCCAGACTGCATGTGGCTCTTCCAGAGCAGGGGGTTAGGCTGTGGACGGTCTCTAGTTGGTGGCCCAGGTGGCCTCCAGGAGGGCAGATTTGTGGTCTGAGACCTGGGTGCTCCTTGGTGGGAAGCTTCTCCCTGTCTGTCCAGTCCAGAGTCCAAGAAGGCACAGGCCTGTGTAGAGCGCTCGGCAAGGCCAGGAGGCTGGTGTTCAGACAAGTAAGGGGCCCGTGGCTGGAATTCCCAGGTGGGTCCCCAGTCCCTCACGAACACGAGGCCTCGCTGAGCCTAATGTTTGTGCAAAGTGTGGTTCACACAGAGCTGTCACCTCCTCCTGGGAGCCTGGACTCTTCCCCAGGACCAGCAGGGGGCGCCTGTGACCAGCCCCAATAACCCTGGGCACTGTGTATCTGACTGTCCTCACATGTGTTGTCACAACTGGTGGTGGGGAATGAAGCGTGTCCTGTGTGGCTCGATGGGGAGGGGGCTCTGGGACCTCATGCCTGGACCCCAACCTCTCCCCATGGGCCTCTTCCCATTTGTGTGCTCATCGCGTTTCTCTGTCACAGATTCAGCTGTACATGCTGCCTCGGTTGAGTAATGAAAATCCTCCCGGCAAGACTGGGAGGGGTCTTGGGGATCCCAACAGACACCAAGTGTCCCTGGGGACACAGGTGTTGTTTCTGTCGTATCCTTCTTTGGAAGTGGGGCAGGACATCAATCAAGAAAAGTGACAGCAACACTTAACGCAGAGTCTTGTCTCCAGCACAGATGACCATCTGGCGGGAGACCAACATGACTGGAAAAAGATGGGTCTTGATGAGGCTGCAGACTGATCTTAAACAATTCGGATAGGTTAGAGGATGCCCAGGAACAGAGCCCCTTGACCCCTAACTGCTCTGGGCTGCACGCTGCTGAGCTGTTCCCATGAGCAGCCTGACATCTGTTGGCAAGCACAGTGACTGGATGGGAATTTCCTCCGCCGGAGCTGTGTTTACTCGGCAGGCCCCCGAATCCAGGGCCGAGGCCACCCCTCCCCAGGATGCTACCAGCCAGTCCCCCTTCCTCACTCTCTCATCGGTTAGCACTGTCTGCCTGCCCAACCTGACCCCGGTTGGCCTGGAGTCTGAGACCCTGTATGGGTCGTTAAAGTGGTGATTTCGATAGCTATTTTGAATGAGTTGTGTTTGTCATTAATTTGTAATAATTGGGCATAAGAAGTTTATATGCCTCGTTTAAGGTTTGACCGTATCATTTGCCTGTTTTTTCCTCCTCTCAGAGAGGTCTAGTGACTCAGGCTGGAGGAGCTCTGCGTGACCGGCTGGTCTCCAGGTAGCGAGTCTGTCTCACTCCCTTGCAGGAGATACAGCCTCCAGGCTTTTAGGGTGTCTCTGCTCTTTTGGGACACTTAACCCCTTGTCTGGCATCCCTATAAGGAAGTACTGCAGGAGTGAGCCCAGGCTGAATGTCGCTGGGCCCTGTGTGGACCACCAGGTGCCAGGTGGACACAGGAGGCACACACCCCCCCCTCAGGTGGGCAAGGCCAGTGCCAACCATAGGGGAGCTGGGAGGAGGAGAGGAGGCCGGCCTGAGCTCTTACCTGAACGTGAACGTGTCCACACTTTTGTCCACATCGGTGGACTGGTCCTCTCGGGCCTCAGGATGGCGGATGGACACACGGACACTGCTGACAGTGGCATGTCGTATCCTATGTAGAGCCCACCGCACGGAGATGGCGCTGGCCGTCACATTGGTGACCTCAAGGCCTTCGACAGGGCGGGGGCCTGGGAGACAAAGGGTTGCTCAGCTTTGTCAGCACCTCCTTACCCCTGGGAAAGCGGGAGCTCAAAACAACAGAAGAGGCTCCAGAAGGTGCTGAGGCGGGGGAGGGAGGGATGTTACAGAAAGGCGCCCAGTAAGGCAGCAGCCAGCCTGGGCTTGCTAAGTGCATCCCTCAGCCACAGTGGGAACTCCGTCAGGTGGACCTGCCCCAGGCTCCGGCCCTGGCAGGGCTGCGGAGGGCCAGCCAGCTCCACCAGAGGCCAGCGAGTGGGTGCAGGGCCCTTCCTGACAACCCTTTGTCTTTCCTCTGGCTGACGTTTTGGTCGCACTGATGTGATCATTGGGGTGGTGCTGGGGCCTGTCGGTGATAGAAGCCAGGAGAGTCCTCTGACCCAGAGAAGGGGCCAGGTACGGGCCACACCCTAGACCAGGGGAGCGGAGGGGTGCTGGAGCAGCAGTCCAGTGGGCAGTGATCCTCCCACCCACCCTGGTGTCCTGGTGGAGAACCCATTCTGACAAGAAGGGGAGGCCACCTTTCTCCCAGATGCCTTTTCTGGGCGGACCCCTTCTCGAGCAGCCTTGGAAGTGCTTCCTCCTAAAGCCAAACTCAGGACGACCCCTATTCTCCCCAGGACTCCCATGCTGCCACCCGTTCAGGGCCCTGCTGTCCTTTCCCACCACACGCCTATCCTGACTCCTGTCTGTCCCTCAGTGCCCGGTGAGGGCTGGCACATTGCCCCAGGATGCCTTTCCTCTCCCTTCCCTGGGACCTTGCCTCCCAACACCTGGTGTGCTGGGAGCTCTGTACTGCCCAGGGCTGCATCCCCCCACCCCCCCGGTCCACCTCCTTCCCCCAGCACTCCTTCCCCTAGTTATACCCCCCTCCCCAGTGCTCTCCACCATCCCTAATAGCCCCCCCCCCCCGCCACTGCCCTTCCCCCATGACAACCCCTCCTCCCCACATCCCTCCACCAGCCTGGCTCCCTAACCCTGCCAGTCTCTGCCAGCCTGTCTCTGGCCTGTGCCTGGGGTGGGCCACGCTGGGGCGACTCACGCGTGCGGGTAAGCAGCACCAGGGGCCTGCTGATGTCATTCCTATTGTTAGCGTGGCGCTTGACGGAGAAGATGGAGATGTTGTAGGCCCTGCCGGCCCCCAGGGCTCGGAGCTGGTGGGAGGAGCGGCTCTGGTCCACGAAGTCGGTGCGGCGGAAGGAGCCGTCAGCGGAGGCGTAGGTGACCGCATACCCATCCAGCATCTGCCTGGCGGCCTGGCCTTCGGGGGGGTGCCAGGAGATGGTGACCCCACTTTCCTCCACTTGGTCCACCTTGAGGGCCGTTGGTGGGAAGAGCTCTTCAGGGTTTCGGTCAAGAACAAGGGAAGGGGGGCGGTCAGCTGTCGGCCATCACAGCCCCGGACCCCAAGCAGGTGCCCAGCCTGGTGGCTCTGGGGCCTGGCTACCCTGGGGCAGATGTGGGCACTGCTGGCAGGGAAGCCACTCCTGGCACCTGCAGGGGAGGCTTTCATTTTGGTTTCTGGCTATTGCTCCTGAGATAGGCTCCTGCACACCCATGACCGCACGTAAGCCTCCTGGAAGGTCTCATGCGCACACGTGACTATTCATGCCACCTTCGACTTAAGGGCCCCTCCCTACTTCCTTGGTAGAAGCAGCTGTTTAGATGCTCTGCCCTGGGGTTGAGGGGGAGCCTCGACCCTTTGGCATGTCCTTTGGGAGGTGTACTGCCCCCCGAGTGAGGAATAGAGGCCCTCCCACCTCATTCTGGTGCCCTTATGCCTCACCTTTGGCACAGTCCTTGCCTGTGTAGCCCACTTTGCAGGTACAGCTGTGGGACCCATTGCTGGCCAGGCAGTAGCCACGACCCCCACAGGGGCTGGAGAAACAGGGATCACTCACTGCAGGAGGGAGAAAAGTGGCATTGAGCTCTGGGGTGTCGCCAGGCCCCCCACTGGCTTGGGCCTTGCTCTTGGGGGACTTGGCTGTTCCTGTGTGGGTGTGTTTTTGGTGGAGATGAGAGTACTATCAGGCAGCTTTTGGGGGGTGGAGTAGGAGAAGGGACACTCCAGGATGTGAGGTCAGGGCTCCTCAGAGGCTGGGCAGGTGTGGCCTTCTGACGCTGAGTCAGGCCATCTTCCCACCACCCCAAGCCAAGGTGCTCTGGCAGGCAGTGACGTGTGGTGGGTGAGCACAGTGCTAGCCCTTCCATGGCCTCCCTCTGCACTGCGGCTGCAGCTACCTTGTGGACTTGAATCCCTGCACTGCTAAGTGCTGCCAGCCAGGCCCGGGGGGGGGGGGGGGGGCTGGGGACACGCTCATAAGCAGGTCAGCCTTCCCCACGACACATCTGTTCTAGGAGAGTGGTGTGACAGCAGTAGAGGGGATGCAGATGAGACAACCCCAGAGAGCAGGGAGTGCTGGGGGCATTACCCGTCAGAAGTCAGGGAATGCCTGGTCTGGGAGAGACCTGTCCCAGGGGGAGACTATTCCAGGTGTAGGAACGGGGGTGCCCAGACCCGGGGCTGGAAAGGGACAGCAGGGGAGGTGGGGGAGCTTGGAAGGAGCCAGAGAAGGATCGTCGGGCCATGCCCCACCTGTCTCACAGTGATAGCCGAAGAAACCCTCTGGGCAGACACACAGGTAGGCCCCGCCACCGTTCTTGCACTGGCCTCCATGCTGGCAGGGGCTGGAGTCGCAGGCATCCACCTCTGGAGAACACCCAAAGAGTGGGCCCGAGCGGCAAAGGGGTGTCTGGGGGAGGGAGGAGAGGACAGCGGGAAGAAGGGAAAGGGCGGCGTGGACAAGCCGGGGGTAGAAGTCTCTCTCATCCTTGGTGGGTGCCCAGCTCTCCCTTCACCCCTAAAATCCTGCCTGCCAGGGAATCTGTCCAGCGGGGCCAGGGTGGCTGCCCCCTCCCTTCTGCTCTGAGTGGCCCAAGGTCTGGGCTTTCAGAAAGCAGTTTTGCCTGGGTGTCTGGGGCATCACAAGTGTGGGTGAGGGCCTGGGCACAAGGGGACCCACCCAAGCATAGCCCCTACCTGTCTCGCAGTGGACTCCAGTGAAGCCTGCGGGGCACTGGCACACAAAGGCTCCTGGGAGGTCCCTACAGGAGCCTCCGTTTCTGCAGGGCTGTGCCTGGCACTCATCTGTGTCTGAAAAGACAGGACATGGGGCTGCATGGCCTACATGGCCCCACATGGACCTAATGGGCCTATAAGGACCCCACATGGTCTTATATGGGCTTACATGGGCCTACATGGACTTACATAACCTCCAGGGTTCTGTGCTCAGCCTGAGGCTTCTGCCTCACTCCTGTTCTCTTCACTGTGTGCCCCACAAAGCCCCACCCCCAAGCTACTCCCAAATTTATTGTCCAGGCTAGACAGCCTGGGCCTGGCCTTGCCTGGGTGGTGTCACTGTCTCAAGGCTTAGAGCCCCACCCAGGTGTAAGGAGTGCAGGGCTCATGCAGCGGGCACCTGGCAGGCCCCCACTCTCTCCACCAGCTTGGAGCACTGGCCAGGTATCAGGGCTGTGACCTGCCCTCTCTGAACCCCATCTTGTCTGCCCCTGAAGCCAGTCTGCAGAAGCAAGAGAAGACAATCAGTGTTTCTCAGCCAAGCTCCCAATCTCCCCAGATAGGTGGAGGCAGAGCTGGCAGGGGCCTGAGTGTGTAGCCAGCCAGACACCAGCCAGGGTGAAGAGGGGTCAGGGCAGGCCATGGTCAGGCTGCGGAGCCGCTGCCCCGTGGTGAGGGCCAGGCTGTCTTACCTAGCTCACAGTGGGCTCCTTCATGCCCTGGGCTGCAGACACACAGGTACCCGGCGACTCGATCCTGGCAGGAGCCCCCGTGCAGGCATGGCTGGGATCTGCACTCATCAATTTCTGGGAGGGTGGAGTGCCCAGGTGCACGGGTGCCAGGAGAAATCCAAGAATAAAGCAATGTTGCCGTCATTAGAGGTAATGGCTTGAAGCCAAATTAAGATGCATATAAATGAGTTTTGGCTGAAACCGGTTTGGCTCAGTGGTAGAGCGTCGGTCTGCAGACTGAAAGGTCCCGGGTTCGATTCCGGTCAAGGGCATGTGCCTTGGTTGCAGGCATATCCCCAGTGGGGGGTGTGCAAGAGGCAGCTGATCGATGACTCTCTCTCATCGATGTTTCTAACTCTCTCTATCCTTCTCCATTCCTCTCTGTAAAAAATCAATAAAATATATTTTTTTAAAAAAATGAGTTTTGTTCTGAGAGACACTGTGGAATTCAATTTCCCAACTCAAGTGGACGGGCCCAATTCAATTAATAACAATCATGTACGAAAACAATGCAATGGGGTTGAGTCCTTCGTTTTAACATGTTCACCCTGTTGTTTCTTAAACTGGGAGTTGTGCTACTGAATTCAAAATGTTCAATTTAGAAAAGTTTAATTTGAATGTTTAACAACATGTGAGTAAATAGATGGTAATGATATAATGACTCCTGGAGCTGCACTCAACCTGGGCAGCAGAATGCTGAGGGGCTCATCAGGTCATGTGCACATCCCCACCCCAGATGACACACATTTCTGTGGCTTTCCTTTCTGTGCCTGTTTAAATTTAATTATTTTTTGATTTGCCTAACCAATACTATACATGGGTTTGCTTTGGCTATTTATGAACTTTATCAATAGTATATGTATTCTTCTCTGTCCATGTTACATTAATAAGACATCTCCATGTTGCTGTGGGTCTCTGTGGGACCCCCTTTTCACGGCTGTATAATATTCCATGGTGTGATTATACTATACTTTACCCATCCTTGTTCAGTGCACACTTGGTCCTAGACTTTTTACTATTGCAAAACCAGTGTTTCTGTGTCTGCTTCTCCATCTACTGCTTGTGGATATGTACCGAGAAGTGGAGTTGCTAGGATACAGCTTATATAAACAGCTCAATAGATTAACAAGTGGTATTCAAAGTGCTTAAACAATTTGCACTTCCTCCAGCAGTTTTCTCACAAATCCTGTGGATCCACATCATCACCAACACATAGACCTCTTCAACTCCAGAAGTTTGGCCAACTGCATGCATCTCAGCATGCTTTTGATTGGCATATGGGTGGATGCTGCATTCTTTACTTTCACTGGTTCTGTGTACTTCCTTCTCCATGAAATACCCATTTGTGAGTTTTGCTGATTTTCATGTTGGGTTGATTATTCTTTTCATATTGATTCATAGAGTTCTTCATATATTCTTGAAACCAGTTTATTCTTTATATTTCACTTTTTTCTTTAAGTTCCTAATTTTCATAGTCAATTTGCCCATTTTCCCCCTTTTATAGTTAGTGCTTTATTTTTCTGGCTTATGGAATCTTTTCTTACCCCACGGCCAAAAAAATATTTACCATATTTCCCACACAAATATACACTGAGTGGCCAGAGTATTATGATCTCTAAAAGCATTATAATCTGGCCACTCAGTGAATATCCTATATAATAAAAGGCTAATATGAAAATTGTCCCCTTAACCAGGAGTTCGATCAGCAGGCAGGTCAGCCAACCCCCCATATCCCCTCCCCCCTGTCCAGGCTGACCGGACCCCATGCACTGGGCCTCTAATACACACACACACACACACACACACACACACACACACATACACACACACACACACACACACACGCACACACACACATACACACACACACACACGCACACGCACACACACACACACAGAGTGGCCAGATTATTATGCATTCAGAGATCATAATAATCTGGCCACTCAGTGTATATAGTTTAAAAAAATTTTAATCCTTAATCCATCTGGAATTGATAGTTATGTATGGTGAGAAGTGGGAAACCAATGTAATATTTCTCAAAGTGCATGGAAATTTTATTTCAGCTGTGGTGAAGATTTTCTCATCCTTTTTAAAGAAGATTATAGTCCAAGCTGAGATAGTTCAGTGGATAGAGGATAGGCCTGTAGACTGAAAGGTCCAAGTTGTGGGCTCAATACCCAGTAGGGGAGTGTGCAGGAGGCAGCCAATCAATGATTCTCTCTCATCATTGATGTTTCTCTCTCTCCCCTTTCTTCTTTGAAACCAATAAAAATATATTTAAAAAAAGAAAGTTTATAATTTTGGCCTTTATATGTATGTTATAATGAATTTCACATATAAAAATTTATCATGATGTTGATACCATTTTACATCATTTTGTTTCACTTCATTTCCCACGTGTTCACTGCTAGAATATGAAAATACAACTGGTTCTGTATGTTGACTCTGAATCCTGTGATCTAGTTAAATTCACTTATTAGTTCTTTTGTAGAATTGCCTTAGCATTTTCTATGTTCACTATTGTGTCATCTTCACTGCTTCTTTTCCATTAGATACATCCTTAGTTCCTCTTGTCCATGGCCCTGTCTAGAGTCTCCAGGACCACATTGGGAGGAGTTGGTGAGATGGACACCTTTGCTTCAATACTGTTATGGCAGGAAGCCAGTCATCATTAAGTATATTATTGGCTGTTGAATTTTTCATGGGTTCCCTTCATCAGGTTGAAGAAATGCTCTTCTACTCTTAGTTTTCTGCCTCTATTGAGGTGATCATATGGTTTCCTCCTTTATCTCCTAATACGGTGTATTACATTGATTGATTTCCAGATGTTAAACCAGCCTGTGCTCTAGAGATAAATCTTCACTTGGTCATGATGGTTTTATTTTTTTATGTAGTACTGAGTTTAATTTAGTAACACATTGTTAGGATTTTTGTATGTATGTCATGAGAATGTTATCTATAATTCATTTTTTTGTAATGTCTCTGTCTTCTTTTGGTATCACAGAAATACTGGTCTCATAAAATAAGTGGAGAAATACTCTTTCCCCTGTGTTTTCTAAGAGCTTGTATAGGGTATAATTCCTTTCTTAGATGCTTGATAAAATTCACCAGTGTTATGAAAATCTGGTCCTGATATTTTATTTGCAGGAAGGTTTTTTATTCCAAATAAAATTTAATAGATATAGGGATATTTATATTTTCTAGTTTTCCTTCTGCCAGTTCTGGTAATTTGAGTCTTTTAAGGTATTCATCGATTTTACCTAAATTGTCGAATATATTGGCCTAAAGTGACAATTCCCCTGTTGTCCTTTAAACATTGGTGGGGTCATTAGTGATGTCTCTTCTTTCATGTAAATATTGCCAATTTTTCTTTATTTTTCTTGATCAGTCTAGATAGAGGTTATCTATTTCATTCGCCTTTTTCAAGGAACCAGATTTTGGTTTCATTGATTTTTCTCTCTATATATGTTTTTTATAATTAAATTCTTTAAATGTTTATTTATTTATACACTAGAGACCTGATGCATGAAATTTGTGCAAGGAGTTCAGTCCTCAAAGTCTGGAAAGTTGTTGGGCTGTTCGGTCTAATTAGCATATTATGATTTTATTATTATAGATTTTTTTCTGAATGTTTCTGATATATAAAAATGCAACTAATTTTGTTATAATAACCCATATCTACTAAATATGTTGTATTTTTCTATCATATTTTAGTAGTTTATAGATTAAACACAACTGTATCATCTAAAAATACTAACATTTTTACATCCTCTTTTAGCATTTTCATGACATTAATTTTTTTTTTTATTGCATTGGCTAGCATAACCAATATAAGACTGGTTAGACTTAGTGGAAATGGGCATCCTCCTCTTGTTTCCAGTTTTAAGGGGTATGCTTCTCTATCTAGGATAATGTTTATTCTAGGTTTAAGAAGTGGCATAAGTAAAATTGCCTCAAACGCTAATTTTTTCCCCTGTTGGTGGCTCAGCCTGTCCAGTCAATTCAGCAGAAGAACTGCTTTTGAATTCCAGATTAATCTCCTGTATAACAAGGATCGGTACGTGCCCTGGAGTGGGAATTAAACCCTTGGCTCTTTGGTGTGCAGGCTGACACTCTAACCACTGAGAACACTGGCCAGAACTCATTACTATTTTTGAGATGGTTGTACTTCTCTGGGGTCTTTGCTGAGTGCTCACATTCCCTGGGGCACTGACTCCTCCCCTGACAGCACACTGGGGAGAGGGACGGGTGTCTCTAGCCAGTTCCCTCCAGCTGGGGGCTAGGAAGGACCGAATGGGGTAAAGGAAAGCTGCCCGAGGCTCGGCGTTGCCCACCTGTCTTCCAGAGCTCTTCCCCTGAGCTCTGTGCACAGGGTGGGCTTTGCGGGACATTTGGGAGGCAGAAATGCATTGTGAGCCCCACCCATCTCTGGATGCTGTCACTGTCCCTACACTAATTTGTCTTTGTTTCATGAAAAATGTGTAAACATCACACAGATTTTCTGATGAACAATTTGGAATGCTTTGGTTCAATGCAATAACCCTGCAGTAGTGTTAGCAGCCCCGTGACCCCACGGGCATCATCAAAGGGTGCCCTGCCTCCTGACCACGCAGCACCACTGTGGGAGCCTGGATGATGTCCCCTAGAGCAGCATGCCTCAACATGTGGGGGCCTCCAGGGCTTGGTCAATGTGGGGTCTGATTCCACAGGTGTTGGGAGGGCCTAGAGCAGGAGGTGGTGCGGCCTGAATCTGACCTATTTCTTTGGGACTCTCTGCTCTTGGGCTCCCATAAGCTGCTCCATCTGCAGAGTCTGGGCTGCTCTGAGGACAGGGAACCCTTAGAGGATGGTCAGGAGTGGCCATCCCACCCTCACCACTGGGCTATACTGCCTCACTTCTCCTGGAGGAGAACAAAGGGAGGAGGGGCAGAGCGGGTCAGAACTGCACACCTGGGCTCCTCCATGAAGGCATGGCCTCACTGGTTCTGCCCACCCACCTGCCCCACCCCAGAGAGCCCACAGATCACCATGGCATTGGAGAAGCTCATTCCAGACACCCTGCAGCTGGCAGAACCAGATGGAATTAGGGGCGCTCAGAGCCTTGGCCCTATGAGTACCATGCCATTGAGTCTAGCTGTGTGCCGTTGAAACGCCACATGGCATGCATGGCCTCCTAGAGGGTGCAGGACACCTGCCCAGCCCCACTACTCTGCCCACCAGGCCACAGAGCTCGGGACCCCTGCTCCCCGCGTAGCCTGCCTTGACCATCAGGATAAGCTGCCCAGAGGTTTCCTTCCTTCTTCCCTTCTGTTTCCTCCGCCCCCTGCACACTATCCTTTGCTCTTCCAGGATTAGAAAGAACTCCTTTGCCCCCACCCCAGCCCCCCAGCCTTCTCACCCGCCTGGCACCGGCGTCCTGTGTAGCCAGCTTGGCAGCGGCAGGAGAAATCTGTGCCCAGGTCCTCGCAGGTACCCCCATTCACACAGGGGCTCCGGGAGCAGGGGGAGGGGGCTGCAAGGTCACAGGGGCCACTATTACCATCACTCCCCCCCCCCCTACTGGCTTCTGGGCTGCACAGAGATGTCCCCTCTGTGCTGCTCTGTCTACCCTCCCCTCCCCCCCGCCTTGGCCAGCCATGAGGGATGTGTTTTCTGTCTCTAGCTGGCCTGCATCCACCTTACCTATCTCACAGTGCCGCCCAGAGAAGCCTGGGGGACAGTCACACTTGTATTTGCCGATGTAGTGGAAGCAGGTGCCACCATTGTGACAGGGGCCGGAGGCGCAGGAGTCTGGCTTCCCTGGGAGCAGAGGGCACTGTTGGGGTCAGGTGTCATATACCCACCACCTCTGCCCCTTCCCTGGTCCCCAGATGTCCCAAAGCAGATGTGGTGGTGGGTTGGGGGCGGTTCCCACCCCCATTCCTAGCCGATCCCAGCCGGCAAGGGCCGCACCGATCTCACAGTGCCTCCCGGTGAAGCGGTAAGGGCAGTTGCAATGGTACTCGCCGCCTGCTTCCTTGCAGGTGCCCCCGTTCCGGCAGGGGCCTGAGCTGCACAGGCGTGGCCGGACTGTGGAAGGAAGGCAGAGAGAGGGAGGCAGGTAAACAAGGGCTCATGACACCCCCACCCATGTCTTCTCAGTCCTCAGGCCCTGGCCTGCTTCTCAGCCCCACAGGCCTGGCAGCAGCAGGGGCCAAGCCAGTCTGTAGATACCCCCTCCACCGCGGGGCCTCTGCCCCAGGCCTTTCAAACTGCACGGAGGGGACCATCCAGAGTGGGCACTGGTCAGTAGTTAGGGAAGAACAGTTACACTCTCAAGTGGCTGTGTAGTTGACATTCTCTAAATTGAATTAGATTTAACAAAATCCTAATGAATGTCCCTCAAATCAATGATTCTAAAAGCTGTTTGAAAAAACGCTGAGCAGGAAACAAGCCTATTCTGAGGAAAGCAGTGATAGCAGGAGGGCACAGACCAGATCCAGGAACCCCTGAACCATTGGAAGGGGAGCCGCAGGCCCATGGGGCCAGGTGCCCAGGACGACCAATGCCCTGACAGATACCCTCGGGCAGGGGGAGGAGCCAGGCCACTGGCGCTGTCCGGGGTGCTGACACCCACCTTTCTCACAGTGCCTGCCATGGAACCCACGTGGACACTCGCATGTGTAGGAGTCGTCCTGGGCCTCACAGGAGCCTCCGTTGAAGCAAGGGTCGGAGTCACAGGGTGAGGGCAGTGCTGTGGGGTCAGAGGGCAGCCCTGTTGCATTCTGGGCAAGAGGCTGGCGAGGCCACCCTGATACCCTGGCTGGGACCGAGGCCCCTAAAATTTACGTTGCTGGGTCTTGATTCCTCATTCAGTCTCGAAAGCCCCTCCCTGGAATTTCTTTTATCCTCGATTTCCCCAGAATTCAGCCTCCCTCTTCTAGGAGCTGGGACTGAGCTCACCAACATCATCACACATTGTGGTGGTGGTGGTGGGGTTTAATTACGTGCTGCATTAGGCACCTGTTGACATGTTAGCAGCTAAGCTAGAGGCTTGGGAAGACGCTGCATGGCACCTGTATGCGGTCAGGTGCCCTTTGGCTGTCAGCCTGCTGCAGGGAAGATGGGTAGAGACTTGGCCTGTGTTAGAGGTCTGCCGACTGGGTGGTGGTGCACCCACAGGTCCTCTGGTGCACTGCAGGGAAGCCACCGCTTTCCTCCCAACCCTTCCCCCTTCCCCCAGTTTGTGGGCGTCAACCCAGCCTTCAGTCCTGTCCACGCCCTCCACCCCTCTCACAGTGGCTGATGTTGTGGTCAGTGTGGCAGACGCACAGGTAGCTCCCGCTGTACTCCATGCAGTAGCCGCCATCGGGGCACTGGGTGTTCATGTTGCAGGGCGTGGCTGTGACTTCTGAGGAGGAAGGAAGAAGCCCTATCGCAGGTCTTCCTAGGGACCTGGTGTTCTTAACAAGGGTGGGGCCGTGCAAGACCCCGGGACCCCACCAGGGAGACCAGGTTCAGGCACTTTTATTGCCAGATCCCTCCTGGGATGGGGGTGGTGGTGGGGGTCACAGAAACACTGGTGGAGGGTCTGGCCTTGTGGATCCTAGTCCTGGCGGAAGCCGCCTTCAAACCCTGGTTTGGAGGATAGTCAGGGGCAGGCAAGGTGTCCCCGGCTCAACTCTGGGTACCTACCAAATTCGCAGAGGAGCCCAAAGAAGCCCAGGGGGCACTGGCAGAGGGTAGTATTGCCCGCGAGACATCTGCCGCCATTTCGGCACTCACAGTCATCAGGGGTTCCTGCCATGGAGAGAGGAAGGAGCCTCTGATGTGGGGGTGCTAGAGGGTGCAGCCCTTTCCTGACCCTGCCCTGCTCCTGGCGACCTTTCCATAAGAGCTGCCGTGTATACCCCCACACGCTCACACATTCTCTATCCTGCTGTTTGCATGCACACCCCACGGGAGGCCCCAGCCCGGCCGCACGCACTGTCCCTGCAGTCGAGGCCCATGAAGCCTTCGGGGCACTCGCACACGTAGCCCTCATCTGCGTCGACACAGGTGCCCCCGTTCTGGCAAGGGGCCGAGAGGCATGGGTCAGGCACTGGCTGGATTCCTGCAAGAAAGACAGTGGTCACCAGAGCAGCAGCACACATTGGGGTTTCAACCTCTGTTCCCAGTGCCAAGCACAGTTTAAGCCCGAGGCTTATTTCCTAGGAGCTAATTTCCAGCTGCCCCTTCCCCGAGAGCCCCTTTGGAGCAGAATGAGAAGCAAGGGTAAGAAGGGCCCACGGTGGGCACCAAAGGACCCAGCAAGGCCGGAGGCCTCCAGATGGTTCTGCTTGAGCATCTCTTAATAAATAAAATACTGGGATTTTCCTGATACCTTTTTGATGTTGATTCTAGTTTAATTTTGCTGTGGTCAGAGAACACAATCCCTTTGAATTTATTGAGCCTCATTTTATGGTGGCAGGATGGTCCGTCATGGTGAGTGCTCCCTGAGCCCTGAGAAGAATGTGCGTCTGGATGCCCATTAGGCCAGGCAGCCGATAGTGCTGGGCAGGTCCATTCTTGTCGACTTTGTCCCCGTGTCCTGAGCTGCCGGTGGTTCTGACCTCTCCACTGACAATGATCTGTTTCCCCTAGGGGTTCTGTTAGCTTCTGCTTCATGTATCTTGATTCTTGTTAATAGTATATTTAAAATTGTTGATTCTCTTGGCATTTTCTCTCTGCCATTATGATAGGTTTCTCTTTTGTCCCTGGCAGGTTTCTCGTACTACAGAGAAGCCGGGCCAGATTCCCGGGATGAGTAATGGCCAACCCTTCCTCTACACTTCTTCCATTTCAGTTTCTTCAGATAGTTTCAGAATTGATGGTTAAGTTAATCCATAGTAAAGCTGACTTTCGCTGGCAGTGTACTTCCTGAGTTTTAACTGGTGTAGATCTGTGTGGCCACGACGCCCCGTCCGCACTCTTCAGGGTCACAGCTGTGCCCGGTCCACCCCACATGCAACGGAAGGACCTGGCAATGTTTTATTCCCTTCACTCAGAGGTCAGTAAACTGTGGCCCACAGGGTTTCCCTCGCCTGGTGCGGGGTTTGGGGCACAGGCGGTATGTTAAAAAGTCAGTGCTCTCCCTGACAGGGGTCACCCATGCCTGCATGCAATCAGGAGACCAGGCCAAGACGAGAACTGATTTGCTCGGTCTCTCACAGCATGTGGGTGGCGCAGCCAAGACCAGTTTCCCCGCAGAGACTCGGGACAGGCCAGTGTAGGGGACAGGCCAGTGTAGGGGACAGGGGCTTAGCCACACGGTGATGGAAAGAGGCCAGTGATCCCGAAAGCACTATCACCTTTGTGGGGTTACATGGCCATTACCTGCCTCGCAGCGTGGTCCCTCGAAGGGCCCTGTGCACAGACAGGTGAAGTTCCCCACAAGGTCGACACATGAGGCTCCGTTCAGGCAGGGGCTGGAGCCGCATTCGTCCACGTCTGTGGGGAGCGGAGATAGGAGCTGGGCTTCCAGCCAGCCTTTGACCACAGCTCCACATTTAGTCAGGAGTAGCCCCTCCCTTCCTGGCCCCGCCCCACCTCTCTCTGCCCCAGTCCCCCTCGTCTCCCTCCTCCCCACCTTCCTGGAGTGCGGGCCACTCACCTGTCTCACAGGTGTTGCCCGTGTAGCCCCCTGGGCACTCACACACCGCGGAGCCGCTGACCACCTGGCACCGGCCGCCATTCACACACCCTTTGGTGTCACATGGAGATTGTGCTACAAGTGCAGAGGGTAGAAGGCCGTTGGAGTCCTGGCTTCAGTGCCCCTGGGGCCTGTCAGATGGTGGGGGTCCTGACCAGGGCATTCCTCATCTCCCGGCTGCTGAGAGCTCATCTGCTGAAGGCTGCTGAATAGAGTTTCTTCCAGCAGAAGGTGTGCGTGCTGGATGGGGGCTTGGCTGAGCTGACTCAGAGCTGGACTCTGGGGCACTGGCTGAGAGATTCTTTCCAGCCAGGTGGGGGGATGCAGCCTGTGATGGAGACTTAAAGGGTGTGCAGCACCCAGGGGTGCAGAAGGGGCCTCAGTGGTCCTGGGGGGTTGACATGTTGCTGCAGGGACATTATGTGAAGGCACCCAGTGCCCAGTCAGAGTGGGAGTGAGCAGGTGCAGCCCACCTCTGTCCACCCTCCCTTCTGACTCCCTGCTGGTCACTGAGCAGATCCCGGGCTTGGGAGACATTGCCTTTCCCCAGCTGCATTGCCTGTCTCCTAGCAACTCAATACAAGGACCAGGTACATCCTGGATGAATGAGCAGCCCTCTCTGGAGTGGGGGGAGGAGAAAAGGAAGGAGAGGGCCCCACCCCCCCAGGTGTGGAGGTGCTTTGGTGGCTAAAATGGTGGGCAGCATAGATGGGAGCTCAGCTCTGAGCCAGCCTATGACCACTCGAACCCAGCGGTGTCTCAAGAAGGACCCCAACCCATACCTGGGCTGTGGGAGCTCTGGGGGTTGGAGAGAAACAGCCTCTATTTCTGCCAGTGCAGATGGGGTTCAAGGTTGCAGGGTACAGGCAGGAAGAAGCTAGGGGGTGTTGGCTCCTTCCCACATCTCCATATTCCCTTCAAGGGTGAAAGCGCTTGATGGCTCCTACCACACCCAGGCCCTGCCACCAATCCGGCTCTGCCTGGGCCCAGTCTGGAACGGGGCACTGGCCTGTTCCAAGGCCTCTCCCTGGTCTAAACACTGGGGCTCAGGAGGCCCAGTGCTGTGGTCAGTGCTCCTTTCATGGACGCCCAGATCTCTCTGGTGGCCCTTGCCTGGTGCCAAGCCCTCTGTGGCATGGCTGACCCGACAGTTCCCCCGGGCTGCCCACCACTCCTTGGCCGGACAGAACCACCTGACCACCCTGCAGCCCACGGAACTTGGGGGCCCAGGTGGTTGCCTCTCACCTGTCTCACAGGTGGGTCCCCCGAAGCCAGCTGGGCACTGGCAGCTGAAGCTGTTGATGCCGTGTGTGCAGGTCCCTCCATTCTGACAGGGGTGGGAAGCACACTCATTCACGTCTGAAAAACAGGTGGGCTGGGCCTCAGTGGAGGAACCAGGGTGGGAGGATCTGCCACCCCTGGAAGGAGCCGGGAGGGGACAGCAACCTGGCCTTCCTGGGCTTCACCCTAGGCAGTGGCTCAGAGGGGCATCTGTAACACCTGTCAGGAAGCCACTGTGTTTGGTAGCCCCCGTGGTGCCCGACACTCATACCCCCCACCACAGGGACAGAGACCCTTGACCTTGGGCACTTGGGGCCACTGGCTGCACTTCCAGGGGTCCCTCAGAGCCCAGTGCTTCCCAGTGGGTGGTGCCCTCAGTGAACTCACCCAGTTGGCACCTCCTCCCTGTGAAGCCGGAGAGGCAGGAGCAGGTGTAGGAGGGGTTGCCCGTGACGCAGTCGTCAATGCACTTCCCACCGTTGAGGCAGGGGCGCAGAGCCAGGCACACAGAGGCTGCGGACACAGGAGGAGCAGAGCAGTCATCCCTCCCTCCTCCCAGACCTGAAGTTTCCATCTCCAAGGAATGGCTGTGTCGCCCTCTAGCGGCAAAACGCCCAGGTCTGCGCAAGGGTGCCCAGTGCCACTGATGTCTGTCTGTCTTCTGCCTGTTTCCCTGGTTGTTGTCTCTTAAGCCGGTGGAGGGCAGGCCTTAGAACCCCACAGCACCTTCCAGCATATTCCATTAATCCATCAGCTTCCAAACTTGTCTGAGGGACTAAGAAAACAGGGACCCGAGGACTCGCAGCAATATGGAGAGATGCAAGTGCTCCCCATGGACAAGGGGGATCCCTGTGTGGAAACCACAGGTGGTGAGGGCGCCCCTCAGACCCTCTGGCAGCTGCAGTCTGGTCCCAGCGCTGCCCAGACAGCTACATAATTTGGGCATGCCCTGTACCCTGGGTTCCCTGTGTGCAGAACCAGGTCTGTGCTCAGAGATGTTGAAACTGGTGTTTCCTGGCCAGGGTGGGGGTGCCTCCTAGGGTCCCTTAGGGCCACCCAGCGCTGCCCCGCCCCGCCCCGCCTTCTAGGAAAGGCAGCGTGTAGAGCACTCTGGAGGATCAGGGCTGCTGGCATCTGCGGTTAACCAGCACAGATTGGCGCGTCTTGCCATAACTCAAGTTACCGAGGGCTCCAGAGAGCTGGCGTGGTATCAAGGGAAGGAGGGGGGCACTCCGGGAAGCACCCGGTGGCCCAGAACGCCATCAAGGCTGTAGGACCGCACCTTCCATCACTTCGCTACGTGTCGCTCAGTCTGCGCTTCGGCCACACGGTTGTACGTGGCAGCTGACTGCCCGAGCCCTTCTCTGGACCAGCCTTGCTCAGGAGCTAGGGTTCCCGGTGCAGACGCGCCGCCTCTCAGGTGTGAACGGACCCTCCCTTCCTGCTAAAGCTGATGCGTGTGACTCCAGCACTGACCCACACTGGCTCCATCTCCTGGGCTTGCAGTGTGGGTGGGGACCCCAGGGGGCAGGTCCTCTCCCGCAGCCCTGCTCCCAGGGCCTCTGTGCAGCAGTTTGGAGGGCCCAGCGTGCCTGCTTCACCTCCCCCAGAGGCCTGGGACAGAGAAGGAGGCATCTCTACAAAGGAAAGGGGTCCACAAAGGACTGTGGGCCCTCTTCTGAGGACCCCCCCATTCCTCAGGGTCCCAGCCTACAGCCTCTGCAGAGGAGTATGGCCCTGCCCACACCCGCACCCATTCCTCACTCTTCAACCACAACCCAACCCCCTGAGCCACCACTGACCAGGGCCCCCCGGGGGATGCAGGAGAGCTTGGCTCTTAGGTGCCCTGCTTGCTATTCTGGAGGAGGGAGAGAAAACATTGGCACCTGGTGCCATGAGCCCCTCAACCCCTAAGCTCAGTCTCTTGACTGGGGGCTATTGGGTGCTCCAGTGAGTGGGCAGGCTCAGATTCCCAGGTCTCTCTCAGTGGGACCATCCCCAGTAGTCTGTGAGTGTTTCTGCCCCACGCATTGTCATGGATGGGGGCTCAGTGTCTGTCCCTCATGCACTCACACTCTACCGAGCCCTGGCCCTGGGGTGCATGCCTGCCTCCTTGGGGGAGCTCTCACTCATTTTATATCAGGGGGAGCAGCCCTTCCCATTGGCCTGGGTCTCTATGGGTTAGAGGTGAGTTGGGGCTGGTGGGAGGGACTAGGATCAGCCTCAGAATGACCAGGGCTTGGCAGGGCTTATGATCAGCCCCTCTAGCCGGAGTGGCTGAGTCAACCACTGACACCATCCCTCTATTCATTAGTATGGTTTCAGGAGGGTCTGTGACTCGCCCAGTGCCACACACCCTTCTGCAGCCAGTCCGACTGTCCCCACCGGTCACATGCTCCCCCCTGGGTTGGACCCTTCCTCCTCTGCAGTGTGTTCTGAACCGGAAGGCCCCCTGGCTGTTAGGGACCCTTGGGTGTCTCCCTCCCTGCGGGTAGACGGATGTCCGGGTTGTCAAAAAAGCTGCAAGTCCCAGCAGAAAAGGTGAAATGGGGTGGAACACCTGCTTTCCAGGTGATCTGGGGGACACAGGTGGCCTGAGACCCCCATCTCGGCCCAGGAAGGAGGCTGGGCTCCTCCCCTCTGCACTGCAAACCTTGGGCTCCAGCGGGACCCTGGCTTGCGCACCAGAGGCTCGAAGGGCCTCCCCCACCCCCCCAGGCAGAGACTGAGGCTCTGGGGCCAGCGGGGCGGGACAGTAGCCGCAGTGGGCGGAGCCACAAGCAGCCTTGGGTCTGGGGCGGAGCTGGCGCCCAAGTCCCCGCCCCGCCCCTCGGGCACCCCCCCCCGCCCATAGGCCACGCTCCTCCACAGACCACGCCCTCCAAAAGGCCACTCCCCTCCCTAGGCCACGCCCCTCCCGGCGCCCGAGCTGCTCGCTCGGTGCTCTTACTTGCATGGGCGCAGCCCCCCACGCGCACCTGGGCATCATCGATTCTGAACGCCCAGCGCCCGGGCACGCCCACGTTGGTGCTGGTCTCCACCTCCGCCATATCCGAGGTGCGCGAGCCTGGGATATTGAAGTAGCGCCGCCCATCTCCCGCGTTGAAGCCGGCCTGGGTGGGCGTGAGAGAGTGGGGGCAAGTACGGGCTGGGACCCCAGGTCTCCCTAAAGGTCCCACCTTTGCCCCATCCACTATTCCTGCACACACTGTCAAGGTCAAAGAGCTTGTGTGGGAGACAGCCGGAGAGCTCTAAGGTTTAGGGGTATCCACCCCCTATCCCCAACACGTTGTCCTTGCCAAGGACTGGGTTGGGCCTGGCACCCCCACGTCCCCTCCCTCCCAATGACTCACTGCTGGGTTCTGGGTCTCTCCTAGGGCTCAGTGGCAAGTGCAACCTCAGGGGAAGTAGATGGGGTGCACAGCCAGAAGGCGACCAGCAAGCCCTGGGCACTGGCACTTGACCATGCCCCCCACACCTGGGATTTCCTGCTGGCCGAGGTCCTTGGGGCCACAGCCCTGCCAGATCTAGGGGCAGTCAGTGCATAAAGATCCCAGGACCTTCTTTCCCTGCTGCAGTGGCAGGCAGTGTGGTCAGGACAAAGGCCTTTGGCCAAAGATGTTTCTGTGGTTCTGGGCTGTGAGAGGCTTGGATCGCCTTACAGCAGCCTCTGCACACCGTAGTGCATGTGGGGGTGGGGAATGGGGTGGGGGCGGGGAGAGGTCTGCCTGTTTCATGACAGTGCTGGCAATGGCGAGCAGGAACCCCTACCTGGGCCGCGATGCCCCCCAGGCCAGAGGCGTCACCCCCACTGCTGGCGTGTGTGCCTGTGGTCCACGTGATGGACTCGTAGTTGAAGATGGTGAAAGAGAACTTGCCGTCCGTAATAAGCACAATCTGGAACGTGTTCACCTGCCAAGGAGGGAGGCCTGAACAGGGTCCTGCCCCACTCATCTCCGTTCCCAGGCCCTGCCCCATCCACTATTCCTGCACATACTGGACGTTTGGTCAGCCACAGGGCAGAACCTTGATGGCCTCGACCTCCATCCTCCACTGTGTTTCCACTGCCTGAGGCCCTGGCAAAGGCCAGCCTGACCCCTCCCCCGTACTCTGCACAGGGGCTGTGGGGGCCCACCGATGCCCGGAACAGACCCTGTCCCCTGTGGGGGCCGGGGACACAGAGCATTCCTGCTCAGTTGGTCAAATCCACATAACTGCCTTGAGGGAATAGAACAAAAACATAAAAAGAAAAGGGAAAGATGTGAGGAATCAAGGAAAAGCGTTTTTTAAATAATTAGGTTTTATGATTTTTATGGAATTCTATTCCAGAATGTTAGTGGATAGGGTACATATGAGATGCTATTTCAAATCGAGCAAAGAAAGGATCATGGGATAAAAAGGAAATTCAGAAAAACAATGAAATCAGAATTTTACCTTACTCATGAAAATAAAGCCTAAATCAAGTAAGGCTGCAAATGACACCGTCGCAGCACTGGGAGAAATAATGGGGACCGTGGAGAGCCTCTCAGGGAGGCTTAAGCAGGATTTATGTTAACACAGAAACCAGAGAGAGAGAGAGAGAGAGAGAGAGAGAGAGAGAGAGAGAGAGAGAGAGAGAGATACATTTGGCTTCAAAAACTTCTGAATATCACAAAGTGCCATGAGTGGCAAACAGCAAAGTGAAAAATGTTTTTATAATATAGGCAGCAGGCAAGAATGTTTATATTCTTAATACAGATCTTCCACAGATCAATGAGAAAAAAGACCAAAAAGATAACACAGGCTATGCTCAGATGCATGACAAGTAGAATACAACCAGCAGGTAACACAGGAACAGATCCAGCATCGCTAGGAATCAAAGGTGTGGAAGTTTGAAAAGGCAAGGAAGAAAAGAGGGAGGACTCCTGGCTGGGGTTCTGGGAACCGGGCACATCGATGTGGCATGTGAGAATGCAGGGGCACATTTCTGCGGGGAGCATGAAATTCTGCAGGCAGTAATCTCCCTTTTAGAGGCTCATGCCAGGATAAACCTCAGTGGACTTGAGGTTGTGCATGCCCACCTCAGGGTACCCTGCTCTTGAGGCCTTGGGCCAGCGGCTCTGGGCCAGTGTGTGGACGTGGCAGTGACCAGAAACCATATGGTGGATAGGCATACTTTTTTCATTGCGTTTCATTTAAGGCACTTTTAGAAATTGAAGGTTTGTGACGACCCTGCATTGAGCAAGTCTGTTGGTGCCATTTTCCAACAGCATTTGCTTACTTTGTGTCTCATTTTGGTAATTGTCACAATATTTCAGACTTTTCATCATTATGTTATCTGTAATGGTGATCTGTGATCAGTGATTCAATGTTACTATTGTAATTGTTTTAGGGCACCATGAACCACCCCGTTAAGACAGTGACCTTAATTGAAAAATCTGTGTTCTGACTGCTTCGCTCACCGTTCCCCTGTCTATGCCCCTTTCTTCAGGCTCCCTGTTCTCTGAAACACAACAATAGTGATGTTGGACCGATAAATAATCCCACAATGGCTTCTAGGTGTTTAAGTGAGAGGACCAGTCACGTGTCTCTCACTTTAAATCAAAAGCTAGAAATGATTAAGCCTAATGAGGAAGGCATGTTGAAAGCTGAGACTGGCTTAAAGCCAGACCTTTTGCACCAAACAGCTAAGTTGTGATGCAAAGGAAACACTCTTGGAGAAACTTAAAAGTGGTATTCCAGTGAACACACAGTGATAAGCTAAACAGCCTTATTGTTTATGTGCAAAAAGTTTTAGTGGTCTGGATAGAAGATCAAACCAGCCACAACATCCCCTTAAGCCAAAGCCTAGCCCAGATCAAGAACCTAACTCTTCCCAATTCTATGAAGACTTGGGGGAATTGAGGGGACTGCAGAAGAAAAGTCTGAAGCTGTCTGAGGTTGATTCATGAGGTCAAAGGGAAGAAGCCATCTCTGTAACATCCAAGTACAAAGTGAAGCAGCAAGAGCTGATGTGGAAGATGTGGCAAGTTATTCAGAAGATCTAGCTGAGATAATTAATGAAAGTGGCTACACTCAACAACATTTGTAATACAGACGAGACAGGCTCATATTGGAAGACACCACCTAGGACTTTCATACCTGGGGAGAAGTCAATGCCTGGCTTCAACGCTTCAAGGACAGGCTGACTCTCCTGATAGGGGCTAATGCAGCAGGTCACCCAAGAGCTCTGATGGAAATGGACAATGAGACTAATGTTGTTTTCATGCCTGCTAACACAGCACCCATTCTATAGCCCCTGGATCAAGAAGTCATGTCAACTTTCAAGCCTTATTATTATTTAAGTCTTATTATTTTGTAAGACTATAGCTCACATAGATATGATTTCTCTGATAGACCTGGACAAAGTAAATTGGAAACTTTCTGGGAAGGATTCTCTACTCTAGAAGCTATTAAGGACATTCATGGAAATAGATCAACAAAGCAACTTAACAGGAGTTTGGCAAAAGGTGGTTCCAGCCCTCATGGAAGACTCTGAGGTCAGTGAGGAGTAACTGCAGATGTGGTGGAAATAGCAAGATACTAGAATTAACAGTGGAGTCTGAATTACTGCAACCCCACGATCAAATTTGAATGGATGAAGAGTTGATTTTTACAGATGAGCAAAGACAGTAGTTTTTTGAGCTGGAATTCACTCCTGGTGAAGATGCTGTGAAGACTGTTGAGGTGACAACAAGGGATTTAAAATATCACATACACTTAGCTGACAGGGGTCGAGAGCACTGACCGCAGTTTTGAAAGGAGTCTGTGGGTAAAATGTTTATAGCACTACGAGAAATATTTTGTGAAAGGAAGAGTCAACCAGTGCAGCAAACATAATTGTCATATGTTAAGAAAATGCCCCGGCCACCTCAACTGTCTGCAACCACCACCTATCAGTCAGCAGCCATACATCAAGGCAGGACCTTCCACCAGCACCAAGATTACCCCTCACTGAGGGCTCAGATGAAGAGTAGCATTTTTTTTAGCAATATAATATTTTTAATTAAGGTATGTGCTTTTTTTTTTAAGTGTACAACAATGCTATTGTACACTTAATGGGCTACAGTAGAGTGTCAACATAACCTTTATATGCAGTGGGACACAAAAAAGTCATATGACTCGTTCTATTGTGCCATTTGCTTTATGGTGGTGGCCTGTGTGTCTTCTTAGGTCAAAGTTAACATGGGAACTGAGCGCTAGTCTTTGGGAAGGTGTGGACGTTAGTGCTCGAGTTCTGAGAACAAGGAGGGTGATGGCCTTGAAGGTGAGTGGCAGCCCGGTCAGGGCAGTGGGAGCTGTGTGCTGGCGAGGCCTGGATTGGAGGAGCGTTAGCCGCTGCACCAACACCGCCCGTGGATCACCTGCTTCCGGAGCTGCTGCTGCAGAGAGGGCTCCCAGGTCTCCCTGTCGTAGACCATCTCCCACCCCAAACTCAGGATCCCGACTCCCTGTCTTATGAGAATGTGATGTGGATACTTCTTTTCTAACTGACATCTCCGGGTTTGGAAATGGGAGCATTAAGGTTTTCTGTCAACTCCGGGGGCGTTCTGGGTGCCTCTTCCTCTGCAGAGGTGAAAGAATAATTTTTAAAATGAGGTAAGGGAACATATAAAATGAGGGAAATGCTCACAATACTGTTGAGTGAAGAACAAAACAACAACCACTCACAGAACAGCATGTTCTTGGCCACTCTATTATTTTTCAGACTGTGGGTCAGTGCACACTAGGAAATGTTGACGGGGAGTTGTCTTCTGGTAGAGGAATTATAGTTGGGTTTTCTTTACTTTTTGTTACAAAGTTGTTTTGTTAAAAATCGGTGAAAAGAAGACAAAAAACAAACCTTACAAAGTATCAGTGGGCTCAGTGTGGACAGAAGGTCACCAGTGCTCGGATCTGCAGTCACATTCACAGAAAAGCCCGCACGGGGAGTGTCTCCCTCTCTACCTTACTACCTGCCTCACTGCCTTCTTCCTCTCTCTCACTTGTTCGTTTTGGCTGCTGGGAAGCTCAGAGCCCGTGGGCATCTCATCACTTGGCACATCCCTCCCTTGACTCACTTGCCCACCTTCCCAGTTCCCCTGGGCTCCACCTCTAGATGCCCACTGGGCATGGCCATCTTGGCACATCCAGTTCCGAGCCCCTCACTTGCACCCCTAGAGCCGAGTGCAGGCCTCTCTGTCCACCCCACCCTCCCCAGTGAGTGTGACGGGCACCAGGCTCTGCTGTGATTGCTGTTGCTCCCCTGCTGCCCAGTGTTCTGTCACATCCCTCCAGTGGCTGCTCTGAGCCATCCTGGTCCTCCATCTCCAAACCATGGAGTCCCTAAGACCCACCCTCTGGCTGGCACAGCCATGCTGGTCACTTCAGGGCACCTGGCACCTTTATCACATGGTCGTTTGTGACGCCCCAGAGAGAGCCGTGTCCTATCTGATCTGTCCAGAGCCTGCCCCCCAAAGAGGTGCCCCTACAGAAATGTGTGTTAAATGTATGAACCAACAGCTCAGAGAACCTCTCTACTCCCATTGCCTCCTCTCGTGCATGGTGTGACCCCAGGAGGGCCAGCACTGTCCTCATTGGGGGGCAGGGATCCACCAGGAGGACCCGCCCACCAGCACTACCCTGCTGGGCAGAGTGCTCACTTATTCCTGAGCTCACATTTGTTGTTTGGCACAGTCAAGGATGGAGTACAAGACGTGATAACTTCCTGTCTGACCCTTTGAGGACAAAAGCATTCCCAGTGGAAAACCCACTGACATATCACCCTTCTCTTCTCCCCGCCATGTGAGCTACTCTCCCGGGCCTTGTCAGGTTCTGACCTTCATGAGTGACTACTGGGCCCCAACCCAGTTTTTCCTCTCAGGCATGGGCCCGCTACTGAAGCTGACACCCCCTTAGCAAAGTGGTCGCCCTGGAGGGAGGCCGGGACCCAGCTGTGCCTCCCCCTCCCCGGGACAGACACTCACGGGGGAGGAGGAGCTGCCTCCGAAGAAGGTCACGCGGTTCCAGGTGGCAATGAACACCCAGGTGGCAGAAAAGTCCGGCAGCTCGGGGAAGTAGCGTCTGACATCGTCCGTGGCTCTGCGCAGCATGGCTGGGTCGGTGGCCTCCCGGTAGTACACATCCCCTGCACGCCGGTTGTCCACATCCGCCCAGAAGGCCGCCACCACACAGCGGTCCTTGGCGATGGGAAAGGCCACTGGGGTGAACTGAGAAACCTCCTTCAGGAAGGAGATGATCCCATTGTTGTTCACCTGTCAGGGCAGAAAGCCAGAGAGGGACTGATGGGGGCTGTGGGTGGGCAGGCGGGCCAGCGCCTCCCAGTCTCCCTCACCAGGCACCCTACGAGGTGAGCCAGGCTTGGGAAGAGCATCCCAGGACGGCCTGGCAGTTCCTGGTCCCACACAGGGGACCCCACAGCCTAATCCGTTCCCTCCTAGATAGGTCGTGTCCCAGATGCCCTGCAGAGTACCCAGCCCTGGACTGCTGCTCTGGGGTCCGGGAGCCCCAGTGTGGGCCCTTGTCTTTGACAGGTGGGGCACTCAGGCCTGCTCAGCAGCCATTCCAGCCAGGGGCCTTCGGAGGGTAGGACAGAGTCCCAGCCTCTGGCCTGGAAGAATCAGGTGAGGGCAGGAGTGCCCACAGAGCAGAGGCGGGGTGCACAAGGGCCAGCATTGCCAGGGGAGGCTGCAAGGATTTCAATGACAAGTGGCTTCTGTGCTCAGGACCCTGGGAAGGCGGAGCCCTAGAAGCTCCTGAGCAGAGGAAGGGAAACAGCATCATTGCAGCTGGACAGCCCTGACCCTGCCACATGCTGGCTATGCAACCGTGAGGTGCAGCCTGGGCTCTCTGCGCTCTGGATTTTTACCTCGGAGGCGGGGCTAATGCTGCTGCTGGCCTCGCAGGGTGCTGGACAGGGTGAATGAGTTAGCGATCACAGAGCTGGGCTTGAGGCTGTCCTGACTCACTCCAGGGAAGACTGTGGTCAGAACTGTGCTTTTAGAAAAGACCTTCAGGACTCCTCCTTAGGTGAGGGAGGCTCTGTTACCCAGACCAGCAAAAAAGGCCGATAAATATATTTCTCAAAGGCACCAACGCGCAAACAAGCGAGTGAGGGTCTTGATTCCACGTGGAGCACAAGGAGCCTGGAGGGGCCCTGGCACTCAGAGCTCTTTCCCTGAGAGACTACGTCCGCGGACACAGAACCCACGGCTGCAAAGCAGGCCTGCGATCTGAGTGGCCTCGTGGAAGGAGAAGAATAGAGGTCAGAGCTCAGAGCTGGCTCGAATCAGGGAGCCTAGAGAATCCCGCACTAAGCTGGGACCCCACAGCTGCCCACACTGTTCAGGTGAAGCTGAGGGAAGAGTCTTGTGCAGACTTACCCCCTCCTGTCACACCTGTGACTTGGGTTAAGGTGTTTCCTGCCAGGCAGAAGCAGAGAAACACCTTTTTTTGGAGGAAGGTGGTCTCACCTGAGGCTCAAGTCACTCCCATGAATGATGCTTCAAATGCAAAACCGAGGACACAGTCGGAGATAACGGGCGCACAAGGAAGCCGGACGCCACCAACAGGAGCAAGTGGGAACATGAGAAACACCAGATACCAGAGTTATCTGACAATAAAATAACTATATTTACTATGTACAGACAGGCAGAGAGGCCCATGGGCCAGAACAGAAATAACCCCTTGTTCGTGTGGTCAAATGACTTTCAACAAACGGTGCTGGGGAAACAGGAGATTCACAGGCAAAACAATGAGGCGGGACCCTTCCCTAACACCACCGCCAAAAATTAGCTCCAGTGGATCAAAGACCTAAAGAGAAGGGCTTAAAATTTAAACTCAGAAGAAAACACAGGATAAAGGCTTCACAGTGTTGGACTCGGCAGTGATTTCCTGCAGGTGACACGGAAGGCACAGGCAACCAAACAAACCGAACTGCAGTCCGTTGAAATGAAAAACCTTTTGTGCATCAAAAAGCACGATTAGCAACCCACTAGGTGGGAGAAAACACCTGAAAAATCACATATCTAATAGGGGATATATAGAAAACTCCTTCAACAGTATAGCCCAAAACAACCTGATTGAAAAATGGTCAAAGGACCTGAAACAGACATTTCTCCAAAGAAGATTCACGAATGGCCAATCAGCACATGCTGGGTCATCAGGGAAAGAGTCAAAGCCACAGAGCGGTACCACCTCACACCCATCAGGGTGGCTTTCATCAAAGAAACAGGAAACACCAGTGTGAGGGGTTCACAGAGAAGGGAACACGGCACAGCCGCTGGGATAAGAGGCCACCACGGAGCCCTAGCCCTGGCCTTTGCAGGAACTCCGAGATTCCCAGAGGTGCAGGTAGGTCACAGCGGGAGCTGAAGCAGGACCCAGCCACACCCTGTTTAGAATTGGGACGCTGATGGACCCCGGGTAAGAGCTGGTCGAAGCTGAGTGTGACCCGTGGGTCTTGTGATTCGCTGGCCTCTCACTTGGGGTGAGTTGACTGGAACTTGACACGAACAAGAAAAGGGCCCAGGGTGGGAGGCCTCATGGAAATGGCTCAGTGGCAAGGGACACCTCGGTTTTTGTGAGACAGGAGAGCTGCCCCTGGGCAGCCTTTTCTCCCACTCCAGTGACCAGTGACGCCGCTGGTTTCCTGGGCCCTCCGGTCACAGAGGGTCCACAGGGTGGCGGCAGCCTCTCAGGGCAGCCCCAACATGGGGAGCTCTCAGAAGGGTCAGCCAGTGCTGTGGGCAGAACTGGAAGTGGTCACCCTGGCCATGTCGGGGGCTCTTTGGGACCAGACAAGCCAGATTTTTACTGACCTTGGGTTGTTGCAAATGGCCTCATCCGGGTAAGCAGGCTGTTCTCTGAAGGGCCAGACAAGGACCCTCTTTGGCCTGTGGACCACATACAGTCTCTATGGCGCATTCCTGTCCCTTCTCTTTGTTTTTGTTTTTACAGCCCTTTAAAAATATAAACAACATCCCTAGCTCACGGGCCATACCGTGGCTGTCTGATGGGGACCTCTGGCTTTGCAAATCCAGGCTTACTGGTACAGCCACACCCACTCGCTATCTGTGGGGCTCAGAGCAGAGTAGCCCGTCAGAACCCATATGGCTACAGGCCAAAGATGTCCACTGCCTGGCCCTCTGCTGGAAAAAGCCTGGCAGACCCATCTGCTGGCGGGCCTGCCACAGGAAGAGCACAGCACGCCTCACCAAAGACGCCCACTTCGAGGCCTAACGAGGGAACAGACTGCAGCTGCCAATGAAACAGTCTGAGTCCCTGTGATGGGACTGACGCGGACTGAGCTGTTGGAGGTGCATCCTAGGTTGCCCCTGCCTCCGGGCTCCTCATGCCAGAAATGGCAGCTGGGCAGGAGGGAAGGACTGTGTGCTATTGAGGCGAAGCCACCAACACACACTGGGCTTGTCTCCCACAGACACTGGCCTGCTATTCCCAGGGCGGGTCCTGGGACTGGGCTGCTGCCACAGGCGCCATGGGCCACCTGCTGGGGTGGGACCTGCCACATTGCCCCTCCTGGACCGCTCCCCCCCCCCCCCCCCCCCGCACCCCGGCCCCGCTCCCACAGACGGACCAGGTTTCCTTCCTGCCTTTGAAGTGCAAGTCCAACTCTCAGGTGTGTGTGGTGTGTGCAGGGGCCGTTCCAGCCTGCCCACCAGCACTTGGCCTCGTTCCTCTCCTGTGTGCCTCCCCACGGGGTGTGGGCCCAGAGCCCGGGGGTCCAGGAAGGAGGCAGAACAAGCCGGCCCTGTTCCTCTGCCAGAGCAGGGCAGGGCCAGGACCACAGCGGAGCAGGCAGCTGGGCCAGGCACTGGGCAAGCAGGCTGCTGGCAGGCCTGTCACCTGGACAGGATCCTCCTTGGATGTCCTCTGTCCAGATGGGAACCCTGAGCATCCTGTGTGGGTGGGGAGTGGGCAAGGGCTGGGTGAGGTGGGCCCAGGGAAGCAAGCTGCTGGCAAAAGCTACTTCCTACAAAATATCCATTTTATTATTATTATTTTTCTACTTTCAATAGTACTTAGTAATACACACAGTACAGACATGGAAACAAGGAGAAAGGGTGAGGCCAGACCCCCTGCCATACGCATCCTGTGGACGGGTGCATACCCCGGATGAGAGGTGTGTTTAATCCCACCCTTCACCTACACAGGGGCCACCAGCATGCTCAGCTGGGAGAAGCCCTGAGGCCACATGCTACAGGAAGCCCAATGACTGTGAACTCTGGTGGCCCTTGGGGCATGGAAGAGGCCCATGCTTCACTTGTGGGGGGGGGCATATGTGGTCAGGAGGGGACTGGCCTGTGGGGACTCAGGCCTTTCCTGCAGGACACGGCTGGCCCTGGCTGGCTCGGGAAGAAGCACAGAGAGACTGTGCTGGTGGCATTTCCGACTTGGATAGAAGCAGGAAAGAGCGGAAGTGTCCTGGAGAGTCTCTTGGAGAGACTTCCAGCCAAAAGCGTGTGAGTGGGGCTGGCTGGTCCCCTGTGCGGGAGAGCGCGCGCGGGCTCTCTGGTGCCACCTCGCTGGGGGGAGGGGCTGCTCTGAGAGGGCAGCCTGGAGGGGAGCCAGGGACCCCGTGTGTGCGGCCACAGACCCCAGCTCTGCAAACATCAGAGCCAAGAGGGCGGGCCTTGGTTCCTGCTTTGACTTCTCTGCCAAAAATAAAACAATAAAGCCCCTGAGGCCTTTTATAAGCTTGTTTTGAAAAATGTAGGCATGTCTTTTATTTCCTGGCAGCTCTCTGGGTAATCAGGGTTCCTCCCACAAGCACAGTTGGAGCCGGAGTCCTGCTTGAAGGGCAGTGGGTGGGCAGGGCTCCTGGGGCCCATGGGCAAGGTCAGTCTGAGCCCTGGAGCCCCGAGCCTGGTGTACACCCAGCCCCGGGAGCAGGAAGGCTGGCTCCTGGCTGGCACCCATGTCCTAGGGGAGCAGCACTTGGGGCTGCAGGAAGATTGGGAGGGGAGGGCATTACCACCAGGAACAGCCAGGGCTAACTTCCTGGGGGAGAGGTATCTGAGTGTAGCCAGTGCCCAGATGGCTGCAGGGTTGGGGTGGGCTGAGGGGTGAAGGAGGAATTCCCAAGGATGGGAAAGAGAAGCTGGTGTTGGGGGACCAGCCCTTCCTTCCCTTCCAGGCCAAGCCTGCTGAGCTGTGGGCCCTGGACTGCACTTCCTGCTGTCTGCTGTCCAGGGACTCCCTATGGCCACACTCTGGTCTCCTGCAGGGTCTCATG